TTTCACGTACAATTTGAATCTGTAATATAAAGTACCATGTTCACCTAAAAAAATTCAACTTCCGATCCGAATGGTGTATTTCCGGTCGGAATCAAAAATTGAAAATATCACCATTTGATAGAGCGTACTCGATTATTTAAAAATCCCGATTTACTTAAAAATTCGCGATTTTTTATAAAAGCCATTTATTTTCATTTTAAAAGGGATGTACGGGTGATCTGAGACACTCTGTGTGTGTGTGTGTGTGTGTGTGTAGACACACACACACACACACACACACACACACACACACACACACATATATATATACAGGGTGGGGCATTTATCTTGAGACAAGATAATATCTCGATTGGAGTCGATTATTTTGAAAAAAGTTTTAGACAAAAGTTGTATGGTTTCAAGGGGGACATAAAATGGTGTCATTAGTTTGATCTTGAAGAGCCACCTGAAGGACACGCGAAGGTCAGCTCCAACTTTTTAAATGGGACACCCTATATGCTTTTGCATATTCTTGTAGCTCATCTCAAGAGCTTTCCAAAACACTATAATTAAGTTAGTTTTCATTAAGTACTTTCCAAGTTATGAGGCTTGAAATCATTTTTTAATTTTACATAAACCGTAAAATATCTTGTAAAATATTCATTTTTCGATTATTTTACCTTAATACTTTTATGTACAAAATAATGAGAGGAATCAATTGGTGTAAAGAAAAGACATAGTTATTTTTAAGAAAAAATATGTAATTGTTAATTGCAAATTACATTTTTTTTTTCGAAACAACTATGAGTTTTCTTTACACCAATTGATTTTTCTCATTATTTTGTACATAAAAGTATTAAGGTAAAATAATCGAAAAATGAATATTTTACAAGATATTTTACGGTTTATGTAAAATTAAAAAATGATTTCAAGCCTCATAACTTGGAAAGTACTTAATGAAAACTAACTTAATTATAGTGTTTTGGAAAGCTCTTGAGATGAGCTACAAGAATATGCAAAAGCATATAGGGTGTCCCATTTAAAAAGTTGGAGCTGACCTTCGCGTGTCCTTCAGGTGGCTCTTCAAGATCAAACTAATGACACCATTTTATGTCCCCCTTGAAACCATACAACTTTTGTCTAAAACTTTTTTCAAAATAATCGACTCCAATCGAGATATTATCTTGTCTCAAGATAAATGCCCCACCCTGTATATATATATATAATTATATTTTAAAATATAATAATAATTAAAGGAAATAATCAAATAATAATACTTAAATTTAATACATATGGCTTCTAATCAGGAATAATAAATGGAAAAAATGAAAAATGAAGCAATATCGCGTGAATCATAGCTGAGGCATTATCCGATCGATATAAGCGACTAATTATGATGAAATAGAATTATGATGAAATAGATTTCCGGACGACGGAGAGGAGACTAATATAATTGAATTATCTGTCATGGACTTCTCGAATATGTCCAATACGTCGGAAGGTATCGACAGATGCGTGTCAAACCGACCCAAAACTTATACTAGTCATCCTGGCGTGTGTATAATTGAAATTGTTTTGACAGGAATAATCTGGCGGCTACGCAGTTTAAATTGTGCCAGAATAGACCGTTTCCGTTCCGACTAATAACCGCTAATAACGGATTTTGACCTTTTCCGTGCGTGCAGGTTTGATGTTTATAGCGATTCGAGTAAATGTTACTGGAAATATCAAGGTGATGCGAAGGAAGATGCGCGTGATTTTCGACATTGCCATCTGATCCTTCATCACCCGCGATGAAAACGAAATGAAAACCGAGATGAGAGTTAACGGTTCTCGTTTTACGCCGTGTCACTCATCTACGGTACATCATTTACAAAATGTTAAAACGGGATGTGCTAAGATAATATTTATTCGAACAGAAACACGTGCAACGACGGGACTTCGGAGATGCCCATTAGACGAGATGTCGTGACATTAGTCATAATTATTAGTCATAATTACATCTATTTGTCATTCGTAAGGATGATTAGGATGATAAAGGCTTACGTGAGTTTCGAAGAGTCCAATATTTTGCACGATACAAATTATATATCATGCCTTTGTGCGACAATTGTGTCTTCCCCTTTCCCCCTCCTTCTCCCTTTGGGCGCGCCATAATTTAATTATATCTCCTCCAGGTCATGATGTATCTCAGAGCTGACGACATGTCACGATATTCACACTTTAATTCAACGCAAGAAAAACACAGTTCCAAGATGAGAATTCACGTGCGCGCGCGTACGGGTCATTCTCATTTGGCACAATGAAAATAGCAGGCAGATCCACTCTTATCCCTCATGGCCTCGCAAACGGCCGTTAGACACGAACATGTAGCTTTAAATCTATTCGTTTTCACATTTAATATTTACAAACTTCAAATATTCTTGCAAAATATTATTATTATTTACTTATTTAATTTTTTTATATAACTTATTTATTTATTTAATTTTTTATATAAATTATTTATTTATTTAATTTTTTATATAAATTATTTATTTATTTAATTTTTTATATAAATTATTTATTTATTTAATTTTTTATATAAATTATTTATTTATTTAATATTTTATATAAATTATTTATTTATTTAATATTTTATATAAATTATTTATTTATTTAATATTTTATATAAATTATTTATTTATTTAATTTCTTATATAAATAATGTATTTATTTAATTTTTTATATAAATAATGTATTTAATTAATTTTTTATATAAATTATTTATTTAATTTTTTTATATAAAGACACTAATAATTAAAATAGACCAAATTTTCTATATCATGGAATTTATGATGGAGTTTTATAATGCTAATATATTTTTTTCCACGTATATATTATACATTTTATATCGTGCATTTGTGCGCGCGCATAGATGTATATGTGTGTGCATCGCGTACATTTTTTTCCAGAATGTTTCGAAGCTGTGTAACAATTATATCGCTAATCATCTCCGCGTACAGGAAAAAAGTGTTAATTATGTCATCCGCGCATCGTGCTATGATTTAACGGCGGGATTAACCTTGGAAGTCACTCGCCGAGACTCTAGCGTAGGAGAGCTTCATTAATTTATCACGAGTGATCGATATATTGTTGTACTGCTTTTCCACTTTTCTAACGATTTTAAAACTATTGTTTTTTCTTCGGGTGAATGTTAAACGCGCATCAAATATATTGTATATTTATTATTCCGCCGTGATTTGTAAAATCCGCGTATTATTTATTTTTTTCTCCTCTATTATTATGTAATCGTGACGATGATTAACTCGTCCTAGCCTCTGTAACTGATTGAGATAATTACTTAATTCCGCGGCGTAAGACGCTTTAATTAGTCCTACCTCGCTGAAATACTCTCTGTACACACCCTGATGTCACATTCCTGACGATGACAGCGAGCGACCGGGGGTGAGAAAAATACGAGGAAAATTACTCTGTTTCTCTCGTCGCGTCCCAGAGGATATGATTGATCGATGGATAATATTATTCGCGGGTGTTTCATGCAACACACAGGCTATTCGCGGTCCTCGAACGATATATTTGAAGACGGCCCGTCAAGTCAAGTGCACTTGTACCATCGTCTACGAGTAGCGATACAGCAACAAGTGGTACGAGGCATTAATTGCGTGCAAGCCATTGCTCGAGAAGTCTGCCGTGATTGCGCGGAAGTATCAATTTCGAAGCGGGAGGAAGGGAAGGATTTCGTTCTCTTGCAAAACATACAGGTCACGCTATGTATACATGTATATTCGTGTTGCTCGCGACCTTCGCGGTCGACCCAGGTACCATCCGGATCAAAACATTCCGGAGTGGTCGAGCAATAGTTGAGAAGTAAACTCATGTAGGACATTCATTGTCGATTCGAGGGAAGAAAGGGACGCGTTTCTCTTTCTCTCTTTCTCGCAAAATTTAATTCTAAGAACTCATACAGCACGGAATATTGTAGCAATATTATTATTATTGTTACAAAATTGCAACAATATTGCAATATTGTCGCAATATTGTTGGGATGTTCTGTGCTGTATGGAAAGTAACAAGCTGAACATAGCGCTTTGTCGATGTATATACTACCCATACAGCACAGAATATTGCAGTAATATTATTAATATTGTTGTAACATTGCGGCAACATTGCAATATTGCCGCAATATTGTTGGGATATTCTGTGCTGTATGGAAAGTAACAAGCTGAACATAGCGCTTTGTCGATGTATATACTACCCATACAGCACAGAATATTGCAGTAATATTATTAATATTGTTATAACATTGCGGCAACATTGCAATATTGCCGCAATATTGTTGGGATATTCTGTGCTGTATGGAAAGTAACAAGCTGAGCATAGCGCTTTGTCGATGTACATACTACCCATATAGCACAAAATGTTGCAGCAATATTATTAATAATGTTGTAACATTGTGGCAACATTGGAATATTGCCGCAATATTACTGCAATGTTCTGTGCTGTACGGGCTATCTCGAGAGAGAAAGAGACAGGCGGAAGCAACGAGAATTTATAATTTATCGTCAATTGTTGAATATTATCGTCGGATCGAGCTCCCGAAAGACACGTCAGAGAGCATGGGCGTCCGGAGAGGGGGGCAAGATGGGTCATTTGCCCCCCTCCCCTGGAATTTGGAATCATCCAAAAATTTACATACTCTTTCTTTGAATAAACGTGCTGGCATGGGCGTCTGCAGGAAAAGGGGGGGAACAAGCGGTGCACATGCACCCCTCTGGACAATGAAAAAAAATTCATAACCATATTCATTTCATATTTTCAATGCTTACATTCCTCATTTAACAATAACATTTTATATCATGCCCCCCTCCCCGAAAAAAATCCTGCGGACGCCAAAGAGTGCATCCTCCGCCGTGAGAAAGCTTAAGCTTACATCGTCCTGCCTCTCGCCACCCCTCGCCATCCCTCCCTCTCCCTCTCTCTCTCTCTCTCTCTCGTTCATTCTTCTCATCTTCCCAACTTACGTTCGTGTAACGCTCCGCTTTTCTCCGGCAGCTGTTTCAGGAGACAAGGTCGCACCCGTTGCACACCGTATACCAGGTTGTCGGCGGAGACTCGCGCACAACACACCCGCGAGTGAGAGCACGAGGACCGCCGCTCCTCGTCGACGACGACGACGACGACGCGCTCGTCAAAAATTCAACCGTTCCGGTTTCCCTTGCCGGACGGAGTCATTCGTGCCGCGCGTCACAGGGAATCTCGTCTCGGGAGATGAACGCGAGATGGGAACCGCTTCAACGATGCTCGCTCGGCGCCGTTTGCCGCGCATCTGCGACAGCGGAATCTCGTCGTCGCGATCCGCGCGGGGGGGGAGGGGCGACGGCGGACGGAAGGGGGGAGCGTCGTGGCGCGAAAGGGTCGCCGCGCAACCTCGACGCGACAAGTGTACCGCCCTACCGTGGACCAATGGCGAGCCGCCTTCGCACGTCGATGCGCACGGCACGTCACTCGCGCCTGTGTACATACCGGGTGACTCACGAGTTATAGTATCAAGTCGGACTGTAGATAGAAAATTTGGATGCCCGTGTATTCCTGATATGTTGTTATCAGTGTTTGTTGGTATCTAGATAAAATTATCTAGATAATCATCTAGATAGAAGAAATGGATCATCTTTATCTTTAACTAGATGAAGAAATACAAAGTATCTTTATCTTTATCTTAGATGAAAAATATGTCATCTTATTTAAAAATTGTCTAAGATGACGTTTTCATTATGCAAAAAAGTTTTCCAGGCAAGCTTCTAAAAATCTATCTAAAATATCTAAAATATATTTTTTATATTATTAATATATTATAAATATATTATTAATATATTATAAATATATTATAAATATATTATAAATATAAATTAATAAATAAATATTTATCATATCATTTATATATCTTTTTACTATTATTTAAATATTCTTTAGGAAAAGAGAAAGAATATGTGTTTATGATTTTAATATCCCATTTATAATCTGTGTCACATTTTTTACAAATATTTATAGTCTTCTAAAATAAACAAAAATATCTAGATAATTATCTAGATTATCGCAATAATTATCTCATCTTTCATCTAGATTAAGTAAAAGCAAAATCATCTTTATCTCATCTAAGATAAATTTGCAGATTGTTATCTTTATCTTTATCTAGATAATTTTGAAATTATCTACAACAAACACTGATTGTTGTACAGAGTGTTAGAAAAGTCTGGAAACGGTCAAATATCTCCGAAAATAGTGGTCCTGTGGGAAAATATTTCAGACAAAAGTTATAAGATTTTAAGTGACGCATTACACAGTAATATTACTATGACCTTGAAGAGTGTTGTTAAGGTCACATAAAGGTCATCTTAAATTTCTTAAATGGAACCCCCAATTTTTAATTATTTATTCTTGTAACTTATCTCGAGAGCTTTTCAAAATACTATAATAAAGTATTTTTTCATTGAGTACTTTCCGAGTTATGAGACTTGAAATCATTTCTTAATCTTACATAAACCGTAAAATATCTTGTAAAATATTCATTTTTCGATTATTTTATCTTAATACTTTTATGTACAAAATAATGAGAGGAATCAATTGGTGTAAAGAAAACACACAGTTATTTTTAAGAAAAAAATATGTAATTGTTAATTGCAAATTACATATTTTTTCTTCAAAACTTATACCAATTGATTTGTCTTATTATTTTGTACATAAAAGTATTAAGATAAGATAATCAAAAAATGAATATTTTTCTAGATATTTTATGGTTTATGTAAAATTAAGAAATGATTTCAAGTCTCATAACTTGGAAAATACTCAATGAAAAAATACTTAATTATAGTGTTTTGAAAAGCTCTCGAGGTAAGTTACAAGAATATGTAATTAAAAATAGGGAGTTCCATTTAAGAAATTTAAGTTAATCTTCACGTGACCTTAACAACGCTCTTCAAGATCATAGTAATATTACTGTGTAATGCGTCACGTAAAATCTTACAACTTTTGTCTGAAACATTTTCCCATAGGACCACTATTTTCAAAGATATTTGATCGTTTCCAGATTTTTCTAACACCCTATATATTTAAAATCGTCTCAAGTGAAGTCCGAAAATGTCATATATTCCATTTCATTGGCCGAGTGGAATCTGAAAACTACTTAAGATGATCTTAAATATAAGAATAAATTATATGAAGAATGGAATTTTGATCGGAGCTGAAATTTCTTCTTCTTGATTGTTCAAATTTCAATCTTCTTGTAGTCTGTTTCGTGAATTAATTTCTATAATAAAAAAAAATTTCTGCGACGAAGATAAATTTGAAAAAAAATTCTATATATCCACATAAAATTATTTAAAACTATTCAGAGTCAAGATTAGCGAAATACAGCTCGTCTGTACACAAATGTATAAATTTATAAAACTTTTTATATATACAAGAGAACACTAATAATAATGACAAGGGCGATACACTTATTTATTTACTTTGATATTTTGAATAAAGTTCCATAATGCAATATCAGAAATCAAGATTCTTCACTTATATAGACAGCAAATTTTATTTTCCATTTTCACAAGTTATGCCAATAGATTAATAAATCATTTGTATAGCAAATTTTAATCATGAACACATAAAACAAGCGCAATCATGCCAAAAACAATATTATTTTACATTTTGATTATATCTGAATTTTTCAACTAAAATTAAAAATTTTCTTAAAAACAAACTATGTAAATTACATGTCCATAAACAAATAAACATTGATATTCTTTATTATAATTAATTTATTGAACGTGCATCTGTGTAATCTTATAAAGTTATTTTTAAATATCTTTTATATATATTAAATTGCAAGCAATACTATTCAATTTGATAATTCGAATGTTCAATTGTACAATTTGGCTTTTTTTCGTATATGTAACGAATCAGAATCGTTAAAGAGGGCACACTCCTTCCGAAATGCAATTTCCTTTAAATCGTATATGAAATCATTACGTAGAGGCTTCATTCGATTACGTATAGGACGTTGTTGCTTCAAATTGTCGAGCGTAGAAGATACATCTGATATTGAGCAAGATGCTTCCCTAGGCTCAATACTTTCAATACTTGTGATACTATTTTCATTATCGTTTATACATTCTCTTGCATCACTATCAGCTGTTAATGCAGACTTATCAGACTTATTTGTTTGCACAATCGCACTTGTGTCACTTGAACCGAATATCACCTCCATCACTACACGTTTTAAATCAGGATGAGCATCTAATTTTCCTGATCCACTATTCATCATATATTCTGCCAAATTTTGTACTGTCGCAATTGTATCGTCTTTCTCTTCAGTATCTTGATGTTCAACGTTTTTATTTGATTCTTGCTGTTCATTTGCAGTAGTAGCTTCATTTTCCGATGGGATGTACGTATTCGAATTGTTTAAGTCTATACATATTTCCGATTGACACGACGATTGACACGCAGTTAAATCCATAATTTCAGGCTCATTCACCTTCTCCCCTGTGTTCATTACGTCCATGATGATATTTTCATTACATGTGTATTCATTTTGTGGTATTTCGATTACTATTTCTGCTATGATTGCACGATTGTTTTGCGCATTATGCATTTTATTACAATGCGCGACGCAATCGCATTTGACGAAACATTTGAAATCACATAATTTGCAACGATATCGATTCCAACCGATATGAATTGCCATATGTCTGCGTAGATTGGGCATGGATGTAAACTTTCGTTTACATAAAAGGCACTGCAGTTTCTGAAAGTTTGCGATGGTGGCTATTCTTTCCATTAGTGAAGTTTGACTTTTTTCATTCGACTGTATTGAACACAAGGGTTGCAGCTTGGAACTATCCTCCTCTATCTCAATTATATCTTTCTCTAAAATTTAATAAATCATTATAATAAATTAATTTGATAAACTAAAGACAATCAATTTACATGAATAATTTAAGAGAACATATACAGGGTGTCCCAAAAGTCCCGGACCGTTGAATATTTCATAAATTATGCACTTTAGAAAGAAATGTTTCAGACAAAAGTTGTGGGCTTGATGGGGGCCATCAGATAGTGGTAATGATTTGACCTTGGAGAGTCATTTGAAAGTGACGTAAAGGTCACCTTCAATTTCTTAAATGGAACCCCCTATTTTTATTACATATTTGTGTAGCTTATCTCGAGAGCTTTCTAAAATACTATAATAAAGTATTTCTTCATTGAGTACTTTTCGAGTTATAAGGCTTGAAATCATTTCTTAATTTTGCATAAACCATAAAATATCTAGTAAAATATTTATTTTTCGATTATCTTACCTTAATATTTTTATGTATAAATACAAAATAATGAGAGGAATCAATTGGTGTAAAGAAAACACATAGCTGTTTAAAAAAAAAAATGTAATTGTTAATTGCAAATTACATATTTTTTTCTTAAAAACAACTATGTTTTTTCTTTACACCAATTCCTCTCATTATTTTGTACATAAAAGTATTAAGGTAAGATAATCGTAAAATGAATATTTTACAAGATATTTTACGGTTTATGTCAAATTAAGAAATGATTTCAAGCCTCATAACTCGAAAAGTACTCAATGAAGAAATACTTTATTATAGTGTTTTGGAAAGCTCTCGACGTAAGCTACCAGAATATTTAATAAAAAATAGGGAGTTCCATTTAAGAAATTGAAGGTGACCTTTACGTCACCTTCAAATGACTCTCCCATATCAAATCATTGCCACTATCTGATGGCCCCGTTCAAGCCATACAACTTTTGTCAGAAACATTTCTTTCTAAAGTGCATAGTTATGAAATATTCGACCGGTCCGGGACTTTTGGGACACCCTGTATATAAAATTATATTTTCTATTTATATCTAAATAAAACTTTTTTATTATTGGGTGTACAGGGTATCTTTAAAGTCTGATCCCACCTCTGGATTTCGGAAACAGCTTTAAATATGGAAAAATGTTTCAAACAAAAGTTGTAGGATATTATGAGGGACAGATGATAAAGATATGGATTGGACCTTGAATGATTATCAAGGCCAGATCAATTTAATCGATATTTTCTAAAATGGAACCTCCTCATTTTTTATTAAGAGCTTTCCAAAACACTATAATAAAGTATTTTTTCATTTCGTAAGAGTACTTTTCGAGTTATGAGGCTTGAAATAATTTCTTAATTTTACATAAACCATAAAATATCTAGTAATTCTATTTATCTATTTATTTTTTTTATTATCTTACCTTAATATTTTTACAAGATATAATGAGAAAAATCAATTGGTATAAAGAAAACACATAATTGTTGCTAAGAAAAAATATGTTTAACAATTAACAATTACATGCTGAATGAAAAAATACTTTATTATAGTGTTTTGGAAAGCTCGCGAGATAAGATATAAGAATATGCAATAAAAACTAATAATCCATTTAAAAAGACATCAATCACATTGATCCTGCTTTGATAAAGTCACTCAAGACCAAATCCATATTTTCAATATCTGTCCCCCTTAATATCCTACAACTTTTATTTGAAATATTTTTTCATATTTAAAGCCGTTTCCAAGATCCAGGGGTGGGGTCGGACTTTAGAGATATCCTGTATATGTAATTAAAATTTATTACAATTACAAATTAAGTGCTCTCTCACCTTTTAGATCAACCAACGGCATCTCATCAGATTGGTGGCTTGATATTTTTTCTTTATTTTTTATCTTCACAGTAACAGAATTAATTTCACTTATATTTGTACATACAACTTCGGATGATTGTAAATTTGTATTGGACCTAGAGTCATTTCGGGTCTCATTGTCAGAAGATAGTAATTCGCCATTATCGACATTTTGTGTTATCGATGCTGTAATTTTATGAAGATCATTATTGTTGTCCACAGAATTACATTTAGCAGGATGATCATTAAGATCATTTTGTAGCATATCCCAATCTTCTTTACTAAGACTAGAAACACGTTGAACACGAATGGATGTTTCATTTTCCTTGTAAATCTCGGGAGATGACGATATACGTTTAGAATGAATATCTATTATTTAATGCATCATTATTAATTGATATATATTATTATTAATTATATTATTAATGTTTAATATATTTTTCTTACCAGATTGCTTTATAAGCGTAGTAGTTGCTGTATTGACATTTTCTGTTTCACACAACGTATTGTCAGATTTTGAATCTGAAAAAGTTTTATTAGATTGTCCAATTGTGGTTGTAGTTTTATCGCATGTAGCAATTGATGTTTCACAATATTGCAAAGGAGTTGGCAAAGCTCTTTTTGTTTTGAATCTTTTTTTACGTCTACCACATCTTTGTACACTAGATTCTGTAGGATTTGCTGATTTCTAAAAAATGATATAATTGTTATGTTTAATATACAGGGTGTCCCGGACCGGTCGAATATTTCATAAACTATGCACTTTAGAAAGAAATGTTGCAAACAAAAGTTGTATGGCTTGAAGGGGGCCATCAGATAGTGGCAATGATTTGACATGGGAGAGTCATTTGAAAGTCACGTGAAGATCACCGTCAATTTCTTAAATGGAACCCCCTATTTTTTATTATATGTTCGTGTAGCTTATCTCGAGAGCTTTCCAAAACACTATAATAAAGTATTTCTTCATTGAGTATGTTTCGAGTTATGAGACTTGAAATCATTTCTTAATTTTGCATAAACCATAAAATATCTAGTAAAATATTCATTTTTCGATTATCTTACCTTAATACTTTTATGTACAAAATAATGAAAGGAATCAATTGATGTAAAGAAAACACATAGCTGTTTTAAAAAAAATATGTAATTGTTAATTGCAAATTACATATTTTTTTCTTAAAAACAACTATGTTTTTTCTTTACATCAATTGATTCCTCTCATTATTTTGTACATAAAATTATTAAGGTAAGATAATCGAAAAATGAATATTTTACAAGATATTTTACGGTTTATGTAAAATTAAGAAATGATTTCAAGCCTCATAACTCGAAAAGTACTCAATGAAGAAATACTTTATTATAGTGTTTTGGAAAGCTCTCGAGATAAGCTACACGAATATGTAATAAAAAAATAGGGAATTCCATTTAAGAAATTGACGGTGATCTTCACATGACTTTCAAATGACTCTCCCATGTCAAATCATTGTCACTATCTGATGGTCCCCTTTAAGCCATACAATTTTTGTCTGAAATATTTCTTTCTAAAGTGCATAGTTTATGAAATATTCGACCGGTCCGGGACTTTTGGGACACCCTGTATACTTTCAAAAAGGGAAAATTTACCTGGGTATTATCACTATTCTTCATTGTTGCATTTTCCGAATCCAACACTTTAATCGCATGAGCATTCTCTAAACCTTCCATTGTTACTTCTCTGTGAAATGCTCTTTCCTGAATAAGAGATCTTAATTTACGCACCTGTTCATTAGTCTTTCTATGAACTGTAATTTGAAAATTGTAGAAATATATTATTTCAAATCTTTTTTAAAAATGCTATGATACTTAAAAATGTGCTAAACTTTGACAGCAAAAATAACATATATATTGTAACATATCTTTATTTATTTTATAATTACCTTTATATAAATGCCGATAAACGCTCCATGTATTTGCAAATATACTTGTACAGCAAGGACAAAGATAACATATGCGCTGAGATGTATGCAGTTTCATATGAACTGTTAATGTTTTCTTTGTTGAAAATTTTACATTACCTATAAATAAAAGCAAAGAGGCCTCTCAGATCTTTTTCAAATATTTTCTAATTGTGTTAAAAGATAAGAAAATTGTTTATTTACATATTGTGCAAGTCAAATTATTTGTAGATAATCTATGTGCTAATAATTCATTCTCTTCGTCGCTCATATCTATTTGAATAGGGCTATCACTCTTTTCCAATTGATTTTCAAATGTTTGTTCTTCTAATGTAATAGTATTCTGATCTGTCACATCTTGTGATTTTGCTACCTAAAAGTCAGAAAAAGTAATATTATAATTGTTATAAGAATAAAAATGTAATGATTATACGTCATTGAAATTCTAGTTGTAAATCATAGATGATAAATAATGGCAAATAACAAAGATGAATGGATTAATGTAGCACTTACTTGTTCTTTCATTAAATCCGTAGAATTGACCAACGTGTTTGGCGATTTAATAGTTTGATATACTGCAGAACAATTTGTATTTATGGATTCCAAATAAATATGTTGGTTATTTGGAGCATTAAAAATTGTGTTTTTCTTTTCGTTAGAGATATTACTATCCATATTTTCCTCTCTTTTTTTGTTGAGCATATCTATTACGGTACTGAGATCTTTTTTGTGCGATTCTTTTGATACTTGACTTCTAAGTATTCTATCATTCTTAATATTATCCTTAATTATTGTCTGGTCCGTCGTACACATTTGAATTATTGATTCTTTACTAGAGTGCTGAAAAAGAAATTTTCGTCACACTTGTGGCAAGTAACAGCGATAACAAACAATAAATATATATAAACAAGCACATTCTCTACTTACCAAGTTATGATTGTGTAATATACTTCTATGAAGGGTAATATCAAATTTTTTCCTGCAATATTCTCTTTTATGAGATATCAAGTTTACAATACTCCTAAATAAGCTGTGACAAGTACGGCACTCGTATATAATATTGCATTCGTACGACAGAATAGATTTAACCTCGTCAGTGCCATTCTCGAGGAGCTTACTAACTTGACAAAGATCAGATACACTCGTATCAATTGGCTTGCGCAAGCTGGATAAATCAGGACTAACTACACCATTCGTATCCTTGGTAGGAAGTTTCACTTTGCCAAGTTTCTCATTTCTCTTCTTACTTTTACCCTTAGTCTGTACAGATTTCATTTTCTGGAAAAGGTTCCGCACTTCAATGTACATTTCCAACGCCTTTGCAGATCTTTACTTCCAACAATAATTTCAATTCTCTCTTATGACACACCTAATATACTTGATGCAGAGCAGCTTATATGATATTCTGCACTTCTCTGACTTGCATACAGATCTCTTAGGCCCGGTTGCACCAACATTATTTTAGTTTTAAGCGAAACTCAAAAATATGCCTGTCTTTATTTATTTAGAAAGAAAGATAAAGATAGACCTATATTTAAATCTCCCTTAAAACTGAAATAACGTTGGTGCAATTGGGCCTTACACCATCAATTGCATAACACACGGAACATTTGCAATTACGTATATGTTTACAAAATTGTGCATGAAAAAAAGAGAAAAGAACATTCTGATGGAAGTACAAGGAGCTCCCTAACACAAGTCTCGTACACAAATTTACTTACATATATACGTATAATGCATAAGTAAATATATATCCCAAATTCGGGGAGACGCAAACTGATGATGGATCCCACCCCAATCCCTGATCCCGATCCCTGAAATGTTCGGCTTGCGAAGATGCTGGGACGTCGTGCGATCTACGGTCCTCGACGTGCGTGCGTGCGATTGTCGAGGATGCGAAAAAATTGTCGGATACGGAGAGTTCTCCCAGATTGGTGAGCGACGAGCGCCTCGAGTCTCTCCTCCATTTTACACGTCGGGACCGACGTTCATCTCTCGCCTGGCGGCCGATTTCGGGGGAGGACGAGCGGCTTTAGCGGATCCGGGCGGCAACGTGCGGCTCTAGGCGTGCACGCCGGAAATATTCCTCGTCGAACGCTGCCGCGCGAGATCCCATCGCCGCGCGACCTCCATTTTTCCCGGAAAGTTCCCCGGTTTACCGCGTTTGGCAAATGTTTGGCGGGCAGCACTTTAGACCCCGACGTTCTTTTCCTTCCCTCGTGCGGCGAGGACGAGCAGGGTATTTATATCGAGATGATCGCCTCGCGGATGCTTCCTTCGTTGAAGGTGCGCTGTCAAAAAATTCCTTATTGATAGGTGTAACCTTGGTAATTATCATGTCCTCAAGGGGAAGGTACCCAACTGTCACTCATGGATTCCAATGAAACTTTGTACACTTGTAGAACTATGCGAAATAATAGACACGTATTTTTTTTTATCTGCGGAGAAGATTTTGAGGGCAAAAACAACTGTCCCATCTACTGTAATTTAACTTTCAAGCCTTCTAACGTGGAAAATACTTGACGTATGGTAACATTATTATGGTGTTTTGGAAATAAGCTACAAGAATATGCAATAAAACGTAGGTGGTCACTCACGGATGAACGATTCCTCTAATGGAACCTTTGTACCACTTGTAAAACTATGCAAAATAATATCTATCTTTGTTTATATATTCGTTATCCTAAGAAAATATTAAGTATGCAGTAAGTATTCATGTTATCGTAATATTTAATGATTTTTGAAGAAGTGGAAATGTTACGCAAGTGCACAATGTTGAGCTTACGAAAGCTCTTCTCGCAAGGAAAGCTACCCAGACAGCACAAAAAGGCCAAAAGATGTCTTAAAGACGTCTAGAGGACTTTAAGACGTCTTTAAGTAGTCTTTTAGATGTCTTTTGGACATATGTGTTGTCTGGTACTCAACTGTCACTCATGGATTCTAATGAAACTTTGTACACTTGTAAAACTATGCAAAATAATAGACACGTATTTTTTTTATCCACGGATTTTGAGGGCAGAAACAACCCCTCGTATACAGGGTCATTTTTTTTAAACAGGACCACCTACTTTTTATTGCATATTCTTGTAGCTTATCCCGAGAGCTTTCCAAAACACTATAATAATGTTACTGTATGTCAAGTATTTTCCAAGTTAGAAGGCTTGAAAGTTACATTACAGTAGATGGGACAGTTGTCTTGCCTTTCCTTGTCAGTATATTCATCTGTGTTATATGTTTGTGATGTCCCAAGTTAGATCAGGCTCCCTTATATTATTTTGCATGTATGTATATATTTATTAATATATATATATATTTTTTTTAGAAGTCGACATTGATGCTAACACAAAGAGCACTCCAAATTTATGGAGATCTTGGCACTGCCAGACTGCTACCAATGATTTCTACGATGCATCTACTGAAACCTAAGAGTATCTGTACAACATCTTTGGATCGTGCATCCACGATTGAAGTTATACAACCAATAAGACCCATAGAAAGAATGCTGAAGAAGATTGGTATTTTAGACGTCCAGAAATATGTAATTTCAGTTTCTTTATATATTGAGCTTTTTTTATCATTTCAAAATAGAAATATACATATATACAGGGTGTTTCAAACCACCCGTACCACCCATTTAAAAACTAGAGAAGTGATTATTTCAAAAAAGTAAAAACATTTTTATTTTAAATCAGGTGTGCTTTATTGAATGGTGATATTTTCAACTTCTGCTTCCGACCAGAAATAGGCGATTCAGATCGGAAGTGCATTTTTTTAAATAGAACCCCCTATTTTTCATTGCAGCTTACCTCGAGAGCTTTCCAAAACACTATAATAAATTATTTTTCCATGAAGTACTTTCCGAGTTATAAGGCTTGAAATAATTTCTTAATTTTATATAAACTGTAAAATATCTCGTAAAATATTCATTTTTCGATTATCTTACCTTAATATTTTTATGTACAAAATAATGAGAGGAATCAATTGGTGTCAAGAAAACATACAGTTGTTTTTAAGAAAAAATATGAATTGTTAATTGCAAATTACATATTCTTTCTTAGAAACAACTATGTGTTTTCTTTACATCAATTGATTCCTCTCATTATTTTGTACATAAAAGTATTAAGGTAAGATAATTGAAAAATGAATATTTTACTAGATATTTTATGGTTTATGCAAAATTAAGAAATGATTTCAAGCCTTATAACTCGAAAAGTACTCAATGAAGAAATACTTTATTATAGTGTTTTGGAAAGCTCTCGACATGAGCTACAAGAATATGCAATAAAAAATAGAGGGTTCCATTTAAAAAAATGCACTTCCGATATGAATCGCCTATTTCCGGCCGGAATCAGAAGTTGAAAATATCATTATTCGATAGAGCGCACCCGGTTTATAAAGAAAATGTTTTTACTTTTTTGAAATAACTACTTCTCTAGTTTTTAAATAGGTAGTATGGGTGGTCTGAAACACCGTGTATAATACAAATAACGTAGATCTATGCGTACATCTTGTTGTCACAAAATAATAAAAATATTCCAACGATTAAAATAGATAAGAAGAATATTTAAATTTACTAATGATTTATTAATTTGTTATAGAGATATATGGCACTTGGCAGTCTAGTATATGAACATGTAATGGCTCAAGTAGATTATCCTTTTTTCTACAAACGTAAGTTTATTTACTAATAAATTTCTTTTATACATTTCATTTTTGGTGTAGCAAATCATTCATACAAATATATGTATAACTTAAAATGTATATTGCATGGATATCTTTTTAAGAATAACATTTCTAATATTCATTCTTTTGCTTTAATAATTGTCACATCGAATTAAAAATCATCATTAATAAATATTTATATTTTTTTTTATATATTAATATTGTTAGTTTAATTTTATTGTAATTTTAATACTTAAAATATTTTAATTTTTGTAATTTATGGTTTTTTAATTTCAAGCGTATTCTCCACAGATTTCAACATGGCAGATACATTTTTCTCATGGTTTCTGGTAACAGAACTTCATCTATGGATGATAATGGTTCGTTATATGGCTGAAGGTAACGCTGGCAGATTAGTTCGAAATAGTGCAGTGAATTCACTGTGGGAAGACACAAAAGCCAGGGCGATGAATCTTGGTGTGAGTAACATTGTACTTTTAGTGCATTATACAAAGTATCCCAAAAGTCCCGGACCGGTCGAATATTTCATAAACTATGCACTTTAGAAAGAAATGTTTCAGACAAAAATTGTATGGCTTAAAAGGGACCATCAGATAGTGGCAATGATTTGACATGGAAGAGTCATTTGAAAGTCACGTGAAGATCACCGTCAATTTCTTAAATGGAGCTTCCTATTTTTTTTTACATATTCGTGTAGCTTATCTCAAGAGCTTTCCAAAACACTATAATAAAGTATCTCTTCATTGAGTACTTTTCGAGTTATGAGGCTTCATTTAGTTATGAGAAATCATTTCTTAATTTTACATAAACCGTAAAATATCTTGTAAAATATTCATTTTTCGATTATCTTACCTTAATAATTTTATGTACAAAATAATGAGAGGAATCAATTGATGTAAAGAAAAAATAGTTGTTTTAAAAAAAAATATGTAATTGTTAATTGCAAATTACATATTTTTTTCTTAAAAACAGCTATGTGTTTTCTTTACACCAATTGATTCCTCTCATTATTTTGTATAAAAGTATTAAGGTAAGATAATCGAAAAATGAATATTTTACTAGATATTTTATGGTTTATGCAAAATTAAGAAATGATTTCAAGCCTCAACTCGAAAAGCACTCAATGAAGAAATACTTTATTAAAGTGTTTTGGAAAGCTCTCGAGATAAGCTACACGAATATGTAATAAAAAATAGGGAGTTCCATTTAAGAAATTGAAGGTGACCTTTACGTCACCTTCAAATGACTCCAAGATCAAATCATTGCCACTATCTGATGATCCCCTTCAAGCCATACAACTTTTGTCTGAAACATTTCTTTCTAAAGTGCATAGTTTATGAAATATTCGATCGGTCCGGGACTTTTGGGACACTCTGTATATCATGTCATATTTTTCCATGTTTATTATATATAATTCTTTACTGATTATTAAATATGGCAATTGCAGAAAATCCGTGAAAAACTTAGAAATAAGCAAATACAAGAATTATCACAGCAATTTAATGCTGCTATAATAGGTTACGATGAAGGTATACAATCCAATGATAAAGTCTTAGCAGCAGCATTATGGAGAAGATTCTTTCATTTGGAATGCAATAATCCAGAACATGTTGAAACTCTTATTATTTATGTTAGGAAACAGGTAAGTTTTAATATAATGGATAATATTTAGCAATAAATTCCATTAAAGATGTAAATCAAAATAATTCGCTCAATACGACTTTACAAAAATGTCACATCTTATCTCGTTTCATTTCTTATTTATTTTGCAGATCAGTTTATTTGATAATTTACCATCCCATGAAATTTTAAGGAAACCCGTTTTAAAGTTAATAGACATAAAAGATATATGTAAGCCTCAAAACTAATTATTTTTTACATAATATGTTAATAGATATATTTAATGATAAATATATCGAAATGCGTACTTGTAAATATAGATTATAATAATGAAAAATTATTGTAAAAAATGTAGTAAATAAATATACAACACGTTACTTTTTTGTAAGTGTATTTTCTCTTTAGAAATACTTTTTTTACAGTATTTTTATTACAATAGAGTATTGCATCAAATTAAATCAATAATTATAAATCCGAGATATTAACTGATTCTTAAGTAATATATTTAATTGCAATATGATGGATAATCTCCTAGGCTTGTAAATATACGACATACATAAGCTCTCATGCATACCATATTGCACTCTTTTTCCAGTGATGGTTCAGCACATTTGAAAAAATTCCTAAATCAATTAATATTAAATAAGACACAATATATTTAACAGATACTTCATATAAATCTTCGTATATTATTACCTGTAGTAACGACTTAACAAATTCTCGTCGCGTGCCAGTTTATATAGCCAGCTCTGTAACGAATTGTACGACAAATCAGGAATCTTATATTCTTCTTTAAATGAATATGACTTGTACCATAATGGCCGTTGAGTAGCGTTTTCGTTTGCTAAAGTTAAATTGTACATCCAGTTCTCTATATCCTTCACTGCCTGTAAAGTTTTATCATACGTTAATATATAAAATTCAACAGTCTATATAAATATATAAATATCTATATGTCTATATAAATATTTTACTTATTTATATTATATTATTATTATATTATACATATATATTATATTATATATTATATATTATATTATATATATTATATTATATTATTATATATTATATTATATTATAAATATTTTACTTTAAGCATAAGTATTTAACTAGGAACACTTACATAATTTTTACTGTCAACAATGTATAGCTTATAATTGGGATTTAAATTTGAGTAGGCAGTTGCGCTACCGCCATTCCAAGCAACATTATTTACCGTCGAACTATTATCGTTACTATAAAATAACTGTACTTCGTCGTTATGTGTATGGCCGTTAAATTGCGCTCTAATAATTCGAGCATATCTATTAACAATTTTAAGATATTCCCTTTTCCATGTACCTTGACATTCGTCATTAGCCGGGACGTGCGCCAATATGTGCACAAACTCGCCGTCTTTCTCGGCCTGCAAAAGCGTATCTGCTAACCACTGCAACTGGTCATAAGGGTCTTTCGGTTGATACCACAACCACCTAAAAATTGTTACATGAAAGATAATACATTGTATGTTATCTTATAATATTTGCAATTGTAAGATAAGATAGATGCATGATGATGTAGAAAAAAAAATTGATGAACATGCAATATATTTTATTTATCTTAGAATATTTTATTTATCTTAGAAATATCAAACTGATAAATATGCATAAGAATATTGACAAGATAAGCAAATTATGCACATATTTATCAAGATTGTGATTTATATCATATATTCTAATATTTATCTATATTTGTTTACATACATTTTTCGACTCTTTTTTTTTTAAATCATCTTATTATGTACCTTTTTGAAGTAAAAAGGAAGAAAGAAAAAGCAAGTATATACAGGGTGTTTCATTTTAATTTCTCCAGGTAAATATTTCGGAAAATAATGAAAAATCGAAAAAATGTTTCAGACAAAAGTTGTATGGTTTCTAGGGGGACATAAGATGGTGCCATTAGTTTGACCTTGAAGAGTCACATAAAGATTACGGTGAAGGTCATTTTGAATTTCTTAGAAGACCCTATATATTTATAATTATTATAGAACACTCTATATATTTTTGCATATTCTTGTAGTTTATCTCGAGAGCTTTCCAAAATACTATAAATAAACATTTTTTTCATCAAGTACTTTTCGAGTTATGAGGCTTGAAATTATTTCTTAATTTTACATAAACCATAATACATCTTGTAAAATATTCATTTTTCGATTATCTTACCTTAATACTTTTATGTACAAAATAATGAGAGGAATCAATTGCTGTAAAAAAAACATACAGTTGTTTTTAAGAAAAAATTGTTAATTGCAAATTATATATATATTTTTTTAAAAACAACTATTTTTTCTTTACACCAATTGATTTCTCTCATTATTTTGTATATAAAAGTATTCAGGTAAGATAATCGAAAAATGAATATTTTAGAAGATATTTTACGGTTTAAAACTAATTTACGGTGTAAAATTAAAAAAATATTTCAAGCCTCATAACTCGAAAAGTACTCAATGAAAAAATACTTTATTATAGTATTTTGGAAAGCTCTCAAGATAAGCTACAAGAATATGCAAAAATATATAGGGTGTTTCATAAATTCAAAATGACCTTTACGTAACCTTCATGTGACTCTTCAAACTAATGGCACCATCTTATGTCCCTCTAGAAACCATACAACTTTTGTCTGAAACATTTTTTCGATTTTTCATTATTTTCCGAAATATTTGCCTGGAGAAATTAAAATGAAACACCCTGTACATAAAACAGATAATTAGTTAAATAAAAAAAAGGATTGTAGACTCACCAGTTGTAAGAATAACAGACATTACTGTTTAGTGCTATAATTCTAAATCCTTTTTTAGGTGTAACCGTATAATATCCGCCTTTTAAAATGGTAGAACGAGTAGATTCTGGTAACCATCCGAAATTGATCCATAAATGTGCCATCAAGTTATATAGCCATTGTGTGTTTATGTTTCTATCAGTGATAGTTTCAGGCGCGTATCTGGAAGAAATTTCACAAAAGGATTAATATCTAAAAACAATATAAATGAAGATTCTAACAAAAGATTTATACATATTCTATCTATATTACATTTCTGCATAAACAATTTGAAGTCTTACAAATTTACAGGATGTGACTCATGGTTACCCAAAATAGGATATACAGGTGTGTTTCTGAATGTTTTGTAAATTTGATAATAGGTCTTGTTGATACTCTCGAAATTTCCCTCGAAAGATGTTTCCCAAGTACCATGATCTACTATATCGCCAGTAAAGTAAACGTAGGAAATATTCTGTGGATTAAAATTCACGAGACATTTTGAATAAAAATTATAAATAATATAAAATTATAAATATATATTTTATATTAATAATTATAAATAACAAGAATTGTAAACATAATATAGATTTTTATTCTACATACCTGATGTGTGGCTTTAATCTGTTCTAGAACATCAACAACGGCATGCCAGGGACTATCGCAATAATTATAATCCCCCCAGTAGCCTGCCACTTTGTTACTTGTATTCGTATCATTTTGTCCTCTTCGACAACATGTTGGTTCATCACAATATGCGTTGCCAAAAGGTTCATAATTACGATCGTAATGGATATCTGTTAGTTGTATTATATTTATAATATTCTCGTTTTCGTAATCATCGATTAATTTTGGAGGACTACTATCAATATTAATTGTCCACTTGAACTCATCACCGATAATAAGCGGACAAGATTGTGATTCAAATATAACTCCGCAAATTGAGGATGCTGTTAAATTTGGTTTTGCATCTATGATATGCAAAATTGTTGGCTGCAAGCAAATAAGATTTAAGGATAAGATTGAATACAATTCGAAAACAAATGCATAACAATGATAACGATGACAATAACAATGATAATAAAAGATATAAGTCACAAAAAAATTTATATATCTGTTATCATGTTTATCCAGAGCTGGGAAGTAACGCATTACTTGTAACGTCCATTACTTTTATTTATTATTAATAATTTATTTAATATTATTATTTAATATTATCAATAATTTATTATTATTAATAATTTATTTATTATTAATAATTTATTATTAATTTATTTATTATTAATAATTTATTATATATTAATTAATTATTTAGTTAATTATTCCGTTATTTTTTCGGTAACGTTACATTTTTACATTTTTACATCTTTAACAATAACGAATTTAACTGTTACTTTTATCGTTACTTTAGTTATTTCTATTTAATAAATCAGCATGAGCAGTTATAATATATTGAATATACGTAGAGTTACACATAGTAAAGGCTTATCGATGTTTTGATTTTACATGATCAATGATAAAAATCAACGATAACCTTATTTCTAAATAGCAATGTAATTAATTGAATCCAAAGGTAAAAACTAAAGGTAAACTAATCACATTTTATTGCTATTTAGTCACTATAATAAAATATATCTATGATCTATAATCTATATGATATGACATTAATCTGTAGACTGTTGGGAAATCCATTTTTGTGGCTTTGAACAAATTTCGAAATTCTGCGCAATGTATATTTTATTTATATAGAAAAATTTTTAGAAAAAAAACCCTATTTTAACGAAAAAATGGCAGCAATCTAAAGGTTAATCAACTCAATCGTAATTCTATAATTCCTATTATCTTGCTAATTGAAAAATTTATTCCTGTTGCAAAATATCTTGCAAATATTTTAGAAAATTATAAATGCGTTTTTCTGTACTGATAAATCTCAAATTTCTATATTACAAATGGAAAATTCAATATGGAGAATATTTTGGAATTTAAAGAAGCGAAAAATAGTGTTAGAATAATTTAATTATCGAATAAAACTAATAATTATATTTTAAAATCAATAACATATTTAATTTTAGATTTTAGCATTTTAATTTTATTATAGAAAGTAATGAAAAAATAACGGATCATTACTTGTCTTTAGAAACGATAACGGTAACAAGTTATTTTTTTAAATTTGATAACGAGTAATGGTGACGAGTTACTTTTTATGAAAAATAATGATAACACGTTATTTTTTTTTAAGTAAAACATTTCCAACTCTGGTTTTATCATATTATATAATATATAAAATGTATAATAATATATAATATATAAATAATAATTAATATATAATAATAATATATAATATATAATATATAAAATATATAATATAATAAAAATTTTCAATTTTTTATTGTTTTATTGTTTATTGTTTTTATTGTTTTATTCATATGTATGTAATAATAATATGTGTGAATTTACACTTACCAAATTAAGAGTCACCGAACCATTGCAGACTCGTTCGGTTCCAAAATTTAGTCGGGTACAAAGTTTAATCACGTCAGATTTTATATCATTTACTGACATGCCGTTTTTATAAAATTCAATTAAAGAATCGAAGACGGAACGACATAGTACGCAAGTAATTGTGTTTCTTTTACTGGTGAAATCATTCCAATTCGAACGTTTTAAACTGGCCGGAAAAGCTAGATTATCGAGTAAAGATTGAAGTTCTTGAGACTCAACTCCTGTTTTTACCCAATTATTAATTTCATTGGTCAAACGTAATACCATTTCATCTGCAAAATAGCCTCGTTATTTTTACAGCTTAAAATATAAAATATATTCTTTATCTTATATATTTTATAGCGATAAATAACAATGTAATAAATATAATAGAATAATAAAATATGATAATAAATGTAAGTATATAGGTGTATTCTTTATATCTTTAAATATAATGTTCTTTGTTTTTGTGTGTGAGCGATTATTTTTTATAGACTTCCATGAAATTTACATTCTTTAGAATAGGTATTTATGAGATAAACAGGGTGTCCCATTTTAATGTCCCACCCTAAATAACTTTCTTATTTTTAATTTTAGAAAAATATGTTTCAGACAAAAGTTGTATGGTTTCAAGGGGGATATAAGGTGGTGTCATTAGTTTGACCTCGAATAGTTGCTTCAAGGTCACGTAAAGGTCACCTTCAATTTTTTAAATCAAACCCTTTACTTTCTATTGCATATTCTTGTAGCTTATTTCAAGAGCTTTCCAAAACACTATAATTAAGTTAGTTTTCATTAAGTACTTTTCGAGTTATGAGGCTTGAAATCATTTCTTAATTTTACATAAACCGTAAAATATCTTGTATAATATTCATTTTCCGATTATCTTACCTTAATACTCTTATGTACAAAATAATGAGAGGAATCAATTCGTATAAAGAAAACACACAGTTGTTTTCAAGAAAAAATATGTAATTGTTAATTGCAAATTACATATTTTTTCTTCGAAACAATTATGTATTTTCTTTACACCAATTGATTCCTCTCATTATTTTGTACATAAAAGTATTAAGATAAGATAATCGAAAAATGAATATTTTACAAGATATTTTATGGTTTATGTAAAATTAAGAAATTATTTCAAGCCTCATAACTCGGAAAGTATTTAATGAAAACTAACTTAATTATAGCGTTTTGGAAAGCTCTTGAGGCAAGTTATAAGAATATATGAAGGCATATAGGGTGTTCCATTTAAAAAAAATTGAAGTGACCTTCACGTGACCTTCAAATGATTCTTCAAGATCAAACCAATGGTACCATCTTATGGCCCCCTCGAAACCATACAACTTTTGTCTGAAACATCTTTTTCTAAAATTAAAAATAAGAAAGTTATTTGGGATGGGACATTAAAATGGGACACCCTGTATAACTCTACAGACTATGGCCGGTATTCATAGTCCGATCTTATATTTGAGATCGTCTTAAGTTCGAGCTTGAAATGCTACGCAGCTATTTGATTGGTTGAATGAGGTCTTAAGTCAACCTCCAAGCAGACTTAAGACGATCTTAAATATAAGATCGGATTATGAATACTGGCCTATGTGGTATGTGTGTTAAAACTATGTATTTGATTAAAATTAAAACCAATGATAATTTTAATCTTTAAATGATACCGACTTGCATATTTTGCTATCAATACATTTTGATTGACGAACAAAATAAACTGATAATTTTAATTTAATCTTTAAATGATATTTGAGTTTATAATTGATTAGATAATATATAATCGCGAGAATATAAATAATTAGATAAGAATTATTTTTTTCGGTCAATTTGACTTAAATTTTATATAATAATATATAATATATATATATTTATATTATATAATATATATATTAAAATAATTTTATATATTATTTATATTATCAGTTATAAATTCAAATTATATCAGTTTATAAATTCAATTTATATATCAGTCAATATAAATTCAAATATCAAATATCAAATTCAAAAATTCAAATATCAAATTTTACTTCAGGTCTAATATCAATATACAGGGTATAACTAAAAAAGCGCCTACAGAATAAATAGCGTTATTTCCGTTTTACCTCGAGTCGAAAGTCGAAACCATTCTTTTCTATAATGCTTAATAAAGCGGTAATGATTGAGTAAAGTGCGCCAATAAGCAGGTCAGTGCCGCGCGCCTGGTAGTGTGCGTGAGCGATTTTGCTATCGTGCAATATACTTATGCGTTACTTTTAATTTGCATTAAAAATCATATTTCTTCTGTCAAAAGCGGTTCCTCAAAAAAAATTTCGACAAGGAGGCTAAAGGTCAATGCTTATTGGCGCAACTTTATTCAATAATTGTCGTTTTATTAAGCATTATGAGAGCAGAAAAAAATGGTTCAGGACTTTTCGACTCGATTTTTAAGGGATATTTCAGGAATAACACTATTTGCTCCGTGGGCGCTTTTTTAGTTACACCCTGTATATTACATATCGATACAACATAACTCTAATATATATTAATACATGTTATACAAATAGATTATACAAATAGATATTGATTGTACAATTGTTGATGTTATTGATAAAAATATCGATAAAATAATTATATTAAATAATAATAAATTATATTAAATTTTACCTTCATAAGTGACTCCATTACTATTTGCAACTTTTAATAAAAGTGCAAAGAATAACACTTTATAGAGCTGCATATTGACGCGACTAAGTCCGAATCAATACATCACTGTAATAGAAAAAACGATTGTATATCTAGAGTTAGTGGCTTATAAAGCGTTATTATATCTTTAAGATAATTCCCCACTTTTATCATTATTGCCCTTCCTTAATACTAAAACGGTTTAATATAACAAACTTTGATCTCACACATGTGAAAAAAATTTATAAAATATTTACATATTATAGATTTGCATCTATGTATAAACATTTATTAAAATTATTACGTGAAAATATATAGAGTGCATTTGTCTAATTTACTTTTACATCTCAAGATTGAAATAATAATATTTTTTATTAAACATGCCGATTATTCTATTGCTCTATGAATATTATACATGCATACATTTTATAAATGCTTGAATATTTTTTATTAAACATACCGATTATTCTATTGCTCTATGAATATTATACATGCATACATTTTATAAATGCTTGAATAATCGCATAAATAAAAAGAAACTTGTGCTTGGTCATTTTATTTTTTATCGATAATTTTCATACATAAAATATATATCGTCGAAATGATTTAGCAAATAATAGATTGAATTAACATAATCCAGCAACGTTAAATATTGTGAATTATTATTATATAAGGTATCGAAGTATACATAAATTGATAGCAATTCATCGGCAAGTTTTCAAAATATTTTGAAATTTTTCATAAGTACATTTTTTACATGTAACTTGCAAAAAATGTTCCTTCAAATATATATTTTTTTTATTCGGAAACTTCGGTCATTTCGGTGTCCTCAATTACAAGATCGTCTAACATTTCTTCAAGTGTAATCTGCGGAATACTTGGATCTATTTCGTTAGTATCAACAGGAATTTGTTTCCTAGTATCCCGAAATATATTGATGTTCTGCCTCAATTCCGGATCTTCTTCTAAATCGTCGAGGAATTCATTATACTCACTGTAAATTAAAATCATTTCATGTGAGATAATTTGCAATATACAAAATGTATTGTAATTTTTTATACATACAGTGTCCCAAAAGTCCCGGACCGGTCGAATGATTCATAAACTATGCACTTTAGAAAGAAATGTTTCAAACAAAAGTTGTATGGCTTGAAGGGGGCCATCAGATAGTGGCAATGATTTGACATGGGAGAGTCATTTGAAAGTCACGTGAAAATCACCGTCAATTTCTTAAATGGAACCCCCTATTTTTTATTACATATTCGTGTAGCTTATTTCGAGAGTTTTCCAAAACACTATAATAAAGTATTTCTTCATTGAGTATGTTTCGAGTTATGACACTTGAAATCATTTCTTAATTTTGCATAAACCATAAAATATCTAGTAAAATATTCATTTTTCGATTATCTTACCTTAATACTTTTATGTACAAAATAATGAGAGGAATCAATTGGTGTAAAGAAAACACATAGTTGTTTTTAAAAAAAATATGTAATTGTTAATTGCAAATTACATATTTTTTTCTTAAAAACAACTATGTTTTTTCTTTACACCAATTGATTCCTCTCATTATTTTGTACATAAAAGTATTAAGGTAAGTTAATCGAAAAATGAATATTTTACTAGATATTTTATGGTTTATACAAAATTAAGAAATGATTTCAAGCCTTATAACTCGAAAAGTACTCAATGAAGAAATACTTTATTATAGTGTTTTGGAAAGCTCTCGAGATAAGCTACACGAATATGTAATAAAAAATAGGGAGTTACATTTAAGAAATTGAAAGGTACCTTTACGTCACCTTCAAATGACTCTCCAAGGTCAAATCATTGCCACTATCCGATGGCCCCCTTCAAGCCATACAACTTTTGTCTGAAACATTTCTTTCTAAAGTGCATAGTTTATGAAATATTCGACCGTAGGGACTTTTGGGACACTCTGTATACATCATTTCTTACTTATTTTCAGTACTCATGCTGAATATTTCATCAGCAATATGTTTCAACCTCCACACTCTTGCCCTGCGACGAGCCGCTTTATCGTGGCCATAAAACTTTTTTACCAAAATAATATCGGGTATTAAATCTTCACTTAGTTTATCAAAATTAGTATCGTTAATATTACTATCTTTTAGAGCATAGCTGCAACAGTGTAAAAAAAATAACTATATATATATATATATATATATATATATATATATATATATATATATAGTTTTATATTTGGAACATAATGATATATTTAGATATTTACTATTTATATATTATTATACATACACACATATTGTACATTTATAAATTATTTTTTTATAATCTTTACCCTAGGACCGAATCACCTGGTTTAAGTATATGGCCTAAATGTGTACGTGTGTGAATTAGATTATCGTTCATCCCTAATTCGGATGCTTTCACCAGCCATGCATCCGCTATGACATGCTAAAAAAAATTATCATGTATCTATAATAAATTATACAAATATCTAATATTGTTAGCAAGATATGTATACTTGTATTTACTTGAAATATTAATACAATGAAAAATATATAATAATATAATATTTATATAATGAAAAAGTTTTAAATATTCATTTAAAACATATTTTTTATAAGTCAAATGTATTTATAGAAATGTATTTATTATTTCTTGATTATACTGAACATGTATAATGGTCAAATAATGCAGATACAAAAATTCATCTTCAATAATTATACGTTTGAATAATGTAAATTAAATATAGCTGATTCAAATATTTGGAGGAAGATTTTACTTTTTTAGAAATAGATCCTTGCCCTGGGAAAGATTTGATATCTGTATGTTTTATTGGCTCAATATCCATGACCACAAATTCTGTTAATTGTTTTGGATTACATATACTGTTGAAGTTATATCTCCAGTAAACAGTTGAGCTTACTTCAGTAACTAGAAAGATGAAATTGTTATATTAATTAATTTTTATCATTATAATTAGTGTTAATATTACAACTTACTTTGACCTGATGAAACATCTATTAGATGCACAGAATTTGTAATTTTATATACCAAACAAATGGGACTGATTCCACCCAATTGCTGAGTTAATTTTCGTGGTAGACAAACTATGCTATCTTTGGAGATTGGAACAATGTCGACACTGTTCAATGTATAAAAGTTATTAAATAGAATTAAATAGAATTAAAACACACACATATATGCTATTGCATATATATTTACCTGTATGTAAATTTATAATTGTATATGTTACTATGACAATCGTATGAAATTAATTTTTTTGAATGTTGATACTGACATGGTATGACCGTTACTAAAAAATCAACCATTTTTCTAGCCATAGCTTCATTTGCATAGAAAAAATCCAAACCCTCTATAAATATTGGAAAAAAATTTTAGATTTATATACATATACATATGCATGCGTGTGTGTGTGTGTGTGTGTGTGTGTGTGTGTGTGTGTGTGTGTGTGTGTGGTGGTGCGTGCGTGTGCGTGCGCGCGTGTAATTCTTATTTGGTTTTATAAAATTTCTTGTAAACACAATTACCATGAATAGGCTTTATACCCAGTGTTTGTTCATGTGCCTTATGTTTCAATATAAGCTGTTCTAAATAAAAAAAAGTTTTTTTGTTTATCGCTTTTTGCCGAACTTGTACCTGTAAAATGTTATAAAATATGTATGTATACATGTCATATATACAGGGTAGGCCATTTTAATCAATATACGTGAATATCTCAGAAACACTGCATTAAATCGAAAAATGTTTCAGACAAAAGTTGTATGGCTTGAAGGGGGATATAAGATGGTGATTAATTTGACCTTGAAAAGTCACCTGAAGATCATGTGAAGGTCACCTTCAACTATTTAAATGGGACACCCTATATACTTTTGCATATTCTTGTAGCTTGCTTCAAGAACTTTCCAAAACACTATAATAAAGTATTTTTTCATTGAGTACTTTTCGAGTTACGAAGCTTAAAATAATATCTTTATTTTACATAAACCATAAAATATTTAGTAAAATATTTATTTTTCGATTATCTTACCTTAATACATTTATGCACAAAAAATTATTTCAAGCTTCATAACTCGAAAAGTATTCAATGAAAAAATACTTTATTATAGTGTTTTGGAAAGCTCTTGAGGCAAGCTACAAGAATATGCAAAAGTATAAGGGTGTTCTATTTAAAAAGTTGCAGGTGATCTTCACGTGACATTCAGGTGACTCTTCAAGGTCAAATTAATGGCACCATCTTATGTTCCCCTTCAAGCCATACAACTTTTATCTGAAACATTTTTCGATTTAATACAGTGTTCCTAAGATATTCGCGTGTATTGATTAAAATGGCCTACCCTGTGATATATTATATATACAGGGTAGGCCATTTTAATCAATACACGCGATCCAATAACTATATATATATTATATATATATATATATATATATATATACAGGGTGAGGCATCTAAAACAGGCCACCTGAATAACTCCGTTGGTAAGCCGAATACAAAAAAATTGTTCAGACAAAAGTTGTATGGTTTCAAGGGGGACATATGATGGTGTCATTAGTTTAATCTTGAAGAGCCACCCGAAGGTCACGTGAAGATCAGCTCCAACTTTTTAAATGGGACACCTTATATGCTTTTGCATATTCTTGTAGCTCATCTCAAGAGCTTTCCAAAACACTATAATTAAGTTAGTTTTCATTAAGTACTTTCCAAGTTATGAGGCTTGAAATCATTTTTTAATTTTACATAAACCGTAAAATATCTTGTAAAATATTCATTTTTCGATTATCTTACCTTGATACTTTTATGTACAAAATAATGAGAGAAATCAATTGGTGTAAAGAAAACACATAGTTGTTTCTAAGAAAAAATATGGAATTTGCAATTAACAATTCCATATTTTTTGTTAAAAACAACTGTATGTTTTCTTTACACCGATTGATTCCTCTCATTATTTTGTACATAAAAGTATTAAGGTAAAATAATCGAAAAATGAATATTTTATAAGATATTTTACGGTTTATGTAAAATTAAAAAATGATTTCAAGCCTCATAACTTGGAAAGTACTCAATGAAAACTAACATAATTGTAGTGTTTTGGAAAGCTCTTGAGATGAGCTACAAGAATATGCAAAAGCATATAAGGTGTCCCATTTAAAAAGTTGGAGCTGACCTTCACGTGACCTACGGGTGGCTCTTCAAGATTAAACTAATGACACCATCATATGTCCCCCTTGAAACCATACAACTTTTGTCTGAACAATTTTTTTGTATTCGGCTTACCAACGGAGTTATTCAGGTGGCCTGTTTTAGATGCCTCACCCTGTATATATATATATATATATATATACAGGGTAGGCCATTTTAATCAATACACGCGATCAATACATATATATATGTTATATATATATATATATATATATATATATATATATATACAGGGTAGGCCATTTTAATCAATACACGCGATCAATACATATATATATATATATATATATATATATATATGTTGATGTGTGTAAGAAATAACGTAATCAATTGTCATTTAAATTCCTTTTAAATTCATTTTAAATTAAAAAATTTGAAATTTACACTCGCACGCCAGTAATTTTTAGCTTCTGTGCGATGACAATCATTGCACATTTGATGATTCACAGTATATTCAACCACAAATACTTGCTGCAATACCGCTCCACCAAGTACTTCTGCATGAACAGTTAATTTTACCTAAAAAAATATTAAACACAAATAATTACTATTAGACTCTGTTACATATAAGAAATTATATGCAACAAATTATATACTTATATAATTAAATTAGATACTTATATATAATAAGTTTGAAATAACATCAATTTGTATTAACAATTAAATTAGTATTAAATTAATCCAATTTAATAGTACTTTAACATATAATTTAAATTTATTAATTAGTAACAAATAAAATAATTAATTAGTAATTAATATTTTCTTCTCAATTTTATTTGTATTACATATAAGAAATTTACTTTTAATCTTTTGGAATGTGGTTCTGTCCATACAAATCCAGCATCTATCAATTTTACACGATTTAATCCCTTCAATTTCTTTAAACATAGCGATAAAAGCTCTCTGGATTCCAATGCAGCATGAATCCATTCAGCAGGTGGCTGAAGATATCTGTCATGTACAGTATTTGAATAATCTGATAATTATTTATGCAAGTTTTAAAAAATATCGCACCTTTCGCAGCCCTTACAAAACTGTAAAGTAGCTTGTTTAGGAATTCCCTCTGTAATGTCGACATGATTACGCAAGCATACTACACACATATTTGCAGGATTTGGCTCGATGAGTGTCCCACATTCGCAGCAAAGGCTACAGATAAAAAACAATTGTTTATACATGTGAAAATTAATCTTTATTTCATCAGAATATCTTGTATATTATATATTACGTATACACACATCATGCTCTTCGTTTGCGCTGTCTCAGGAACTTGAATGTACTCCATTTCACATCTATGTATAGCTAAAGAGAAAAAAAGTTCATAAAGCATACATATTGAATATTGATTTTTTTAATGATAGAATTAATATTTTTTTCTTCTTGAACTTTTTTTTGAAATTTTGCAATAAAAAAACACAATCACACAAGAATATTCCACATATGACATTTAAAACATAGGAAATTTCATTATTTTAAATAAAAGCTTCTTTTCTTTAGATTTATTTATCTTTTTTTCTATTTTTTATATAAATATTTCTATTCTTCTATTTCCTTATACAGAGTGTTTCAAACCACTCGTACTACCCATTTAAAAACTGAGAGAAGTGATTATTTCAAAAAAGTAAAAACATTTTCTTTATAAATCGGATGCGCTTTATCGAATGGTGATATTTTCTTCTATAACTTCTGGTTCCGGCCGGAAATAGGCGATTCAGAAGTGCATTTTTTTAAATGGAATCTCTTATTTTTCATTGCACATTCTTACCTCGAGAGCTTTCCAAAACACTATAATAAATTATTTTTCCATGAAGTACTTTTCGAGTTATGAGATTTGAAATCATTTCTTAATTTTACATAAACCATAAAATGTCTTATAAAATATTCATTTTTCAATTATTTTACCTTAATACTTTTATGTACAAAATAATGAGAGGAATCAATTGATATAAAGAAAACACATAGTTGTTTCCAAGAAAAAATATGTAATTAGCAATTAACAATTCCATATTTTTGCAGTGCACATAAAAATGTAATAACTGGACTTTCGTCATATAATGGCGGTTCGCAATTTTATAAAAAAAGTTATTTTAGTTACAGTTTTTACAGAATACAATATTTTTTTCAATTAATGTTTCCTTCTTTTATTCCTTCCTTTATTTTTTATTTTTATATAATCTATAATTATGTTGTATAATCTAGAGGGTGTTTCAGACCACCCGTATCACCCATTTAAAAACTAGAGAAGTGGTTATTTAAAAAAAAGTAAAAACATTTTCTTTATAAATCAATTTATGCGCTCTATCGAATGGTGATATTTTTAACTTCTGGTTCTGGCCGAACATAGGCGATTTAGACCAGAAATGCATTTCTTTAAATAGAACATAGTTGTTTCTAAGAAAAAATATTGTAATTTGCAACTAACAATTCCATATTTTTTCTTAAAAACTGTATGTTTTCTTTACACCAATTGATTCCTCTCATTATTTTGTACATAAAATGAATATTTTACGTTATATTACGGTTTATGTAAAATTAAGAAATGATTTCAAGCCTCATAACTCGAAAAGTACTTCATCGAAAAATAATTTATTATAGTGTTTTGGAAAGCTCTCGAGGTAAGCTACAAGAATAAGCAATGAAAAATAGGGGGTTCCATTTAAAAAAATGCACTTCCGGTCTGAATCGCCTATTTCCGGCCGGAACCAGAAGTTGAAAATATCACCATTCGATAGAGCGGACCCGATTTATAAAGAAAATGTTCTTATTTTTTTTAAATAACCACTTCTCTAGTTTCTAAATGGATGGTACGGATGGTCTGAAACACCCTGTATAAGGAAAGAATAGAAATAATTATATAAAAAATAGAAAAAAAAGATAAATAAATCTAAAGAAAAGAAGCTTTTACTTAAAATAATGAAATTTCCTATGGTTTAAATGTCACATGTGGTACGTGTGGTCTGGAACACCCTTATACATAAAACATGACAAAAATCTCCCTTTTAGGTTATATTTCACAAAATGTCATCTGCCTTTCGACAAAATTGAATTTTCTCCCGATTTATAGAAAACATCTAATATTTGAACAAAAGCTTTAATTTGAGATTATTTAGGGCACCTTCTCTCGAATAAAAATACGCGAAAATTAACAATAGAACAAGACACTAACCTCGTGGTTGGATTAAACACAGTTATACTAGGTTACGTTCGAAAATGTCACGTCGAAGCAGAAGTAGAGCGCGATTGACCAATCGCAACACGCGAATCCTCGCTTCCTTTATTCTGATTGGTCAATCGAACGGCGCATGTTCCGAGGTTGGTTGACTTTGGAACGCAGCCCTGGAGGGAGATGGAAGGGAACACGACTCCGAGTATTTATGTAACTTCATTTTTTTGACGAGAAGCAAGACCTGCCGCTGTCAATGGATCGGACAGGGACTCGATGAATGAACGATAAATGATGCTGTAAGTAATCGTGTATTGAAGGAGAATCGCGATTATTTATTGTGTGGCTTAAGAACAGAGTGACCCTGAAAATTGTCAAGCTCCCGGTCCAGTTCCTAAACTAGGAGACCCAGAAGATGGGCTCCGGTCAAAGCGCTCGCAAGTTGACCATCTCGAACGAGGAGGAGGTCGGGGTGATCAAGGTGTCCAACGCGATTGTCCAGCGTCTTGCGCAACGAGACGACGAGTCCTCGACGAGCCCGAGACCTGACTCGCCGAGGAAGCATCCAGCACCTCCTAGTGCTCCTGTTCCTTCAGCTACACCTGTTGCACCTGGACAGCCGGTGCATTATCCTGAACTGACCTTGTCCGCTCTTCAAGTACAGCAACAAATGGAACAGGAGCTGAAGAAGCAGGATCAATACTGGCACAGGCGACTGCAGAATCTAGAGGAGGGTTACCAGAAGATTAATCACATCCTGGAGGATGAGTACAAGAAAGCTCTCAGTGAAACGTCCGCCGCTAAGACTGGTGCGAGTTTAGATATTGTTTGAAAACTTAATTTATTTTAACAAATTAATAAATTGATAAAAAATTAAGCTTTCTTATGTATTAAACAACATGATACATAAGAAATGAACGATTAAGAGCCACTGCAGATGATAGTGCGTAAATTTTTTCTTAAAGATTAATTGTTCGCGAAAATTAAAACGTGCACAAGACGTATGCATACAGGGTGTCCCAAAAGTCCCGGACGGGTCGAATATTTCATAAACTATGCACTTTAGAAAGAAATGTTTCAGACAAAAATTGTATGGCTTAAAGGGGACCATCAGATAGTGGCAATGATTTGAACTTGGAGAGTCATTTGAAGATGACAAAAAGATCACTGTCAATTTCTTAAATAGAACCCCCTATTTTTTATCACATATTCGTGTAGCTTATCTCGGGAGCTTTCCAAAACACTATAATAAAGTATTTCTTCATTGAATACTTTTCGAGTTATGAGGCTTGAAATCATTTCTTAATTTTACATAAACTTGTAAAATATTCAATTTTCGATTATTTTACCTTAATACTTTTATGTACAAAATAATGAGAGAAATCAATTGGTGTAAAGAAAACACATAGTTGTTTTAAAAAAAAATATGTAATTTGCAATTAACAATTACATATTTTTTTCAAAAACAACTATGTGTTTTCTTTACACCAATTGATTCCTCTCATTATTTTGTACATAAAAGTATTAAGGTAAGATAATCGAAAAATAAATTATATATAATATTTTACAAGATATTTTAGTTTATGTAAAATTAAGAAATGATTTCAAGCCTCGTAACTCGAAAAGCACTCAATGAAGAAATACTTTATTATAGTGTTTTAGAAAGCTCTCGAGATAAGCTACATGAATATGTAATAAAAAATAAGTTCCATTTAAGAAATTGAAGGTGAACTTTACATCACCTTCAAATGACTCTCCGAGATCAAATCATTGCCACTATCTGATGGCCCCCTTCAAGCCATACAACTTTTGTCTGAAACGTTTCTTTCTAAAGTGCATAGTTTATGAAATATTCGACCGGTCCGGACTTTTGGGACACCCTGTATATTTTACTTGGTGCATTTACCAAGATATAGATTATTAATTTATTTTTTTTTAGATTTGCTAACTATTTGTATATAATTAAAGCTCTTATCATTATATTAGAGATGACAATTTTATTGAGATTAAGAATCTAATCTTACTTTAATATATTTTTCTCTTTGAGATATTTGATGGTATTTAACAAAAATTAATTTTTTGTATAATTAAATAAATACTGTAGATTTGCCAAAGCCAACAAATTATAATTAGTTTTAAAAATATTAGGGGCAGTAATTCAATTGCTTATAAATATAAGATTAAATATTGTTCTCCAGATTTGTTTAAATTTAAAAATGTATTGTTATAGGACAAAAAACTGTCAATGTCCAGGGTACAGTGCAACCATGTCTGGATGGTAGTAATAAAGTCCTAAAATGTTTCCAAGATCATCCCAAGGAGATTCTCAAATGTTCAAACTTGGTAGAAGAATTTTCAAATTGTGTCTGGAATTTGCATTATACACGTGTGATTGAAGCGCGTTCGTAATACGTTATTATGCGTTTCATTAAATCACAGCACAGGATTCAAAGGACATTTAGTCAACAAATAATAAATTATACGATAAGCTATAATGCCTGGTAAAGTGCTTATTTTAATGGCAGAATATTGCCAGTGGAAAGTAGTGTAAAGCAAAGGATATATGGAGAAAAATGTAAAAAAATAAATTATTTGAAGAATACATATTGCAATTTATAATAAAATGAAAAATGTTATATATATATAAGATAAATATTGTTAAGCATCTAACACAAAGTATTTTCTTTCATTTCAAAACATTTTAATAACGTTTTTCTCCAGGACTGGATAACAGAATACAATATAATATATAAGGCACAAGATTTGTTCATTAAAATAACAGGTTTATAGTTATGTAGGAAAGCATGTGTTATGAAAAGCAACTTGTTATTTCAAGATTCTTAGTACAGTTCTATTCATAGTTCAAAATATATACAGCATAATCTGGGGTATATGACCCAAATAAAGGCCTACAATATTACAATATTGTAGAAAATAATACTAATATACGATTTCGTAAGATTACCAGTAAATATAAAACGAGCAAATGTTGCAAATGCAAGATTGGAAGTACATTTGAAATATATTATTTAAGATGCGTGTAAAATAGTCTATTTATACACTATTAATATTTGTCAAATGTATGACATACAATATTCAGTAAAAAATTCAAATCATTTTTAATATATAAAATGATTAAAAATTGACATTTACTATTGAAATTTATCACTTTTGCAAAAGAAAAAAAAATATAAAGTAATTATAAGTTTTTCTTCATAAAATTCTTTGATTTATGAATTTTAATTAACTTACATGTAACAAATATTTCGAATCATAAAATAAGAATGCAGGCATTGTTTAGAAAGTGCACAAAACTGAAAAAAGGATATATAATTGTATTACGAGGCACGTTACAATATTAATAATAGTATTTTTAAATTAATAATAGTATTTTATACAATCTCCAAACAAAACTTATAGTTTAACCAGTAACTCTAGAAATATGGATCTTGTTCAAATTATGGAACATAACAATGTTTTAAGGATACAACATAACAATATTTTAAGGTTTAATATAAACAAAATATTAAAATAAAAAGAAGACATGAAAAAATCTTTGTTTAATCGCTTTTTTTATCGCTACTCGACTGCGTAAGTTTTGCGTGCTCGTTAGTTAAACGATCATATTCCTTTGCAAGTGAATCTGCCTGTGATTTTATCGCTTCTTTATCTTTTTTCTCTTTGACCAAATTATTCTCAAGTTCCAAATTTTTAACTTGCAATTCTTTAATCTGCTTTTTCAATTCTGAAACTTGTTTATCATGTGCTTCATTAGAGTCGTTCTGTGCACTTTCCCCAATCGTCCTCTGGGACAGTAAGCTCCTGGCTGTGGTTGTCGCAGACTGAGCTTGTCGCATTGCTGCTTCATTTTGCGCAAGTAACGTAGCTTGAGTGGATATCAAAATGACAAGACGACGTATTACCAAACTCAAAAATAGCGCAAAGCCAGATATGTAAAAATTTCTTTGGGCACGAAACATTCGCATGTTTTCTATGAAAAAGAAAAAAATACCAATATATTAAAAGATACAATAATGCTGCAATTAATAGATAAGAATGTGATATTAATACATGATAAATATAAAATATATATCTTAAATCATTTACCTTGCAATTCTAAATTTAATGATGGATGAACATCAGTATGATCAGTTTTGGAGTACTTTCGCATTTCTCGTAGAGCATCCATTAGGAAGAGAACCAAAGTACCAAGCAGGATCACAAAGTAAATGGAAGCTTGGTTACTTAGACTTTGTAAGAAACGAGATTTGAAGAGCTTTTGCCATCTAGTTGGCGAAGCTATTGGTAATACCAGAAGAAGAACTACAGCAATTTCGGCATAGAGGAAACCAGCAATGAGTGTCCACTGTATACTCATGTTTATTTCTAATTTTGCTTTTATGTGGGTATCTGAAAATAATGTAAAACACACAAGTTGATATTTAATATGTTAAATTTTCGAAAACTCGTTACTGAATTAATTTTATCACCGCAATTGCAGGATGACGTTTTCTAATTGCGTCAGTAAAAGTGTTTATAAAACGTGATAATTATGCGAAAAAAATAAATAAATAAAATACAGAAATAAATAAATAAAAAATAAATAAATAAAATATATTAAATAATAAATATATTAATAAAATATATTTAAAAAAATATAGTAAAATACGTGATAATTATGCGAAAAAAAAAAACATTGACTCGTAACATTACGATATTAATTATCTAAGTATATGCAAGTAATTCTGCGAATGAAACGAAAAAATGACGTGGTCTCGAAGGAATCAATTATATGACACAACATGATGACATTTTTACGAGATGTACACAAGATTCGCGGAAATTTAGAGCCTTATCGGTCGCTGAGACTCATTTGTCAAAATGAATCAATCATTGTCAAAAATTGGGACACGGTCTTCCTATGAAAAAAAAAAGTCACGTCGTTACGATTCACGAACCTCGATGATCCACGACTCGCAGAACTCCCGGTAGATCTTTTACAAAACGCAGAATCGAAGATATCTCGAATAGTATCGGAAATCAAGGATATCTTTAATGTGTCAGATTATCTGCAACTTTATTGAATGATCCAATCTACGTTTTCAATAACGGTAACGATAAATTTCACGCGAACGAGACGGCTGGCGGTTCCATCAAACGGCGGCGAATTTTGTTTGTCGGCTCAAGTTCTATTTATAGATTTACATACTTTTCTCGGGGACGATGCGAAAAGCGAATGAGGCTCTTGCGGCTTCTGTGACGTGCCAGGTGCACGAATAAGTTCAAAGTACGAGTCGCGGAAAACGTCGTCGCTATTTTATAAATAAACCGTTTCACGGTGACGTCATCGTGAAGCTTCTCGCTGATTAATCACGTTATGTATACGGGTATTTACGTATGTATGCACGCATGTGAATACACTAATATAGCCAATCGGTGCATCGAAAAGGGCGATTTGACCTCGATCAACGAGTATCGAGCTCGTGGGACGCATCGATTGGCCACCGGATAGGGAATTTCTAGGGTCTCTGCGGTAGCGGCCAATCGGGATGTTCGCGGGCGTGCGATTGGTTGATTCTTTAGTGCATATGCACTTTGAAAAACGTGCTAAAAACCACAGATATCTATACTATAACTAGATCGCTAACTCCCATTGATTTTGTACATAAAATGTGTCCCCAAAAACTATGTAATATGGCTATCGCGCATGCGTAATATTGGTGGAAAACTAAGAGACACCTCCGATTAGACACAGTACAATTGGACACAACTGGCTTTGATTGGCTAATCGTGCTTGATCGTGCTGGTTACCCTAAGCATCGGTCGATATGATTGGTTGTGTCTAATCGTACTGTATCTAATCGGGCAATCCCCGAAAACTAATATGGTGGACACTTGTAGCCAGCTAATATTTAAGTTTTCACCTTAAAACTTGTACTTTTTACATTATAAACTTTTAATTTTGTAATAAAATAAATATAAATATATATATAAATGTTATATACATATATTTTTAATCTTTATATATTTTTACTCTTCTATATACAGGGTGTTTTAGACCATCAGTACTACCCATTTAAAAACTAGAGAAATGGTTATTTCAAAAAAATTAAAAACATTTTCTTTATTAAATCGAGTGCGCTCTTTTGAATGGTGATATTTTCAACTTCTGGTTCCGGCCGGAAATGGGCGATTCAGATCGGAAATGCACAATTAAATTCAAAGGAGTCGCCTACGTAAGTATATATATGTATCAATTCAAATATAATTAAAATAAATACGTATATAATATCAATTTGTACAATTAAACTTACAAAATTATTATTATAAACATGTAAATATGAAATAAAATATATATATTCTTCTTATTATTAAAAATTTTTCTACATTACATGTAGAAATTCAAAAAGTTTCCAAGACGTTTCAATTCTAAATCAAAATGATCAAGTAGAATATATACAATTTTCAAGTGATGAAATAAAGATATGTCTTTACGTTACGATTTTTTCTGTGCGTTGACTGAAGTTTAAGTTTATGTACGGAGTTGAATTTACAACATATACTTAACGTAACGTAATGCGATACGGAACATCTTGTGCGGAGGCCCTAAAGGCAGCCACTGCCTTATTGCTCGACTGTGATTGGTTGATTCGTTTAAGTCTTAAGTTTATTGTCTAAGTTTTTTTATGTGCTCCAGGCTTAAAGGCCGCAGCACACACTTTTGCATAAGCGCATACCATAAGCATAAGAAAATTGATTGGTTCATTTTCTTATGCATATACTTGGGGACCAATCAATTTCCTTATGTTTATGGTTATGCGCTTATGCAAAAGTGTGTGCTGCGGCCTTGAGTCGTGTTCCGAAATTACTGCCAGTATTGCAAATTCTATAGTGCACGTTACGTATATTGTATATTTTCAGTGCTGGCAGTAAACTGGCAGCAATTTCGGAACACGATCCATGGACGTAAGAAATACTGGACAGTGTATTGCTGCGGGGGTGAAGCTCAAAAGGTGAGGGGAAAGAAATGTCTACTGCAACGGAATATGAGGCATGTAAAATGGCGAAGGATATTAATTTCACGGAGTGTGATATTTTTGAATTTCTTAATATTCAGAAATGATTCGGAATAACACAGCGATTTCAGATGATAGATGATTTCACGGAATCTCTCATATTTTATTCGATTTACGTCCGTGCGACGTAAAATAGACGCTAAATCTGAGGCATCTAAGATGGCCGCGACAATAAATCCCTTACCCCTCAGGCTTCACACCCCTCGTCTAAAAGAGTACTTTATGCTCTGTCCTGTATTCTTACGTCCGACACGGTCTATATAGTATAGATGTGGCATAAACTTGCTCTTCTAGGTGTATCTCGTATACCGTGACTCTCAAAGCGACGCGAGGATCGTCGTCTGTCACTTTTTGCGGCTTACGCAGCGTCGATGTTTACACGCGATATGTCAAATCGATACCCCGCGCGCGCGCGCACGTGTTGCATGCTTAAATACGCGAGTTTGTGATTAACGAAAAATTCCGAAGGTGCTCGCGTGACACATAGTGTTCGACTCTGCATTTCGCTCGTGTTCTCGCGATTGACGGAGCGCGTCGAAAAAGAGAAGCGATGCCGGTAAAGTAAACGACAGTTTCAACTGACTTCGCGAATCGACTTCCGCGGTCCAGGAGAGGGGGAAAGGAATAAGCGTCCTTGGGGAAAGGAAGAGTTCTCGCGCGTAGATCGCGAGGTCTATGGGATACAACGTCGTCCACCGGGAGATGATACGCACGAGGGAGGAACTGGCGAGGGAGAAACTGGGCTTCGACGGCATCGACGAACAGCACGCGATCATGAACAACATGGTAGACGCGAGGGCCTGTTACAAGCCTAGCGGCAAAGTGAGTACAGCGTCATTATTCCCTCTGCGTTCAATTTTGTATTGAGTGACTGTATTGAGTGTGCTACGCTTTACGCTGCGCGATACTTGCGATTTGACGTTTTAACCCCATCCCATACAGCACAGAAGTTTGCATCAACATTGCTGCAATGTTACAATATTGCTCACTGCAGTCTAAGGTTGCAAAAATAATGCAGAGACATTATTTTGTAATATTACTTTGGCAATGTTTGCAGCACCGTTTTAACATAGCGAAAATGTATAACATGTGTTTCTTTACTTGCCGCTACGCGGCGACACCAAATTTAACTAATTCGTATTCGAATTCATCTAAAGTGGATATAAGGTCTACAAAAGACTAATGAACAGTGTTTGCTGCAGATAATTTCAAAATTATCTAGATAAAGATAAAGATAAAAATCCGTAAATTTATCTTAGATGAGATAAAGATGATTTTGCTTTTACTTAATCTAGATGAAAGATGATATAATTATTGCGATAATCTAGATAATTATCTAGATATTTTTGTTTATTTTAGAAGACTATAAATATTTGTAAAAAATGTGACGCAGATTATAAATGGGATATTAAAATCATAAACACATATTCTTTCTCTTTTCCTAAAGAATATTTAAATAATAGTAAAAAGGTATATAAATGATATGATAAATATTTATTTATTAATTTATATTTATAATATATTTATAATATATTAATAATATAATAATAATATATTTATAATATATTAATAATAATATAAAAAATATATTTTAGATATTTTAGATAGATTTTTAGAAGCTTGCCTGGATTTTTTTTTGCATAATGAAAACGTCATTTTAGACAATTTTTAGATAAGATGACATATATTTTTCATCTAAGATAAAGATATTTTGTATTTCTTCATCTAGTTAAAGATAAAGATGATCCATTTCTTTATCTAGATGATTATCTAGATAATTTTATCTAGATACCAGCAAAAACTGCTAATGAAGTAATTATATTTCTTGTCTTGTGTCAGTTTAATTTCTAATAAACTGACTTGGTTTATTTAATATTCTGAATCCTAATGAAGGAAATAATTTGTTTAATAATCAGAATCCCTCATTGGGTTTCAAAATATTAAACAGATTTTTCTTAATTGAATGGGTAAATAGGAAATAGTTCATTTGCGTATTAAAATATTCTGGTGTCGAATGTATGTAAAATAATTGTATGTATATTATTGAGATAAATAATTGTATGTATACTATTGAGATAAATATTTTAAGAAACATCTAATAAAAACTAATAAATGTTTTTTTAAAGGCATTTTTTTCTATCTTTCTTAAACATTTTTTTATATTTTCAAAGTTTATTTATTAAATTTCAAACAGTGTCTGCAATTGTAGCAAAACGTATTTTAATATTACAAATACATTGCATCGTAACATTGCTACAATCTTACATTACAATATTCCTAAAAGCGGACATTTTAACGTTGCTGCAATTCCACAACAATGGTGCAGCAACATTTTGCAGTGAATTTGCAACGTTCCAATATTGCGGTGAAAGATTGCTGCAATGTGTATGCAATCTTTGTGTGCTGTATAGGATACAGCACAGAACATTGTTGTAACATTGCAGCAATATTACAATATTGCTACAATATTGCTGTAATGTTACAAGCAATGTTCTATGTTGCATGAGACATAGAGGATGCATTTTTTTTGTAAAGAGAGATTATGATCAGTATGTAGCTTTTTTTGCACAAATATAAAAATTTTTATAAAATTGCTTCGCACTGATAATTGCGATTGTCACTTTCATCTGCGAAAGGAATTTAATTTAAATTGATATCATGGAATGGAATCGTTTAATATGTAAACAAACGACATGAATATTTCATTCATCGTCTGTCTCGTTGTTATGTGTCTGACGTGTGTACATGCGATCATTTACAATTTATATGGACCTTTTACCACAGAAGACAAAAAATGGTACAAGATCAACGACATGCAGGACGTTTCAATAATTTTTTGTGTCTCAAAAAGTAAAAAATATATAAATATGAAAATGCTAATATATATATATATATATATATATATATATATATATATATATATATATATGGTATATATGGGGCGTTCCACGCCAAATCGGACACCATTTAGCTTTTGCATCGCCGATTTTTTTGAAAATTTTTTATGTTTTAGTATTGGTTGAAAGAGGCCTCCATGATTTTTTTCAATTTTTTTTGTCGAATGGTTTTCATGATATCGATTTTTCAAAAATTACGTTACTTTTTTTTTAGACGTCCATAAGTTTGCGAAAAATGGGCCAAATGGGACGTTTTTTTTTTGAAATTTTTCTTTTTAAACGCACTTTTGATAAAAAATATCGAAAAAATTTTTCAAACCGTATTTCTATAAGATTTTCAAGTTTTAAATATAAATTGTTGATTTACAAAAAACACGTACTGATCGATTTTCTTAAAAATTTTTTGTAAAAAACTGTCATTCATTCCACAACTTTTAAGCCTAAGTAGATAATGGGATAACGATGGGATCTATTTTTTTTCGATTTTTCTATTTCCATATTTAAGTTATCCTTGTTGAAAAATATCTGAAAAAAAATACTATACACAGGAGCTATTATTAATAATTATCTGACACATAGTGATTATTAATTAGTTCACAGATTGATTTCAGGAAAAAGATACAGGCGAAATAAAGTACTTATTATGCTTGATAAAGTTTTTTTTATTCAGTAGCATTTATTTTCTCACACGTTTAAATATTTTATAAATTCGAGATTCAACAGATAACGAAAATTCTTTCAATCTCAAAGTGTCTTCTCCGTCTGGAATTACACAATGATATTTTTGCATCCCTGTTATTGTCTTTGCTCTCATATATCGTTTCTCTAATGATTCTTTGGCTCGAATGTAATCTTCGTTAGAGAAGAATTGAGCATAAATATTTGGCAAAGAATTTGGTTTTATTGCTCAGTCATATAATTGTTGAAGAGTTGAAATTTGTATATATTGTGGTTTATTCAAATAAAAATTATCGGTCATCGTTCATTAAATGATTAAGATATATCTATTTTATTTAATAAATAAGAATGACCGTTGCCGGTGAGCCTGAAAAAAAGATTAATATTTATTTTCAACACGGATAATTAAAATATGGAAATAAAAAAATCGAAAAAAAATAGATCCCATCGTTATCCCATTATCTACTTAGGCTTAAAAGTTGTGGAATGAATGACAGTTTTTTACAAAAAATTTTTAAGAAAATCGATCAGTACGTGTTTTTGGTAAATCAACAATTTATATTTAAAACTTGAAAATCTTATAGAAATACGGTTTGAAAAATTTTTTCGATATTTTTTATCAAAAGTGCGTTTAAAAAGAAAAATTTCAAAAAAAAAACGTCCCATTTGGCCCATTTTTCGCAAACTTATGGACGTCTAAAAAAAAAGTAACGTAATTTTTGAAAAATCGATATCTTGAAAACGATTCGACAAAAAAAATTGAAAAAAATCATGGAGGCCTCTTTCAACCAATACTAAAACATAAAAAATTTGCAAAAAAATCGGCGATGCAAAAGCTAAATGGTGTCCGATTTGGCGTGGAACGCCCCATATATAAAAATTCCTGAAGATTTATACAAATTTTTTTAACGTAATATTTTTCTCTTTCTACTTTTTTCTAATAAAAACATGCATTTTTACTTAAATATGTCTCTAGTTTAATTATAAATAAATTTCGAATTTAATTACTTAATTAATTTTTTAATTTAATTGAAATAATTAATATGTGTCAATAATTCATACTATATTTGACAGGAAGAATGTAAAAGCATCACGGTTTGATGACAATGCGCGATGACAATCCATTGACAGGAAACGTCGGATTCCGCGAGTACTTTACCACCAGCACCGGACAATCGCTCGTCAGTAGAAGAACAGCTGGCGCGATTGAACGTTCGAACTCGCGTTACGTACATACTTCTTGATTCTTTCTGCGCGAGCGCACGTAGTTCAATCTTCTCGATCTCGTAATCCCTTCGTTCGTTATTCAATCGCTATAAGTGTCACGCGAGAGATAGCCAGACGAAAATTTTCCCCGCATGGCGCATTTGTATGTATGTATCAGGAATGATTTCAAGTAAAATCAGTTTCGGATCCAAGCACGGTTCACAACTTATATATGTATATATAAAATATATATATATATATTATATAATTTTATTTATATTATATTTTTTATATTTATATTTTATTTATATTTTATTTATATTTTATATTTATATTTATATTTTATTTATATAATTTTTTTATTTATATATATGTGTATGTGTGTATTTATATTTTTGTATGTATATTTTTTCCTCAATCTGCGATCGTTCGATTTCGCAATCTTGTAACAAAATCGGGTGAAATGCACATACGGATCGTTGATTCATAATTGATGAGTCGAACGAAATCGATTTCTCGGGCGACGGTGATCCGATGACATGTCAATGGTAGAAATTGATGTTACTGTCGAGAAAACATTTTTAATCCGAAACTATATAATGTATAGTCCATGTAAAAAAATGGAGTTTACATTATAGTGTCTTTTTAATGACAGATTTTTCTAGTCGATTTAAGGACAATTTTTTCCCCGAGGAAAAAGTTGGCAGAAATTATTCTTTATCGTAGTTCATGTATCTTTGTTGAGCCTCAAATCAAAATTCGAAGATATTAACTGACAAATATATTATTGTCACCTCAAAGTGCAAAAAAATTGCAGAAAATCTTTCCTAAACACTTACAGCTCGAAAATTATATATGCCTAAATACTTTTGAATCGACCAGAGATCTGATCTCATTGAACGGACATCCGGCGATTTTCAGACACCCTATGCATAGCGCGCGCATGACGTGTAAACCATGAAAGAAACCTTTGTCCTGTACAGCCATGCCACTTTATATATGATTTTATGGATTGCTAATTAGACGCGTGTTTCATTTCCCTTTGTTTCTTCTAGTAAGCGCAACGTGAGAGAACGACTTGTGTAGTTGGTTGCAATATTATCCACATCTCTTGTCTCTTTTTTTCTCTCTTTTTTTTCCTTCCTCCCTTCCTCTTTTCCTTTTCTCTCTCTCTATCTCTCTACCTCTTCAACCACCTGCACATGCATGGGTCCCGGCTTGTCGATTACCGTGTCCCCGTTGTGCACTGGCGACGATCGTCTCACCGCGCACGTGTACTCGTCGAGCATCGGCTGTCTTCAGTACCCGATTAACGTCAAACATGACCAACAATAAGCAGGTGAGTAGCCTCGTACGAGTTCGTAAAATCGGAGGAAAATACGAAAGGTGCTGTCACATGGCAGTCGGAATTTTGGAAAACGGAATCTCGGAAAAGTACTAGAATACTAGAACTAGGAATTAAACGGGATTGAATTTTTATCTTTATAAGAGGAATTTTATTGTTAATAAATAATTGTTTGGTAAATATTTATTAATGTACATATAAATATTTAATCAAAATATTTTATCACATAAAATAGTTATCATATTGTCAAGAATAAAAAAAATAAATAAAAGTTGCGTGTTTGTCGGTCCGGTTTTTTTGTGGCTGGGCTCGCCATGGACTAATATTTCGCAAATTAGTAAACATATAAAAATTTATTTTGATAGTTTTCCGACAAAAAAATAATTAATACAATAGAAAAATATATAAAAAAGTGACATTTGTATGTATTATTTATTATAATAAAAAATAATAATTTTCTAAATTGAAAAACGATTTGAGGTTAGAATAACATTCCGTTTTCCGTAAAAAGCATTCAATGGGGAGCGAGGCTATCGAAAAATTGGATTGGAAAAAAATTCTGATTGGTTGATCACCACTCTAGTACTTTTCGAGATTCCGTTTTCCGAAATTCCGACTGCCATGTGACAGCATCCTTAGGGTTCGGAATCTTGGAAAAGTACTAGAATACTAGAACTAGGAATTAAACGGGATTGAATTTTTATCTTTATAAGAGAAATTTTATTGTTAATAAGTAATTGTTTGGTAAATATTTATTAATGTACATATAAATATTTAATCAAAATATTTTATCACATAAAATAGTCATCATATTGTCAAGAATAAAAGTTGCGTGTTTGTCAGTTCGGTTTTTTTGTGGCTGGGCTCCCCATGGACTAATATTTCGGAGCATTTCGGAAATTAGTAAAAATATAAAAATTTATTTTGATAATTTTCCGACAAAAGAAATAATTAATACAATAGAAAAATATATAAAAGGTGACATTTGTATGTATTGTTTATTATAATAGAAAATAATAAAGAAATTTTTTAAATTGAAAAACAATTTGAGGTTAGAATAACATTTCGTTTTCCGTAAAAATCACTCCATGGGGAGCGAAGCGAAAAATTGGATTGGAAAAAAATTCTGATTGTTTGATCACCACTCTAGTACTTTTCCGAAATTCCGACTGCCATGGTGACAGCATCCTTAGACCCGGGACGAATCAAGCTCGTGATTTGTAAGATGAATCTCGAAGTTACACGTGTACGATACATTTAAAGGATTTTTGCACATATCACAAAAATCTGACATGAATCGGGGAGAGAATAAATAAATCGCTGAATCTTTCTTCTTACAAATTATGAGTTTAATTCGTTTCAGCTGTAAGCGTAGTGACGTGGAAATCATGATGTTTTTAACAGATGGAAACCATGGAACCGAAAACATCTCTATCTTTAGTCTTAAGATTGCTCCTCCCACCCTATTTCTGGTTTGCAATATTATTCTGCAGTCAATATAATTTTTTGTATCAATTTTTTACACCTTTTTTTATTTTATTAATATAATTTTTCTTTAAATCGAAATGCTCTCTCTCCCTTTCTTTTCTTGCGCAACATAAATTCCTGAAGAATCACGCACGATAATCCCAATGATTATGCACGTGTAACTAGTAATTTTTATTTGGAAATGCAATATTGTAATTTATATTTTATAGAGAGATTCACAGTAATAGTGAAAATTAGGATCGCCAAAAAAATATACGATAAGTATCTATTGGGTTGGCAACTAAGTTCCCGCCGTTTTTTAAAATTTTTTAAAAGTTTATTTTTCAATAAAAATTAACAACTAATTAAGCAATAATGTATTCTCCCTTGTTTACAACTTTTCAAAAATGGCGGGAACTTAGTTGCCAACCTAATATAAATCATGAGCAATTACATTTTGCATTATACGTGCAATCATTGCAATTATATTTGCATTCCAATGGTTTTAATTACGAATAAGCAAGTTACTTTTGTACCATTACTGTTGTGAGCTGTTGCAGTTGCTTCAATAGCTTGTTATTTAAACGCACGCATGTACCGTGACGTGTATACATATTTTATATTTGCGCATAGATGTTTTTTAGAATAAAATTGTGGCAATGAGAAAATTATTGTGGTAACTAGAACTATTATTATATGTAATTTTAAAATAATGGTTAAAACGATTAAAGAAGATTAATGTCGCATATAACGTGTAGCGGCTTTTGCACAAAAATAAATAATGCGATAAAACGCAATATATAATGATTTAAATAAAGAAAAAGTACAAGACCAAAAAAAAAGAGAAATATCTTTGATACATTAAAATAAATCACGCAATATGTGCACATTAAAAATACAATGAATTTTTATACAATTTTTTAACATAATGAATTTACAACACATTAATATAATCGTTAATAAATTATTTAATAAATTTGCAGTGCATTTTTTTTTAAATTGTGAATAATTTTATTATTTTACATTTCTAATTTGGTTTGCATCCAATTATTATTGTATATTATTGATCAAGATTGTGCATAGCAAATAAATTTAATTTCTTATTTCTACTTATATACAGATTTTTTTGTTAAAATCTATACATCGCTTTTTTATGTGTGAAAATTCCACGTAAGTCTTTTGCGGTAAACGATTCAGGTGGAATAAGCAAGAGGATATAAAGTATCATACGTCTTCGTTAGGTTTCTGCGCAGTAAGAGATTGACAAACAACACATTACATAATGTACCACAATTATTGAGCTCCTATTATAATATTTTGCATATTTATTGTTGGTGTACAGGATATCTCGAATCATATCTTTTATTATTTCTTTGGTCAATTTGCAGTTAATTACAAGAATATCAAAGGACAGGTTTTCCATTTCAAAGATTGATCGGCTTTTCAAGAACCAGCCTTCAGATTCTTTACTTAATTAAATCAAGCAGACTTTTAGTCTTCAATTCTAAATTAATCAAAGATACTCGAATCAATACATCTGGTAGATCCTGTTACCTTCTATTTTCGAGCAAATTCCTACACTTTTCGCAATTTAATTCTTTTTTTCCATGAGAAAAAGTCGCATAATTCGATCTATCTCACCGCACTACGCTGCACGCGCTGATAAAAAAAATACGTCTACTTGCGAATTCGAGAAATTTCACATTCACATGCGACTTTGCTACTGTTTCTTTATATATAAGGAGGCAATTAAAAAGCGAAAACAATTAAAAGAGAAGAAAAATAAGATTTTTGTCTAAAATTAAAATAGGAGGAAAAAAATACGAGAATGTATCTCGACGAATATGTATCTTGTTTTTAACTTTTAATTATCATGTAACACAATTCGCTCAGAATTAATCATCATGGGATTATCACACGACAATATGAGCATTGCAACGGGAACGTTACATAAAATGTAATGTTACATCTTTTTTTCTCTGACCATTTCTATCATCTCGCTGTGTATCGTCAATTCTAGTTGCCAGTTGATAACATGATATCGATATTTCCGTTAATGATACCGGTAACTTTCTACTTTACGGTTTCTGAACAAGAGAGAGTTTTATCGAAGATGATGTACAAAGTATGTTTTTTTTTTCTCTAACATTTCGAAATCATCGTATGCGCATATTATATCCTGCAATGCGCTCATATTCTAAAAATACAGCGCAGTGTGAGTTATTGCAGCGAAAAGATATAATCGCATATAAAAATTAAATTAATTAAATTATATATATGTTAATTTTTATTTGATTACATCTATATTATATACAGAATGTTCCACAAGTCCCGGACCGGTCGAATATTTCATAAACTATGCACTTTAGAAAGAAATGTTTTAGACAAAAGTTGTATGGCTTGAAGGGGACCATCAGATAGTGGCAATGATTTGACATGGGAGAGTCATTTGAGAAAGTCACGTAAAGGTTACTGTCAATTTCTTAAATGAAACTCCCTATTTTTTATTAAATATTCTGGTAGCTTACGTCGAGAGTTTTCCAAAACACTATAATTAAGTTAGTTTTCATTAAGTACTTTCCGAATTATGAGGCTTGAAGTCATTTCTTAATTTTACATAAACCGTAAGATATCTTGTAAAATATTCATTTTTCGATTATCTTACCTTAATACTTTTATGTACAAAATAATGAGAGGAATCAATTGGTGTAAAGAAAAAACATAGTTGTTTTTAAGAAAAAAATATGTAATTTGCAATTACGTATTTTTTTCAAACAACTATGTTTTCTTTACACCAATTGATTCCTCTCATTATTTTGTACATAAAAGTATTAAGGTAAGATAATCGAAAAATGAATATTTTACTAGATATTTTATGGTTTATGCAAAATTAAGAAATGATTTCAAACCTCATAACTCGAAAAGTACTCAATGAAGAAATACTTTATTATAGTGTTTTGGAAAGCTCTTGAGATAAGCTACACGAATATGTAATAAAAAATAGGAGGTTCCATTTAAGAAATTGAAGATGACCTTTGCGTCACCTTCAAATGACTCTCCAAGGTCAAATCATTGCCACTATCTGATGGCTCCCTTCAAGCCATACAACTTTTGTTTGAAACATTTCTTTCTAAAGTGCATAGTTTATGAAATATTCGACCGGTCCGGGACTTTTGGGACACTCTGTATACAAAGTGGCCCCGAACGTTCCAGCCAGACTTTGAGATCTTATAGGAAATTTAATTCTTAACAAAAAGTTTCCTATAAACATGCGTCGAAAAATGCTTCCTTAAGAAGTTATCGCTCAAAAACCTCTGATGAAGGAAGAGCAAAAGGTGAAAAGAAAATGAAATAAAAAGAAAATGAAATTAAATAAATTTCTTGAAAAAAAAACGATAAAAATAAATAAAAATCTTTTTCTTTTATGAAAATAAAATAATTTTTGTTTTAACTAATATTTTAGTAATAGCACGTAATAGTAGAAAATGAATAAAGTCGTTTTTCAAGAAATTTATTTAGTTTCATTTTCTTTTTATTTAATTTTCTTTTCACCTTTTGCTCTTCCCTCATCAGAGGGAATTATATAAAATTAAATAAAAAGAAAATGAAACTAATAAGCCTCATCAGAGGTTTTTGAACGATAACTTCTTAAGGAAGCATTTTTTGACCCATGTTTATAGGAAATTTTTTGTTCAGAATTAAATTTCCTATAAGATCTCAAAGTCTGGCTGGAACGTTCGGGGCCACCTTGTATATATATATAAATAAATTGTCGAGACAACGTCATATAAATTTGTTACTACGAATTTATGTGAATTTAAAAATAATTATAAATAATAAATATATATATATATATTTATTATTTATAATTATTTTTAAATTCACATAAATTCGTAGTAACAAATTTATATGACGTTGTCTCGACAATTTATTTGCTTGAAGCATTATTAAATTTAATTTAAATTTAAAGAAATTAACGTAAAAAAAAATATAAAAATGAGCTTATATATTTGCAGTCGTGGTTCCGCGGCGTTCGAAGCAGCAAATTTCGACACGTTTACGGTGTACCAGCCAAGAGGGAGAAATGCTACGACAATATCAAGATCACGAAGAACGCCCACGATTCGCAATTCTGTGCCGTAAATCCGAAATTCCTGGCCGTTGTGACGGAGGTTGCAGGTGGTGGAGCGTTCCTGGTATTATCGTTGGATCGTGTGAGTTATCTCTGTGCCTTATCGATTTATTGATTCTTGTCCTACTTGCAAAAAAGAAGCCTTTATCGCATAACGTATGGTCAAAAGACACAAATAATCGGATGAAATCATCTTAAGCGTCAATATTGAAAGTAAAAAAGAAGCTTAACTAAAAAGTAGCATATACAAGGTGGCCCCGAACGTTCCAGCCAGACTTTAAGATCTTATAGGAAATTTAATTCTGAACAAAAAATTTCCTATAAACATGGGTCGAAAAATGCTTCCTTAAGAAGTTATCGTTCAAAAACGTCTGATGAGAGAAGAGCAAAAGGTGAAAAGAAAATGAAATAAAAAGAAAATGAAACTAAATAAATTTCTTGAAAAAAATGATAAAAATAAAAATCTTTTTCTTTTATGAAAATAAAATAATTTTTTTTTAACTAACTTTTATTTTCATAAAAGAAAAAGATTTTTATTTTTTATTTTTATCGTTTTTTTCAAGAAATTTATTTAGTTTTATTTTCTTTTTATTTCATTTTCTTTTCATCTTTTGCTCTTCCCTCATCAGACGTTTTTGAACGATAACTTCTTAAGGAAGCATTTTTCGACCCATGTTTATAGGAAATTTTTTGTTCAGAATTAAATTTCTTATAAGATCTCAAAGTCTGGCTGGAACGTTCAGGACCACCTTGTATATATATTAAACATTATTTATGATTAATTTCATCGCATATTTATTAATATTGTTACAACAGTAATATCTTATTATTTTAACGTTACAGACCGGACGACTCGACTTCAATGCCAGTCGAGTAACTGGACATACCGGTCCCGTTTTGGACATCAAGTGGAATCCATTCAATGACAATATCATTGCATCCTGTTCTGATGATTGCACTGTAAGAAATGTTTTGCATGTCCGATTGAAAATATTTTTCTTATAAGCATGAAAGTAACATAAGAGAAAAACAAAAGATTGAATGCGTTCACATATTTATATATTTATCTAGATAAAATTATGGCATATACCCGATGGCGGATTGTCGAGAAACTTGACTGAATGGTTCGTGGAGTTGCAAGGACACAAACGACGCGTCGCTTATATCGAATGGCATCCGGTAGCAGAGAACGTACTCTTCAGCGCCGGCTTCGATCATCTTGTTATCGTGTGGGATGTAAACAGATGCGAGGCAGTGAGCGTCATTGACAGGCATCCCGATGTGATCTACAGTATATCCTTGAATCGTGATGGCAGTTTGTTGGCAACCACATGCAAGGATAAGAAATTGCGCGTTTTCGAACCAAGGTCCGGTATCGTCGTTTCGGTAAGTAAACACACTTGTGAAAGATATGAAAACTTTTTTGAAACACTGTATATAATATAAAAAAATGTATGTAATATAAAAAATAAAACTTATAAAAAATATTTTTATAATATGAAAAATATTTATTTTTACAAATTAAATGTTCTTAAATTGTAAAATAAAGTATTAATATAAATAACATTAAACTATTGTGAAATAGGAAGGAGTATGTCATCAACATACACTGTATATAATATAAAATAATATAATATAAAAAATGTATATAATATAATATTATGTAATATAATAGTAATTATATAATAGTAATATAATATAATAATAATATAATAGTATATAATATAAAAAATAAAACTTATAAAAAATATTGTTATAATATAAAAAATATTTATTTTTACAAATTAAATATTCTTAAATTGCAAAATAAAGTTTTAATATAAATAACATTAAATTATTGTGAAATAGGAAGGAGTATGTCATGCCGGTACAAAAGCGAGTAAGGTTGTATTCCTCGGTAGTTCTGGACGTCTCTTGACTACTGGATTTAGCAGACATTCGGATCGGCAGTACGCAATATGGAGTCAACATGATCTAACTGTCCCATTGATATGTGAAACAATAGATTCCTCGAGTGGGGTGGTCTTTCCGTTTTACGATAATGATACCAACATGGTATTCTTAGCAGGAAAGGTAAGGAATGAAATAAAATATGTGTGGCAGATATGAATTACATTTAAAATCCCATTGTTATTCTTTTGCAGGGTGATGGTAATATTCGATATTACGAAGTAGTTAACGAAGCGCCTTGGATGCATTATCTTAGTCAATTTATATCTGGGAATCCTCAGAGAGGATTAGGAGTAATGCCAAAAAGGGGCATCAATACCGCTATATGTGAAGTGTTTAGATTCTACAAGCTGCACGCGACTCGCGGAATGTGTGAGCCAATCTCGATGATAGTACCTCGAAAGGCAAGTTTATATTTCTAATTATTTCTAATTATTTCTAATTATGTTGTTTTTCTTAGATCTAATATAATGCTGTAATTAGAATTCGAATTATTTCTTTTTCTATAAAGAGCGGTTAAAAAAAATGTGTTATATTTCAGAGTGATCAATTCCAAGAAGATTTATATCCTGACACAATCGGAACGTGTCCCGCACTGTCGGCTAGAGACTGGATCAGCGGCATGAATAATCCGCCAATCTTAATCTCTCTTAAAACAGGTGTCTCTCTCTTCTTTCTCTATTTTCTTTTTTTGTTAATGCGACATATACAGGATGGATCAATAACTCTGTCCACCTGGAATATCTCCGTTATTTTTAGAGATACAAAAATTTTGTACGTATAAAAGTTGTACGGTACCAAGAGGGCCGTAATATGCTACTAATAATTTTTTTGTAGGTGGAGGCGCTTCAGAGATTTCAAGGTCATCTCCATTTTTTTAAATGAAACACCCCATTTTTTATTACCTATTCTTATAGCTTATCTTGAGAGCTTTCCAAAACACTATAATAAAATATTTCTTCATTGAGTACTTTTTGAGTTATGAGGGTTGAAATTATTTCTTAATTTTACATAAACCATAAAATATCTAGTAAAATATTCATTTCTCGAGTATCTTACCTCAATGCTTTTATGTACAAAATAATGAGAGGAATCAATTGGTGTAAAGAAAACATACAGTTGTTTTTAAGAAAAAATATGAAACTGTTAATTGCAAATTACATATTTTTTTTTAAAACAACTATTTTTTCTTTACACCAATTGATTTCTCTCATTATTTTGTATATAAAAGTGTTAAGGTAAGATAATAAAAAAATGAATTTTACTTTATTTTTAATTTTATTTTAGATATTTTTTGGTTTATGTAAGATTAAGAAATTATTTCAAGCCTCATAACTCGAAAAGTACTCAATGAAGACATATTTTATTATAGTGTTTTGGAAAGCTCTCGAGATAAGCTATAAGAATAGGTAATAAAAAATGGGGGATTCCATTTAAAAAAATGGAGATGACTTTGAAATCTCTGAAGCGCCTCCACCTACAAAAAAACTATTAGTAGCATATAATGGCCCTCTTGATACCGTACAACTTTTATACATACAAAATTGTTATATCTCTAATAATAACGGAGATATTCCAGGTGGATAGAGTTATTTGTCCACCCTGTATATTTCATTTTAAATGACGTATGAATATTCATTATTAGTGAAATCGAAAAATGTCTCAGATAAAAATTTAATGATTTCAAATAACGATAATAATTTTGTACAAATCATTTAAAATAAGATGCATATATGTATGTAACAATTTTATCGAACGATCATATTAATGAATACCGTGCAATTGATCAGGTGGAAGCATCTCGACGCATAAACCACGAATATATAAACCACCGCAATTACCTCCGTCCACCGATCTGAATAACAAGAAGAAATTCGCGTTTCTGTCTACGGAAACCATACCAGATTATAGACCGGTGGAATTACACGACATGTCGGAAAAAAGTCAAAAGACATCCAGTAATCAAAGCACAAAGTTTCAGCAACTACAGCAAAAATTTGGAAATGTTGCTATGCAGGTGCGAATATAGTATACGTTCATACCCCACGGATTTATAATCAGTGTTTGCTGTAGATAATTTCAAAATTATCTAGATAAAGATAAAGATAAAAATCCGTAAATTTATCTTAAATGAGATAAAGATGATTTTGCTTTTACTTAATCTAGATGAAAGATGAGATAATTATTGCGATAATCTAGATATTTTTGTTTATTTTAGAAGACTATAAATATTTGTAAAAAATGTGACACAGATTATAAATGGGATATTAAAATCATAAACACATTCTTTTTTCCTAAAGAATATTTAAATAATAGCAAAAAGGTATATAAATGATATGATAAATATTTATTTATTAATTTATATTTATAATATATTTATAATATATTAATAATATAATAATAATATATTTATAATATATTAATAATAATAATATGAAAAATATATTTTAGATATTTTAGATAGATTTTTAGAAGCTTGCCTGGAAAACTTTTTTGCATAATGAAAACGTCATCTTAGACAATTTTTAGATAAGATGACATATATTTTTCATCTAAGATAAAGATAAAAATACTTTGTATTTCTTCATCTGGTAAAGATCATCCATTCCTTTATCTAGATGATTATCTAGATAATTTTTAAATAATTTTTAGATAATTATCTAGATAATTTATCTAGATAATTTAGATATCAGCAAACACTGTCTAATTATATTATAGCTTACATAATAATGTCTTTGATAATCTTTTTTTTTATCAGAAGAATATTATATCGTCTCCGCTTAATGACAATAAAGTTATGGAGACTGTGGATGTTCCAAACAATGAGGCGGAACTTCGATTAGCGTTTGCTCGACAAACCGATGAATTAAGGCTGGTACGACGGCAGCTCGCTAATAGTCAACTGCGTGTCAAGGAATTAGAGGACCAAATACGAAAATTACAACGCCAATAAAGCTTACAAGTAACAGTTACAGCAAGTTCGCTTCGACACTGGCTTTAAATAAGACTCTCGCACAGCTTTACTGCTAAACTATGGTTAGCGATCGGTTACTTAAAATCTATAAAATATATGTGCATTGCTAACAATTTAGAGAAGAAGCCTAAGCTTTTGAGAAATTTTTACCAACATGCTTGGGATACTTTAATTCTACAATGATATTTATACATACAAAAATATATTCGCACAGAATAATTTTGACTGACTTTTTCGTTAGTCTACAATTTTTATGTAGGATAAAACTTGTCGCGTTGATATTGATACCACAAGGGATCAGAAAACATTTGTTATGTGAAAATTGTACCTGTTCACACATAGCTGGATGCGTAAGTTGGATATATGTACATGTATCCACATAAAGATTTGTACATGATTAAAAAATTAAGGAAAGCACAGTATTTTTAGACGAATGAATAATTCATATATATTATTTCAATTTTATTGACACATTGCATTTTTGCTGAGAACAATATGTTGGTACTAGTCTATTAATCAGTTGTTTATTTTTTCTTATTTTATGTTTATTGATTATTTAATTAATATATTAATTAATATATTACTACTCAATCTTTAAAAGATAGAGAATTCGTGAAAAATCGTTTCTCTATCACGTTATCATGTGTGTTATAAAAAAAATTTTATTTTTATTTGAATTCAACTTTGCAAGGAATAAAATTAATTTTGTTGCCGATTTTATCGCAGATGCATGTCATATTATGCATCAATGCTCTATAATGCCGCTGTGTTGTATTATGTACAAGTAGGCTAGCATATTAATATATTATTAAGCATTTTGCTATTGCATATATCTTTCACTGCCATCTAGACTGCCATAATGTCGATGGCAATAAGATCTTCAAACCTAAGTAACGATATTTAATTCTGCTAGCTTCGAAAATTTTATTTAAAAATTTCTAATATAAAATGTGAAGCAACATACGTTTGTATAAAATCATTGAATCATGTACAATCAATGCCATGATAGAAATTGCGTATGTATATTTATAAGAAAGGCAGCATTTATAATAAGTTTAATTTTAGCCGAGCTTGCTTAGAGAAAAAAAATGGTACAATAGCAAATGTAATAGAATATTTCTAGCATTATTAATATTGTCATCTTGTGGTTGCAAAAACTCTAAAGAATTATATTTCTGCTTAAAAACGATCAAATCATGATTTATAATGATTTATACGTTAATACAGGGTGTCCCAAAAGTCCCGGACCGGTCGAATATTTCATAAACTATGCACTTTAGAAAGAAATGTTTCAGACAAAAGTTGTATGGCTTGAAGGGAGCCATCAGATAATGGCAATGATTTGACCTTGGAGAGTCATTTGAAGGTGACGCAAAGGTCACTTTCAATTTCTTAAATGGAACCCCTTATTTTTTATTATATATTTGTATAGCTTATCCCGAGAGCTTTCCAAAACACTATAATAAAGTATTTCTTCATTGAGTACTTTTCGAGTTATGAGGCTTGAAATAATTTCTTAATATTGCATAAACCATAAAATATTCATTTTTCGATTATCTTACCTTAATACTTTTATGTACAAAATAATGAGAGGAATCAATTGATAAAGAAAACATACAATTGTTTTTAAGAAAAAATATGAAATTGTTAATTGCAAATTACATATTTTTTTTTTAAACAACTATTTTTTCTTTACACCAATTGATTTCTCTCATTATTTTGTATATAAAAGTGTTAAGGTAAGATAATCGAAAAATGAATATTTTACAAGATATTTTACGGTTTATGTAAAATTAAGAAATGAGTTCAAACCTCATAATTCGGAAAGTACTTAATGAAAACTAACTTAATTATAGTGTTTTGGAAAACTCTCGACGTAAGCTACCAGAATGTTTAATAAAAAATAGAGAGTTTCATTTAAGAAATTGACGGTAACCTTTACGTGACTTTCTCAAATGACTCTCCCATGTCAAATCATTGCCACTATCTGATGGCCCCCTTCAAGCCATACAACTTTTGTCTGAAACATTTCTTTCTAAAGTGCATAGTTTATGAAATATTCGACCGGTCCAGGACTTTTGAGACATCCTGTATGTATTTTTCATACAGTGTGCAATTTTATTGTGGATTGATAAATATGGTACCTGAATGCTACACTTCACATATCGCTTGTGATCAAGTGAGTGTAAGATTTCGTTAATCGCGTAGTATGAACGTAGTAAAGCCCTGGAACTTGCTGATACAGCAACATGTGACGTAGCATTCCCTAGTCTTTCTTCACTAGTTATTTACTTATAACTGTAGATTTAGTACACCAATAATACATTTCATTGAAACATGCACCTATCATTCATTGTTAAAAGCAAAGAGTTACATGTGTTGTATTAGGTAATACATTTTACAGGCAATATAAAATGCGTATTGCAAAGTTTATATAGGTATATATTTTCGACATTTATATCCAAAGCAATTTTCATGATATATTTGTAAGAAAAAGATAACTATTCATGTTCATGATAGACATTATACATTGCAAGAGATTTATGAATTTTGCTACGAATTATAAATTTGCTTATAATAGAATATTGTGGCGCATAATACGCGCGTGTATCAGAATTTATATGTAATATTTATATGTCGATCGAAAATATATATTATTGAGATTCAACCATACACACACACACACATAATCTTATACCAAACAGAAAAAAAATACCAAAGAGTTTTATTCCATATTACGGATGAATTTATTGTCAGTGCATACTGTCTGACAAATTTATATATACAAAAACATATAAAAAAATGTTGTACGTATGATATATGGCAAGCACAAGATCCTCATAATAAAATAAACAAGAACATTTAGTCATCAAAGTGTAGAAAATTTTATTATTATTATATGAAAAAATATTTTATTTCAAAATTTAATATATGTAGCATGTTATATCTCTCGGATATATATATATATATATATATATATATATATATATATATATATATATATATTGTTAATTACACAATACTATTTTAATATCTTTTACTTATAAGAGGACGGATATAATTCACTTGAATACATATTGATTTACTGCCTAATTGTCTAATATCTTAAATATATAGATATTAAATATTTAAAATATACAAATATTGCTACAATATATAACTATTGGCTTAAAAATTGAGATTCAAAATTTTAATCAAGTAATAAAAAATATATTAAAAAGTGTAAATAAAAACTTATAAAACATTTTATCTGACATTGTAGAATGTGAGAAAATTATTTGTTACAGTATTTGTACTATAAGAATTATCTAAAATAATCAATCTAAAGTAAGCTTCATAGATATGGATAAACAAGTCAGTTAAATAAAATTTAGGTAATTAAATCTTAAGCGAGAAATTCATCGACTACAATATATGACAAATTTGTCAGACTTTCGAGTAGCCTTCGAGGCTTTTGGAGATGTTGGGAATCTTCTACCTGTGAAACAGCTCTCTCCAGACTACCAGTAAACCCACAGATATGATCCACGTATGTATTGCACTCGGCATGGAAGATGTTGCTGGATTGCATCCATCGCCGGTACACGTGTAAACGCAGGTGCGATATATCAACTTGTCACCCGGTTGTTTCACGTAATCGCAGTAGTTTCCCATGTCGACAGCCGAACAAAATCGTTTTGTACCGATTCCACCTATTTTCAAATACAATTTTACAATACAATATTGACACAATGTGTACTGTATGTTAAGTGTTAATATACAGGGTGGACCAATAACTCTGTTCACCTGGAATATTTCCGTTATTTTTAGAGATACAACAATTTTGTACGTATAAAAGTTGTACGGTACCAAAAAGGCCGTAATATGCTACTAATAATTTTTTGTAGGTAGAGGCGCTTCAGAGATTTCAAAGTCATTTCCATTTTTTTAAATGGAACCCCCCATTTTTTATTACCTATTCATATAGCTTATCTCGAGAGCTTTCCAAAACACTATAATAAAGTATTTCTTCATTGAATACTTTTCGTGTTATGAGGCTTGAAATAATTTCTTAATCTACATAAACCATAAAATATCTAGTAAAATATTCATTTTTCGATTATCTTACCTTAATGCGTTTATGTACAAAATAATGAGAGGAATCAATTGGTGTAAAGAAAACATATAGTTGTTTTTAAGAAAAAATATGAAATTGTTAATTGCAAATTATATATATATTTTTTTAAAAACAACTATTTTTTCTTTACACCAATTGATTTCTCTCATTATTTTGTATATAAAAGCATTAAGGTAAGATAATCGAAAAATGAATATTTTACTAGATATTTTATGGTTTATGTAAAATTAAGAAATGAATTCAACCCGCATAACTCAAAAAGTACTCAATGAAGAAATACTTTATTATAGTGTTTTGGAAAGCTCTCGAGATAAGCTATAAGAATAGATAATAAAAATGGGGGGGATTCCATTTAAAAAAATGGAGATGACCTTGAAATCTCTGAAGCGCCTCCACCTACAAAAAAATTATTAGTAGCATATTATGGCCCTCTTGGTACCGTACAACTTTTATAAGTACAAAATTTTTGTATCTCAAAAAATAACGAAGATATTCCAGGTGGACAAAGTTATTGATCCACCCTGTATAATTATCTTTTCTTTTCTAATCGAAATTTGATAAACTTTTTTTTAGATAGAAGCTATTATATTTTGAAGCAATATTAGGGATTATTCATTTATATATCTTATTAATTTAAATAACAAAAGTTTTATTCTTTAATATGAATACATTAATGTGAAGCAATTTAATGCTATAAAGAAAGACATTATAAAGTGGTAAAGAAAGATATTACTGAAAACGAATGAACGAATGGAATTTAATGTGCATTTACAAAGCAGGTAACAGTCATGACATGCAGAGAAATGGAGAGATTATGCTCTTGTATACATATTTTATACAAGAATTAATTTAATAACAAAACAATATTAATCATCAATTTCTTTTAATAATAAAAAAAGACTTTTACTAAATTATTTCTAATGAAAAAAAACAAGATGCATTCAAATATACATTGATAGTTTATTAAAACAAAAACTATGGAAAAAGATCAACATTTGAGAGAGAATCTATTTTTAAAAATATAAACTTAATTCACTTTAATCTTCACTTTAATCTATTTTTAAAAATATAAACTTAATTCACTTTAATCTTATAAATTTCTTATAAATTACAATTAAAAATCGAAAGATGATTGAAATTCGGAAAAATTTCGCTCTGCTTCGAAAAATAATTGAAAAATAATGACATTACTTGAGGGGAAGGATCATTCATGCACACTTGACGACAATAAATGGTGAAGCATGATATAAAAACCTCCGAAACGGCCGATTGATTTGACGCAATAACGCGCATCATAAACATGACTACAATTTGTCGACACCAAGGCACTTTTAACCAATCCATCGTCCATGCATTTCCATTCATCCTCTGATGCGCATTGGTAGCAATCCAAGGTAATTGCTTCATTAATTAAGAAAGCAATGATTAAATTACCAATCGATTACATGAATATGCGATGTTATACATGAGCTTTCCAATTATGTATCATAAAATAATAGTCGCAAAATAATTACATATATAATCCTCTTACATATATAATCCCCTACACAAATGATGATCTACATCAGTGGTTCTTAATCTTTTCAAAGTCACAGAACATTTTTGATTCAAAGCAAAATTTGCGGAACATCAAAATCATCAAGATCATAAAACCAACAAAAAAAATATTCATAAACATATCTTTTATTAAAAATTATAGATTATACAAGGTGTTTCAGACCACCAGTACCACCCATTTAAAAACTAGAGAAGTGATTATTTCAAATAAGTCATATTATTTCAGAAAAGTAAAAACATTTTCTTTATAAATCGGGTGCGCTCTATCAAATGGCGATATTTTCAACTTCTGGTTCCGGCCGGAAATAGGCGATTCAGATCGGAAGTGCATTTTTTTAAATGGAACCCCCTATTTTTCATTGCATATTCTTGTAGCTTATCTCGAGAGCTTTCCAAAATACTCTAATAAATTATTTTTCCATGAAGTACTTTTCGAGTTATGAGGCTTGAAATAATTTCTTAATTTTACATAAATCATAAAATATCTTGTAAAATATTCATTTTTCGATTATCTTACCTTAATATTTTTATGTACAAAATAATGAGAGGAATCAATTGGTGTAAAGAAAACATACAGTTGTTTTTAAAAAAAAATATGGAATTGTTAATTGCAAATTACATATTTTTTCTTAAAAACAACTATGTTCTATTTAAAGAAATGCACTTCCGGTCGCCTATTTTCGGCCAGAACCAGAAGTTGAAAATATCACCATTCGATAGAGCGCATACATTGATTTATAAAGAAAATATTTTTACTTTTTTGAAATAACCACTTCTCTAGTTTTTAAATGGATGGTACGAGTGGTCTGAAACACCCTGTAGATTATTACATAATTATAGATTATATAAAAATAAAAAATAAAGGAAAGAATAAAAGAAGGAAACATTAATAAAAAAAATATTATATTCTGTAAAAACTGTAACTAAAATAACTTTTTTATAAAATTGCGAACCGCCACTATACGACAAAAGTCCAATTATGACATTTTTATGCGCACTGCACATTTATTAACTAGATATAATTGTACACTGACGCTTTCATAATTTTGCGGAACATTAGTGTTCCATGGAACACCGGTTAAGAATCACTGATCTACATGATCTATTATAATGATAATTGTTAATGATAGAAAAATAGTTAGTAAATGCGTTTTCTACATATGCTGGATCATTGGAACGCAATTTGAAGGGATGTATATTTACAAGATAAAATGATTTATATTTACAAGTTAAAATGATAAGCTTATATGTATTAAAAAAAATCGCTTATAAACGATTTATTTCATTTTTAGATGCGTTCCAAGATCTTGCACATGTATAAATATTGTTCCAGAACAGTAAAAGGATCTGAAAAGAAATTCAATACAGTTGAATATAGAATCGCCATGCTCGATGTTGATCTGTGTATTTTAATCAATTTTCCCTACATCGCTGTTAGATTCCCAAGCCAAGAAGAAGATTGTGCAAAATATCTTTTCTATGCTGTTTACCCTCGAAGCGGCCTACATGCTTAACGCAATATTGCGCCCCGTAAACATCTTTGCACGATTCTGGCAGAAGATCCACGTCGCTCGTTAGAAATTCATTGCACTGAAAAGGCCTGCTGTTGTTGATGCTGGTACACCGGTAGCACTCGATGCTATGTCCTGAATAAGAATATTATTTATCAAGTTATGCAAGAAGAATCCTGTGTGATTTTGTTGCGCTAAATGAATAGAGAATAAAGGACATGAATATTAATTGTATAAATTCCATAATTGTAATGATAAATCTTCATGTTTGTTCCATTTAATTGAAGCTCATCTTGACATGATCGATGTTGATTTTTATTATGATAACATTTAAGTTGGAAATTAGGTTTTTATAACTGGAACAGTGCACAAAGTTTTTTTAATTAATATTATATATAATTTATTAATATTATAATATATATAATTTATTAAATTATATATAATATTAATAAATATTATAATATTTATTAATATTATATATAATTTAATTAATATTGTCGAGATAAATAGACTGCGAACTTGAAAAAAAAACCATCGATATCAGCAGTAAATGAAATATGAACTGTTACTATTTGCTTTCCTTAGTTGTTTCTTATCTCCATTTAATAGTATACATCATCAAGTACCTATTAGAGAATATGTATAATTTATAATTTATTGTTAATTATAATTTAACATTGCTGTTATCATTCATGATTTCACTGATTTAATAATCAAATATATCTACATATTGCACTTTGGCATCGCAACAAATACATTTTTCTCTTCTGTGCAATAATTAACAATTTTTATATTTTCTCTCCTTCTCCCTTTCTTTTTGAATGATTTTTCTTTGAATGATTATTCTTTTGTCAAAATTGATAAATTTCTAATTCGACAACCATCATAATAATAAAGAGTAACCCCAAAAACACGTTTTTTCGCCCATTTTTTGGCCCTCGAATTTCAAATCAAACTATATGCCAAACAGTTCTGTATAATGGGACATTAATCTCAGAAAAAATTTAAGTTGAGCAAAGGAGTAGTTTTGGAGATACGGGGGGTCAAAGGGTGCCCAAATTCTCAATAACTCTCAATTCTTTTAGTCGAAAATATGCAATGTATCAATTACTATTCCTAAAAAACAAAAAGAACAATGAAGTTTTGAAAGAAAAATTCATTGTTTTTTTCATTTTCTCATATCAGTTTTTCAACATAGCAACTAGCAACCCTTTATTTTAATCTTTTATATTTTTATATTTTTAGATATAATTTTCACGATTTCTGACTAAAGGGTTAGTCCCATCCAAAAAATGAAAGAGACCTTTTTTGTGCAGAATTTTAAGACAAACATCTTTTATTTAAAACATTTTTTCGTATCTGCATTCGTTTTCGAGAAATTCAGTAAAAACTGTTTTGAGGGTTAGTTTTAAATATTAAGCAACTCTTAAAATATTAAGCAACAGGGATGGAGGAATCAGAAAATTATTTTGACTAATTCTAGTCAAATCCCCACTGTTATCAAAGAAGTATTGACTTTCTTTTTGTGTCTACAGTGCTTGGACAATATTGGAAATATTAAGAATTTGGGCACTTTGACCCCCCGTATCTCCAAAACTACCCCTATGCTCAACTTAAATTTTTTCTGAGATTAATGTCCCATTATATAGAACTGTTTGGCATATAGTTTGATTTGAAATTCGAGGGCCAAAAAATGGGCGAAATTTGGGGTTATTCTTTATTTTTCGAAATATTTATATATTTACGTAAAACGAAAATTAAGGCTCTTTGACAGGATTTTTTTTTGACATTTCGCTCAAGTTCCCCGATACACACAAAGAGAATCCCCGATACACACAAAGAGAAAATTAGAAAGAGTTAATATACGCCCCGCCCAAGACGATGATAACGATGTTCCTGTCGCGATACAATCGTGCGTCCACTTTACCTGTCTTCATCAGCAACGAGAGTGTCACCAGAAACGTCCCGATACAGTAACCCGCGGTGGCCATTTCAAAAGATCACAGCTTCCCGCGGATCGTCCTGCGTCCCGATTTCTTGATTACGACGCGTCCTCGCATCTATCGTCCACCTGTTCGCGTCGATCACGACATTCAGGACAGCTGGATGACACGCGTGACGTAGACGCACGCCCGTTTTGATGCGTTCGGAAATCTTGCCCACGGGATAGAGCAGCTTTTATCGGCCAATCAGAATGAAAAGAGATGGAAGAGATTCTCCCGATTGGTCAATTTAAAGCTACTTTGCCCTACGACTAAAATTTCCGAACGCACCTTTTTTCGTTACTCGAGGAATATCTATTCTTGTAGAGATATATAGGGTGGACCAAAAGTTTGGGGATACAATCGAATATCTCGTATAGAATGCATTTTAGAGCAAAATGCTTTAGACAAAAGTTGTAGGGATTAAAAAGATGTATTTGACTGTAATATCCATTTGACATTGAGTGGCGTCGTCAAGGTCAGAGCAAGGTCAACTTGAATTTTTTAAGTGGAACCCTCTATTTTTCATTGCATATTCTTGTAACTTATCTCGAGAGCTTTCCAAAACACTATAATAAATTATTTTTTCATGAAGTACTTTTCGAGTTATGAGACTTGAAATCATTTCTTAATTTTACATAAACCATAAAATATCTTGTAAAATATTCATTTTTCGATTATCTTACCTTAATACTTTTATGTATAAAATAATGAGAGGAATCAATTGGTATAAAGAAAACATACAGTTGTTTCTAAGAAAAAATATGGAATTTGCAATTAACAATTCCATATTTGTTCTTAAAAACAACTGTATGTTTTCTTTACACCAATTGATTCCTCTCATTATTTTGTACATAAAAGTATTAAAGTAAGATAATCGAAAAATGAATATTTAAATAGATATTTTATTGTTTATGTAGAATTAAGAAATTATTTCAAGCCTCGTAACTCGAAAAGTATTCAATGAAGAAATACTTTATTATAGTGTTTTGGAAAGCTCTCGAGGTAAGCTACAAGAATATGCAATGAAAAATAGAGGGTTCCATTAAAAAAATTCAAGTTGACCTTGCCTTGACCTTGGCGACGCCACTCAATGTCAAATGGATATTACAGTTAAATACATCTTTTTAATCCTTACAACTTTTGTCTAAAGCATTTTGTTTTAAAATGCATTCTATATAAGAGATATTCGACTGTATCCAGACTTTTGGTCCACTCTGTACATATAAATTTTCCTATAAACAGATGATATAAAGAAGAAAATAAAATGACTATAATTGATGCTATGGAAGTTCGAAATCTTCAATTTTTCGTCCAAAAAGACGAAATCTTGCACATGTCCTTTTTTAAATACATACCTGTAGGACGATTCGGCTCATCCACTCATCATCTCACTCATTACCTGTCTAATAAAATTACGTATACGTATTGTAACATATATTGGAATGTGTAGAATAATAGAAATGGATAACTTTTAAATTGTTACATTTAAAATAAAAAAACACAAATACTTATTTATGGATATATTTTATACTTTATATAAAATATAAAGTTAATTATCTTAATTTGGTACCAAGTAACGCGCGAACAAAAGTGACGAACAAAGGAATAAAAAATATACTATCACTCAAAATCCTAGCGAAAATGAATATTCGGAGCGTAAGTCGAATGTAAGGAAAGAGTAACAGAAGAGTAAACGGAGCTCCTAAGAAGCGTAAATTGAAACGTCGAAGCGTAAAAGAAGCGTTAGTGAAGTACAGATTTATACATGTATATATGAAATTTACTTTGCCAACAAAAATTTCGTATATAAATAATGTAACATTTATATGGAACATTATAATTAAGAGATAAGATAGAAAAAACCATCCTTTTTTATATTCAAATAGACAAATAAAGTACTGATAATAGAACATTATAGTATATAAAGTATTCTATACATACAATTATCTTTGAAATTGATATATAAAAATATGCTTGCATAAGATAAACCTTTTTAAAACAAAAATATAGAGGATCATTATCCTTCAAAATAATTCTTCTTCTTCAAAATAATCTTTTATAATAATTTCTTTAAAATTGTGCTTAAGATATCTTCTTCAAAATAAACAAATAACTTAAATTTCTGACAAGTTTGGGATAAGCGTTAGTTTCAAAGATAATTGTATAGAAAATTCGAAAAAAAAAGACACCTTATATAAATAATAAATATCATTATATGATAAATTGAATAGCATTTTATGTGTCTAATATATATGTAATAACATGACATATACATTTATATATGTAATTTGACGGTTTTATTGCCTTTTAATTAAAAAGGCAAATAAACATATCACTTTATGAAAAAAGAAACACGAGAAATAATATACAACGATACAATATTACATGTTTGTATCATCAAGTATAATACAGATAAGAAATTTAACTATACATTTCGTATATTATATATATATTTTATATATACAAGATATATAAAAAAATTTACTTATATTTTTTTCATTACGTTTCTTCGTGGGAAGATTCTCTTCTTTGCTGGATATTATATAATTCATTCTACAGGGTGCGCCAAAAGTCTGGATACACCTAAATATCTCACAAACGGTGCATTTTAGAAAAAAATGTTTCAGGCAAAAGTTATTTGGTTTCGAGGGAGCCATAAGACGATACCATTGGTTTGAAGAGTCATTTGAAGGTCACGTGAAGGTCACCTCAATTTTTTTTAAATTGTACCCCCTATTTTTTATTAGATATTCTTGTAGCTGACCTCGAGAGCTTTCCAAAACGCTATAATAAAATATTTTTTCGTTGAATATTTTTCGAGTTATGAGGCTTGAATAATTTCTTAATTCTACATAAATCATAAAATATCTAGTAAAATATTCATTTTTCGATTATTTTATCTTAATACTTTTATACACAAAATAATGTGAGAAATCGATTGGTGTAAAGAAAACACATAGTTATTTTTAAGAAAAAATATGTAATTTGCAATTAACAATTACATATTTTTTCTTTGAAACAACTATGTGTTTTTTTACACCAATTGATTTCTCTCATTATTTTGTACATGAAAGTACTAAGGCAAGATAATCGAAAAATGAATATTTTACTAGATATATTACGGTTTATGTAAAATTAAGAAATGATTTCAAGCCTCATAACTCGAAAAGTACTTAATGAAAAAATATTTTATTATAGCGTTTTGGAAAGCTCTCGAGGTCAGCTACAAGAATATGTAATAAAAAATAGGGGGTGCCATTTAAAAAAAATTGAAGTGACACTCACGTGACCTTCAAATGACTCTTCAAGGTCAAACCAATGGTACTATCTTATGACCCCCTCGAAACCAAACAACTTTTGCCTGAAACATTTTTTTCTAAAATGCACCGTTTGTGAGATATTTAGATGTATCCAGACTTTTGGCGCACCCTGTATATTACAATATGCGAAATATGTTTCTGAAAAGATAGATTCTCAGAAAAACAATGACAAAATAAGGTAACAATTCTTTTTTTTTTTTATCATTGAAGCTCATTTTCAGGATTTTTGCTTCATATGCCTTCTTCAAATATGGAACTCTCTTTAACAGCAGTCTTATTTGTTTCTTTCAGTCTAAGGGACTTGTCTGATTTGATGTGTCTACCAAGTCTGGCCCTATCGTGCGTTCCTTTAGCATTCTGTTTCTGGTAAGCACGTGTTAACTTCAAGGACACTTTCGCGCCGGTTTCTCCCACGACTCCGGATTCTCTGATTTCAGGGAGAGCTTTGAATGTCTTAGTCGACGAAACGATTTTCAATCTTTTCGCACCGTGTTTCACCGCCGCTGTTTCTTCGGAAGACATCCTCGCCAAATTATTCGTTAATTTCTTATTCGTGCTCAAACGCGGTTCAAGATTGTCACCGATCCCTGATCCCACGTTAGATTTACTCGATCGATAGTGATCGATCGTTTTCAGAAAGGTTTTCGCTTCCACTTTGGATTTAACCGCGCAGATTATCGCGCTGTTCTCCGCATTATTAGAACAATGATTCTTCAAGGCTCGACGAGCAAGTGTTTGCCGAGGCTTCTTGTTGCTTTTGATCCTCTTCACCGCTGCATAAAGAGAAGCACTGCGGCGTAGAATGCACTTCTTCACCAAGTTGCTTTCGTTCTTGATGGCGTTTTTCGCTCCCGTCACCACGTCGCTTAACTTCGTCTCCAATTCCTTCAGGATGCAGGTATTCTGTGCATCGACACCCTCATTATCCTGTAAATAAAGGCAGCATATATATAGATTGTATCTGAGAGAAAGAAATGTGCTATGTACATCACAAAAATATCGTTCACGATAATAACATAAAAAATGTGTGTGAGAGAGAGAGATTGATTTTGCATTATCAATTGTTTAATTATGCAAGTAATGACTTACCCCCTCGCGTTACGGCGGTTGCCATGCATAACGAGAGCGAACGAAATATGGCACATACACTTTTAAAAAGACGAAGCGCATAATTTACATGAACGACATAGAAAAAAAAACTTGAGAGAAAATTATAAAATAAGCAAAAGTAGCAAAAAAGATTGCCCACAATGCAACTAAAAATATTTTCACAATGATAAAAATATGTTTCTTATCAGAGGAGATTCTCATTAATACAAGATGAGCCATTTTAAGTACCCACTCCAATAACTTTTTTATTTTTGAATGTACAATACAACAAAATGTTTCAAATAAAAGTTGTTTGACTTCGAGGGGGACAGAAGATGGTGGCAAAAATTTGACCTTGGATAGTCATTTGAAGGTCACATAAAGGTCACCTTCAATTTCTTAAATGGAACCTACTATTTTTCATTGCATATTCTTGTAGCTTACCTCGAGAGCTTTCCAAGACATTATAATAAATTATTTTTTCATGAAGTACTTTTCGAGTTATGAGGCTTGAAATCATTTCTTAATTTTGCATAAACCATAAAATATCTAGTAAAATATTCATTTTTCGATTATCTTACCTTAATACTTTTATGTACAAAATAATGAGAGGAATCAATTGGTGTAAAGAAAACACATAGTTGTTTCTAAGAAAAAATATGTAATTTGCAATTAACAATTTCATATTTTTTCTTAAAAACAATTGTATGTTTTCTTTACACCAATTGATTCCTTTCATTATTTTGTACATAAAAGGTAAGATAATCGAAAAATGAATATTTTACAAGATATTTTATGGTTTATGTAAAATTAAGAATGATTTCAAGCCTCATAACTCGAAAAGTACTTCATGGAAAAATAATTTATTATAGTGTTTTGGAAAGCTCTTGAGATAAACTACAAAAATATGCAATGAAAAATAGTAGGTTGCATTTAAGAAATTGAAGGTGACTTTTATATGACCTTCAAATGCCTATCTAAGATCAAATTTTTGCCATCATCTTCTGTCCCCCTCGAAGTCAAGCAATTTTTATTTAAAATATTTTGTTGTACATTCAAAAATAAAAAAGTTATGGGGTGGGTAACTTAAAATGGCTCACCCTGTATATTTTTATGAAATTGATATTCAGCAAATAAGAACATTCGTCGATGTGACGCATGCTAGAGTGTGCTGTGCATTGCTTTTAAATGCGTATAGCATTATTATCCATATTTCATTGACATTTAAAACTTATTGCAAGCAATAATTTTAGATGCAGTATTAATTTTTTTTATGCATTGCATATTTTTTATTACATTTTATCGTATGCATATTTTGTCACGGTTTTTGCCTGCGAACATAATACACAATTCATGCCAAGTTATTTCATTCATCGGGATATTCTTTGGTCAGGATTTCCAGGAATCAAATAAAAATAAGATAAATAAATGGTCGCTAAAAACTGTAACATTTATTAACACAATTGAATGTGTAATCCCGTGTATCTAATACATTATACATGGATGCATACATAATACGAACCGGAATCTTGAATTTCGGAATGATTTTCAAGCAAATGATATTCCCAAGTTTATATTATTAATATTAAGATTATATCTGAATTTGTAAACATTTTACTTATATGATGAAATATTAAGATTGTATTTTTTCATTTATATTTTCAACAAATAATAAATTTGTATATTACGATTTTTTTTTTTAATATAAATATATAATACTAAGAAACAACATTTATAGTTTATAAAATGTACTTTATATATATGTGTGTATGTGTGTACTCTTCTATATATTTGTTGTTAAAATAATTAACACAGTTAAATTTTGATTAACAAGTTGCCATATCCCAACAATTCCATCATCCAGAGATATAATGGTTCAACCATTTATATCCCTACGTTGTGCCCTTCGCTAAAGAAATAGATACAATTAATTACATACATGTGTATGCGTGTGTAATATTAACACATTGTTTTATTCATAACAACTCGCACAGATTCATTTTTCTTCGTTTTATCACTGCATAAATTAAATGACGTGATTGTAAGTGCACTTGTGTATTATCGGCGTGAAAAAGTAGTGCGTAAAAATTGATTATTCACCAACAAATAGTAACGTCAAGTATGATTATTAAAGCATCAAAGCGTGTATGATTGATGAACACTTTGTTGAATTAGTCACAATGTAAGATGAATCACATATAAAATATTATTTATCCATCTCTCACCTATATTTTTTTTAACAATTTCATTTTATTCTTAATTTACAGAAATTAATTTGTGCAATATATATCATGTATGTAAAAATAAACTTAATCAGTCAATATAGTGAAAATTAGAATATTTTGTCAATATAATTTAAATATTTATATATATTGTTTTACATTATTTTGTTCCATAAAATTAATAGAAACAAACATAATGTGTAAATTGATATTTAAAAAAATTTATATACGATATTATTACGTCTTGTCTATATAAATCAAAATTATGGAAGACTCATCGAGAAGAGTAAAATAAGATCTTTACAATATGTATTTTTTTCATATAAATAATATAATAAATATTTGTAATATTATTGTCCAAATATATATAATTATATAAAATATTGATTATATGTATAATTATATAAAATACTAAAACCGTTTTTGTATAAATTTCGATATAGATTTCAATGCAATTCGAAATATTCACATAAAAATTCGCGATTTATTAAGATATACAAAATCTCTCTCCCACTTTCTCAGTTATGCACAAATAAATTTACGTTCGATCAGGCACTAATGTGTTGTAGTGTAATGCTAAACAGTATACCAAGTTAGTTGCTGAACAGAATAAGTGATTATGATACTATACACTGCTTTATGTCAGCACTGCAAACGTCACTCTCGGTATTTACATCAAAATTTACCTTACGCATCAATTTGTTGGGTGGTGAGGACAAATTGTTCACATATGTTAATTTCAAATGAGATTTTACTCCTCTTAGAGAACGATATTGACTGTTTGGCAATCGGCTGTTGGGATTGTTTCCAGTGAGATCAAGAATAGATGGACCTAACGCTGCTCCAACCTACGTGTATTATTAACGTTTTTGTTGTTAAAATAATTAACATACTTGCAATATGCTTGTTGTTAAAGATGTGATTGAATAAGGCGGAAATTAAGATAGATTTACCGCTTCGAACACTGCTGGGGTATATTTTGGAGGGACAAACATGTGATTCATAGTTTTGTTTATCCCATCGCGAACTCTGGCTGGTATTGAATTCACGAAACGACCAGAATTATAATTGCATTCTAGGGTGTAACTGCGTATCAGATCAGTCATTTTGTACACCGCTACGCGTCCTGAACCTTCTCTCGACATACCGTCTCGTTTATCTCTATGCAAGCCATATGTATAAATAAATAATATAATTAATAATATAAATTCATAATATAAATAATATAAATTAATATTAATAATATAAATTAAATTTAATATTAATAAAATTAATATTAATAATATAAATTAATATAAATTAATATAAAATAATATAAATAAATAATATAATTAATAATATAAAAGCGACTACATGAATTTTAACGGCAAAACATACTCACATGATGTACATATTTCGTTCTGCAAAATTGCATGATGTAAAATGAAAGTGTGGATTGTTGATGGACATCAATTTAGGTAACAGCATACACGTAATAGTATCTTCCGGATCAGCAAAATGATTCCCGTACATGAAAACGCCTTTTTTCGAAGCGTGACCATGTAAGTCGATATATAAATACAGTCCAGAATTATCCGAAGATTTCGATACCTCGCCCATTCCGACAGCTGTATAAGTTACTTTGTCATTTGTTTTGTCCTCCGTGACGTTATCATTTTTACCATTTTCTTTCGATAACTCATTCCTTTCATCTGTATACACAATAAGCTAATCAGAAATTAGATCTGGGGAGATTCCATCATACAAAGTCAATATCAATACCAATAACTGCACCGTCCAAATTTTCTAATGTCAATAAACGTTTCTCTTTAGTTTCCAAAGCGCATTTATTTTCTTCCAATGACATAAATGTTACCTAGCAAACAAATAATAATACTAAAAGTGTAATATTGCAGAGGTTGATATAACATATTTATTTATTATAATAAAAATATTTATTATAATATAAATATTTATATTTATATTATAAATATTAGTATTTATATAATATAATATATTTATAAAATTATATTATAATAATATAAATTATAATATTATAATATAAAATTATATTATAATATTTATAAAATAATTATTAATATAAAATATTTATTAATATTTATTTCTTGAAACTGTTCAAATTCATTTGTAATATGAAGAAATATTATTTCAAGAGAAACTTGATAAGAGTTTTCATCATACTTGCTGCAACAGTCTCGTAGTTGTGTCACGTACAGCGTTTGCTATTGAAGCAGTTGAATTTATAACATTCAATTTGTTGTCTACAATTTCTAAATTTATATCCGACAAGTCATCAATTAATTCACTTGGTACTTGATAAAAATTGTGATAATATCTAAAGAAAAAAAATATGAAACGTTAAATTGCATGTTCCGCATATTATGAAGCATCAAAATAATGTAACTCAAAATACAAGTGTTTACCTTATTAAATTTCTTGCAGCATATATTGTTGGATGATCTATTTCAGAAGGATTTAAATAAATCCTATTCAAATTTACTCCCTTTGTGTCCATGCGATAATGACCTTTAGCGACCCCGTCCGGATTGAGCATTGGTATTAATTTGAACACGTATAGGCGACGTAAATTTATGGCAATCTGATCCTCGCGATTTAATAAAAAATTAAGGAAACCGTTCAGAACAAAGCTGGATGGTGTTTCACCCGGATGTACTCTCGCACTTATAAAAATTACCTAAATGCAAACATGTAATATATATACAGGATGTCTCATTTTAAATAATACCTCAAATATCTCCCAAGCCTCATAACTCGGAAAGTACGTAATGAAAATTAACTTAATTATAGTGTTTTGGAAAGCTCTCGAGATGAGCTACAAGAATGTGCAAAAATATATAGGGTGTTCCATTTAAGAAATTCAAAATGACCTTCACGTAACCTTCGAATGACTCTTCAAGGTCAAATCAATGGTACCATCTTATGGCCCCCTCGAAACCATACAACTTTTGTTTGAAACATTTTTCTGTAAAATGTATTATTCGGGAGATATTTGAGGTCGTTATTTAAAATGAGACACTCTGTGTGTGTGTATACATACATACATACATATATATACAGGGTGGGGCATTTATCTTGAGACAAGATAATATCTCGATTGGAGTCGATTATTTTGAAAAAAGTTTTAGACAAAAGTTGTATGGTTTCAAGGGGGACATAAGATGGTGTTATTAGTTTGATCTTGAAGAGCCACCTGAAGGACACGCGAAGGTCAGCTCCAACTTTTTAAACGGGACACCCTATATGCTCTTGCATATTCTTGTAGCTCATCTCAAGAGCTTTCCAAAACACTATAATTAAGTTAGTTTTCATTAAGTACTTTCCAAGTTATGAGGCTTGAAATCATTTTTTAATTTTACATAAACCGTAAAATATCTTGTAAAATATTCATTTTTCGATTATTTTACCTTAATACTTTTATGTACAAAATAATGAGAGGAATCAATTGGTGTAAAGAAAAGACATAGTTATTTTTAAGAAAAAATATGTAATTGTTAATTGCAAATTACATTTTTTTTTTCGAAACAACTATGAGTTTTCTTTACACCAATTGATTTTTCTCATTATTTTGTACATAAAAGTATTAAGGTAAAATAATCGAAAAATGAATATTTTACAAGATATTACAGTTTATATAAAATTAAGAAATGATTTCAAGCCTCATAATTCGGAAAGTACTTAATAAAAACTAACTTAATTATAGTGTTTTGGAAAGCTCTCGACGTGAGCTACCAGAATATTTAATAAAAAATAGGAAGTTCCATTTAAGAAATTGACGGTGATCTTGATGTGACTTTCAAATGACTCTCCCATGTCAAATCATTGCCATTATCTGGCAATGGCCCCCTTCAAGCTATACAACTTTTGTCTAAAACATTTCTTTCTACGGTGCATAGTTTATGAAATATTCAACCGGTCTGGAACTTTTGGGACACCCTGTATGTCTTTTTGAAAATATAAGAATGCATCTTTTAGTAAGTGTAATATATCAATACCTTTTTGTCCCGAAATTTAAAAGGCCTTTCCTCACTTCTCTCAGGAAACATATTAATTAGTCTATCTTCTCTCTCCATTGATATGTTATGATAGGAGCTTATTGTTAATACATCTAGTCTACGACCCTCCAAAGATTTTATTGCACATTCTCTATGATAATAGATATCATCTGTACACATTGCACTCCTTTTACCCATTCTTGTATCAATCCTTCTCAAATAATTTTGTAAATCCGTATACGAGAATGGATAGGTAAAAGCAAAATAAGTAATGGCTTTTGAATTTTCTGGAGTGTAATAGAGGAAGGATAAAGTAAAGTCGTTTCCTCTCTGATCAAGCTGCAACATCATAAATAATACGCTGTATATAACTGCGCGCTAAATAATTGTTACATGCATTTATATATGACCTTACTATATTCTTAGACATATACACACATTCCTATAATTATATATACTACAATTACAGTGTATGTAGGTTTTTCGCGAATCCGTTCCCAATGCAAGTGTCCCGGTACAACTTTAAAAACTGGACACATTCCCTGACTGAACATCTTCACTTGCTTATTCAAATTGACTATGTTGAATCTGACCGTCACGCTTGGACGATTAGATCTGACACCGAAATAAAACCAAGTCCTGTTACTGTTTTGAAACTGCGTGCCATGACAATCGTGCTTCGTCCACAGGTTAAACTCATAATCCGACATCTCCTTAGGACTCGAGTTATTGGCCAATTTCCCTTCAATTTCGTAAACATCTAAAAATAGCAAAATTATTCTGTCATTACATAAGAGGAACATCCGCAGGGTCATACGTCCTATAGCGATACGGTTATATATTTAACATACGTAGAGATATTTCCATACATGGGAGATCGAATCTTTATCATAATTTCAGTCGTTTGTGCGAAGAAAACAAACCTTTCCTACGTACCCTAGGTTTTACTTACATCCAAAACACAAAAATTACATAAACACAAAACATAAAAACGTAAGCGCGAAATCATCATCGTCGATCTCTGGATTCGTATTCCCGATCGAACGAAACGTCAAAATCAGACAATCCCATTACCCTTGTCGGGGATCTCCGGTGTTCTCGCTTGTTCCACCCTGGCCAGATTGGCCGAGTCGAAGTTGTTGAGGAACACGAAGCCGCCGCAGCTAATGTTCTCGCTCGTGCTCGCCATCGTGTGTCTCACGTCTGTAGACGACGATCCATTCACGTGTCCAGGGTTGGTGCTCGCGAGAACGTTAAGGACCCAGATCCTCTCCTGCGTCTCTTTTCGACTCGGCGGTGGAGCGAGGGGGGAGGAGGAGGAGGAAACCCTTCTACGTGACGTTCCTCGGCATGGTTGATTCTCGTTCTGACGAGGCAAAAAAATCGTCTCTGACGATCATACGATGTCTATATTTTATTACTTTACACTATATAAGAGAATTTAAGGGGTCTCAAAGCGTGTAATAAACATCAGCGATGATAACGCTGATGGTTGGGAGAATCGTTCATCTTTGCACGATGCTGCCTACTGGAACTCTGGTACAGTTTGAACGCTCGCAGAAAGTCGTATGTGGGGATTGTGGGGTGAACGATAGGACGCGCTTGCATCGCTTATCGATCGTGTTTTGTTTTCGTGTGGATCAACTCGATTAACTCGAGATCGCTCGAGCGAGGAATTATATTTTCAAAATATTGAGAATTTAATGAAAATTGTACAGAATGTCCTTATATGTGTTTAGAATCTTCAGTACAATTTTTAAATCGATACACTAAGGCGTTCACAAGTTCTAAGGATTTTAATTTGCACCGAATTAACATGTGTTCTTATGGGAAACATATAACTACGTCGATTCAAATGACAAAAATACATGGAAATAATATTCAGAATTTATTTAAAATTTGCAAAAGTTTAGATACAGAGGAAATATTTGGCCAAATAATATTATACAAGTACTAACTGGTTAAAAAGATATTAAATATAATTTAAGGATGTTTTGTAGCTATTTTCAAAATATTGAGAATTTAATGAAAATTGTACAGTATGTCCTTATATGTGTTTAGAATCTTCAGTACAATTTTTAAATCGATTCATCAAGGCGTTCACAAGTTCAAAGGATTTTAATTTGCACCGAATTAACATATGTGTTCTTATGGGAAACGTATAACCATGGCGATTCAAATGACAAAAACACATGGAAATAATATTCAAAATTTGTTTAGATACAGAGAAAATATTTGATCAAATAATATTACACAAGTACTAACTGGTTAAAAAGATATTAAATATAATTTAAAGATGTTTTGTAGCTATTTTCAAAATATTGAGAATTTAATGAAAATTGTACAGTATGTCCTTATATGTGTTTAGAATCTTCAGTACAATTTTTAAATCGATTCACTAAGGCGTTCACAAGTTCAAAGGATTTTAATTTGCACCGAATTAACATATTTGTTCTTATGGGAAACGTATAACCATGGCGATTCAAATGACAAAAACACATGGAAATAATATTCAAAATTTGTTTAGATACAGAGAAAATATTTGATCAAATAATATTACACAAGTACTAACTGGTTAAAAAGATATTAAATATAATTTAAGGATGTTTTGTAGCTATTTTCAAAATATTGAGAATTTAATGAAAATTGTACAGTATGTCCTTATATGTGTTTAGAATCTTCAGTACAATTTTTAAATCGATACACTAAGGCGTTCACAAGTTCAAAGGATTTTAATTTGCACTGAATTAACATATTTGTTCTTATGGGAAACGTATAACTATGGTGATTCAAATGACAAAAACATATGGAAATAATATTCAGAATTTGTTTAGGTACAGAGAAAATATTTGATCAAATAATATTACACAAGTACTAACTGGTTAAAAAGATATTAAATATATAATTTAAAGATGTTTTGTAGCTATTTTCAAAATATTGAGAATTTAATGAAAATTGTACAGTATGTCCTTATATGTGTTTAGAATCTTCAGTACAATTTTTAAATCGATTCATCAAGGCGTTCACAAGTTCAAAGGATTTTAATTTGCACCGAATTAACATATGTGTTCTTATGGGAAACGTATAACCATGGCGATTCAAATGACAAAAACACATGGAAATAATATTCAAAATTTGTTTAGATACAGAGAAAATATTTGATCAAATAATATTACACAAGTACTAATTGGTTAAAAAGATATTAAATATATAATTTAAGGATGTTTTGTAGCTATTTTCAAAATATTGAGAATTTAATGAAAATTGTACAGTATGTCCTTATATGTGTTTAGAATCTTCAGTACAATTTTTAAATCGATTCACCAAGGCGTTCACAAGTTCAAAGGATTTGAATTTGCACCGAATTAACATATTTGTTCTTATGGGAAACGTATAACCATAGCGATTCAAATGACAAAAACACATGGAAATAATATTCAAAATTTGTTTAGATACAGAGAAAATATTTGATCAAATAATATTACACAAGTACTAACTGGTTAAAAAGATATTAAATATATAATTTAAAGATGTTTTGTAGCTATTTTCAAAATATTGAGAATTTAATGAAAATTGTACAGTATGTCCTTATATGTGTTTAGAATCTTCAGTACAATTTTTAAATCGATTCATCAAGGCGTTCACAAGTTCAAAGGATTTTAATTTGCACCGAATTAACATATGTGTTCTTATGGGAAACGTATAACCATGGCGATTCAAATGACAAAAACACATGGAAATAATATTCAAAATTTGTTTAGATACAGAGAAAATATTTGATCAAATAATATTACACAAGTACTAATTGGTTAAAAAGATTTTAAATATATAATTTAAGGATGTTTTGTAGCTATTTTCAAAATATTGAGAATTTAATGAAAATTGTACAGTATGTCCTTATATGTGTTTAGAATCTTCAGTACAATTTTTAAATCGATTCACCAAGGCGTTCACAAGTTCAAAGGATTTGAATTTGCACCGAATTAACATATTTGTTCTTATGGGAAACGTATAACCATAGCGATTCAAATGACAAAAACACATGGAAATAATATTCAAAATTTGTTTAGATACAGAGAAAATATTTGATCAAATAATATTACACAAGTACTAATTGGTTAAAAAGATATTAAATATATAATTTAAGGATGTTTTGTAGCTATTTTCAAAATATTGAGAATTTAATGAAAATTGTACGGAATGTCCTTACATATGTTTAGAATCTTCAGTACAATTTTTAAATCGATTCACTAAGGCGTTCATAAGTTATAAGGATTTTAATTTGCACCGAATTAACATATGTGTTCTTATGGGAAACGTATAACCATCGATTCAAATGACAAAAACACATGAAATATGAAGACAGAATTTGTTTAAAATTTGCAAAAGTTTAGATACAGAGAAAATATTCAAATAATATTATACAACTGACTGGTTAAAAAGATATTAAATATAATTCAATGAAGTTAGCCATGTATCCGTCACAAGGCGAAATTCTATGCCAAAAGTTAATTATTTCGATTAACAAAATTCGGAATATTTCAGTAAAAACGCAATAAATATTAAAAAATACATCTCTGCACTGTAGCTAAAATCAAATTGTAATATTCCACACAATTTCTTACTCAAAATACGTCAAAAGTGGATATATTCGTCAATATTGATTTTCAGCTACTTTTTGCTGGGATTGTACATACAAAACATCCTTAGGAGATAATAAAATAAAACGAATACATGCGGCAAGTTTCACATGTCAAAATAGTTTATATTAATAGTAATATATGTATATTGGAGAGAAATTGATCTCTTTCACATGGATTTCTCTTTATTATTATTAAATCACATTAATTACATTTCAAGCATGCTTTAATTTTTTTAATTTTACTTTCAAATTTAATTTTACTTTTTATATCTCTTTAAAGGATTTTTTTTAAATGTCAAGCTTTTTATTTTCGCAGCAATTTTTAATAGGATCCTTTTGTAAATAATGATTTATTTATCGAATAGGCATTCTAGATTCGAAATAGGACATTGATTTATTTTATTCATTATATTAAGGAACTTTTTTGTAAATGTCAAGCATTTTTTACTTTAACAGCAATTTTTAATAAAATTTTTTTCTTTTTAATAAGATTCTCTCATAAATAATGATACATTGAATACATATTCAAGATTCAAAACAGGATATTGATACCATTTTCTTTTTACTTATATTTCATTAAAAATTTTTTTTGTAAATGTCAAGCATTTTATTTTGATTTTACTTTGAGCAATTTTTTAATAAGATTCACAAAAAATGTTATATTGAATACGTATTCTAGATTGAAAACAAAGTATTGATACCATTTTCTTTTTCATATTTTATTAAAGAATTTTTTTTTGTAAATATCAACCATTTTACTTTCGCAATAATTTTTAATAAATTTCTCTTTTTTATTAAAATGATTTCGCGAATAACAATATATCGAATACGTATTCCAGATTTAAAAGGATATTGATGTAATTTTCTCTTTCATATTTTATTAAAAAAATTTTTTTCTTTGTAAATGTCAAGACACATTTTACTCTTTCATAATTTATTTAATAAAATCCTTTTGTTTTTTATAGCAAAATTTTCTCGAATAACAAGACCATTGCATACATATTCTAAGTTCAAAATAGGATCGATACTATTTTCTCTTTTATATCTTATTAAAGAATTTTTCTAAGTATCAAGTTTTTCATTCTTTCGCAGATTTTTTTTGTAAATATCATCAAACATTTCATAATTTTTAATAAAATCCTTTCATATTTTAATAAAATTCTTTTGCGAATAACAAGTCCATTATATAAATTTTTATTAAAAGGAGTAAAGGATATCGATTAAAAATTTATTCTTTATCAAGTTTTTTACTCTTTCACAGATTTCTATTTGTAAATGTCAAGCATTTCACTTTCACCATTTTTAATAAATTAATTAATTTTTAATAAATAATGAATTAAATAAAACTAATTAATTAATTTTTAAATTTAATTTTACGTATAAATTTTATTTTACGAATTTTTAAATTTAATTAATTAATTAATTAATTAATAATTTTTAATAAAATCTTTTGATTTTTTAATAAAATTATCTTGCGAATAACAAGATGTCATGCATACTTTTAAATTGAAAACAGGATATCAATACCATTTTCTCTTTTATATCTCATTAAAAATTTTCTTTTCTTTGCAGACGTCAAGTTTTTCGCTTTTTCGCAGATTTTTTTTTTTATAAGATCCTCTCGCGAATAACGATATATCGATTCGCGTATTCCAGATTCAAAACAGTGTATCGATACCTGCAATCTCGCACACTGCAGCGCAGCAACAGCGACAAATGAAAGCGTGACGTGATCCGTAGCGCGCGTCGTTTCTGCCACACGTCGCGAGGAAGAGATAATGTCGTCGCTCGAGGAGATCTCAGGCCATTCGTAGGAGAAAGAGAGGAACGCCCTACATCGATCTTAGACTACGTCCTTTCGTACGCATCAACCCCCGAGATCGAGAAATGGAAGCGGATTATCAGCCAACGCCACTGACCCCATCGCGGACGCTGACAGGTGAGCTGCGATTGTTGATGATATTTGTGTCAAACGAACGTTACTCGTCCGCGATGGGATCGCATTACATTTGCGTAGCACACAATCATGCGTGTTTACATCAATCGCTTTTCCCAACAGTCGCATCGTTTCCTTTTTGTAGTTTTGTAGAGAGTCCTTTCAGACTTTCGTTTAAGCAAACGAAAAGCTTGGGAAAAAAATTCTCTGCTACTGGCGCAAAATTGATGTGGTACAAAATTGATCAGTCATTTTCCAATATATTTTTTTTATTAAATAAATACGAGTACTATTTGCTTATATATATATATTTTTTTTTATGGAAAAAAATTCTCTGCTACTGGCGCAAAATTAATGTGGTACAAAATTGATCAGTTTCCAATATATATATTTTTATTAAATAGATACGAGTGCTATTTGTTTATATTTTTTTTTTTTTCGATTATTTTTATCACTGTCGAGTACTTAATCTTGATGCATATCTATGTGTGTGCGTGTGTGTGTAACAGGGATGGGCACCGACTGTGAAGATCCTTACCCTAGTTTGTCTGATTATCACGATTACGAGCCGAATTTGGAATTTGATGATACGGAATTGCAAACTACCTCCAACAATGGTGAGACGTCCGATTTGTGTCTTAATCGTCTGCTTCTTCTAAAATTTCCTCATAATTATACAGGAGATTAATTTACGCGATACAGTCTACTATTATTGCATTACTTCTTTATATAAGACGATCTTTGTTGCAGCTACACGCCTCCTGGAAGACAAATTGGATTTGGTGAATACTACTGCTGGCACTGGAGGAATAGATTATTTGGAAAGCCCAGTAAGCGACGGCACGATTGAGGAAAACTTTGAGGAAGCTTTGGTAGATGCTCCAGTTATCGAATCTGGTGTGTGACCTTTTACCTTCTGTTAATAGCCACTAAATGTCATGGCATTCTCAGGGCATAGCAGGTGAATTATGTGTAGACCATTGTACAGCTTGTTTTATATTGCATGGTGTAAGGATGACAAAGGAGAAGTAACACGTGTTACGCTTTTTTAATCCATATTTGCATAATAACATAATGTACAAGCGCTATGTTCAAGCCCTATGAAGCAGGATAGTAGTATGTTGTCTGTGAAATATACATTTCACTTGTGAGACAAAATTATCCCTAAGAAGCTCAAATTATTTTGGCTTGATGGTGTTTTTATTTGAAATAAGTTTATTATGAGTATGCCTGAAATGTGCATCGATTTTGAAACTTTACATTATAAGGAAAGTCTCTGTTAATGGACAGCCGAAGACTTAGCTGCTTTGGACGGAGAACTTGCCGACGAGGAGGATTATTTCGACATATCCAAATATGGTATTGTGGAAGTAGTTGGGGATGATAGTGCTGGTCGCAAAATAATTGTTGTGTCAGCCTGTAAATTGCCTTCCATAGGGAAGGAGGTCTTCAATCACGCTAAACTTCTTAGGTGAGTTCACGACTTGCGTTATAAGATGACACGCGAGAAATTTAATAATGATTTATAATTGCCTGTAAATATTATTTAAGTATCTCTGTGTCATTCTATGATATTGTTACATTTTCGAAACGCCGATCGACCTCGCAAAGCCTAGCCATAAAAATAGAATAAATAACGGAAACAACTTAGCGCTTTCTTATGTTATCGATTTCGTGCAAACATTCTATCTGATCTATTTGATTTATTATTATTATCGCTGTCGATTTCATATCTGTTATATATTTCAAATTTCTCAACTTATTGTGAATATTCTTTCTTTCTTTGATTTGTTATTTATTTTATAATTTTATTTATATTATTTTATTTACTTTATTTTATTTTTATATTATTTTCTTTTTAATAAATCTTGTTATTTCAATTTCTAACTTATTGTGAATATTCTTTCCTTCTTTGATTTGTTATTTATTTTATTTTTTTATTTAAATTATTTTATTTACTTTATTTTATTTTTATATTATTTTCTCTTTTTAATAAATCTGTTTTATTTTTCTTTATTAAATCCGCGTAATTTATTTGAATGTTAGCCTTTTGTGACTGCTAAAATCTTGATATCCTCCACTCTAATATCTCGAGAAGGAATTGTTAAAAAATAAAAATAATATGCTTGTAAAGTTTCTGTTCATTCTCTTGAATTCTTCTTCTGATTTCTTTTTTTTTTTTTATTAATCAAATAAATTTTATCATAATGGATATTTATTGCAGGTATCTTATGCATACTTTAGACACATTTGTAGAACAAGATTATAGTCTCGTTTATTTTCATTACGGCCTTACATCAAAAAATAAACCATCATTATCCTGGCTATGGCAGGCGTACAAAGCGTTTGACAGGAAATATAAAAAGAATTTGAAAGCCCTTTACCTAGTACATCCCACAAACTTTATTAGGTTTGTGTGGCAAATATTTAAGCCGGCTATTAGGTATGCGATTTTTTTCTTTCCTATGTGAAAACTTATATTATTATATACTATATACGAATAGACAAATTTTTGCAGTGTCAAATTCGGACGGAAGATAATGTACGTTAATTACCTGGAAGATTTAGCGCACTATATTAAGTTGGATCAATTAATTATACCTCCCCAAGTGATAGAGTATGTCATTTAATTATGTAAAACAGTATATTGGAATCTTGATAGAACTTATGTTGATTTGCGAATTGCACAATTTAATTTACATATGGTGGGATGATTCTTTCAGACATAATAATCAACTACTGATGAAGAATAAGAAATATTTGCCGGTAAGTCCGCCACAAAGCGCGGTGGTTACACCGGTTGGTACGACTCAATTTGGTACTAGTTTGCAATTTATAAAGGAAAATAATAACGGCGACCCGATCCCACCTATTCTAAGGCAATGCGTGGAATTTCTCGATACGCCAGACGGTACGGTATCTCAACAGAAAACCATTCTATTCTCTGGAGGATAAAACAATAACACAGGCCTGCAAAAAAGGGGGTCAAAATTTCTTTTTAAGATGCAATAGTGATTTTTAGTGATTTTCAGACGTAATTTTGTGCGCTGAATCCGAATCTGGCCGCCGAATTTGCGTAGCACGTCAGGTTTTTGAGTTATTTGTAGTTGAATAGCCCAAAAATCGCTATTTTGGCCATTTTCATGAATTTATTGTGAGTAAACCAAATTTTTTGAAATATTTCTGTCAATGGCATCGTATAATACTCACTTTCATCTTTCGAATCCACTTTCGATTACCGCCGCATGATTTTTTTTCGTTCAGATATACAAGTTATAAGATTGGTCATGCATAGAGATTTAATAAGCCATTCTAAATCAACCGTGCTACCTCTCTATCTCACTACGAATCAAAATTAGGATAAGAATATACATTTTTAAATACCTTCTGTCACCTTTTGAAATTAAAAATGACGCATCCAATATGGCGAATAGAATAACAATAAAAAGGCATAAAATTTAGAAAAATTTATCAAAATGTGTAACAACTGTATTAGACATTTCTTTACAATATTTTTTTGGCTAACCGAACCTGACATATGTCAGTCTTTTCAAATTTCAAGATCATGGATCTACCATATTGATGTCTATATAAATTTTCTTTAATGTAAATTTTTCTTACAACGTCATACTTATATATCTCAGCGAAAAAAAAATCGCGCAACGGTAATCGAAAGTGGATTTGAAAGGCGAAAGTGAGTATTATACGATGCCATTAGCAGAAAAATTTCAAAAAATTTGGTTTCCTCGCAATAAATTCATGAAATTGGCCAAAATAGCGATTTTTGGCCAATCAATTATAAATTATTCAAAAACGTGACGTGCCATGCAAATTCGGCGGCCAGATTCGAATTCAGCTCACAAAATTACGTCGGAAATCACTATTGCATCTTAAAAAGAAAAACCTCGCAGGCCTGTGTAATTATTTGAAGGATCGTTGGAAATAATATAATCGACCAAAACTAGCCAGAAATTTTTTGTTTATTGATTACGACCATATGGTTGTACTCCTTTTCAAGTAAATATTGAAATATAACAATTAAACAATTGGATTTTTAACGGATTGAATAACGAGTATACACACGAATTAAATTCACACACATATTTATTTCTGGCTAGTTTTGGTCGATTATATTATTTCCAACGATCCTTTGATTAATTAACTAGCGATATTAAGATAAAATTTATGTTATTTTAATAATTATTTGATTGTTTTAGCTCTGGAAACGGAAGGGATATTCAGAAGATCGGCCAACGTGGCAGTGATCAAGGAACTTCAAAATCGTTGCAATCAAGGTTTACCCGTCGATTTCCACGGGGATCCGCATATTGCCGCGGTTTTACTTAAGACTTTTCTTCGTGAACTGGATGAACCTCTTATGACATACGAACTGTATGATGAAATCACGCAATTTCAAAGTAAGGATGATGTTTTCCTAATTTTTTTCGAAATTATTATTTATTTAACAAGATAAAACATCCTTTGAAATTGTATTATAGCGTTATCGAAAGACGAACGTCCGCGTAAAGTTAAAATATTAATATTGGAAAAACTACCTGAGGATAATTATCAAGTCCTTAAATACGTTGTACAATTTTTATCGAGGGTATGTAACTAATATTCACAATCGCGATTTCCTGTAGGGAATAAAAGCTCTCTTTTTCATCTATATCTTTTTTTTTATAATAGGTAATGGACCGATGTGACCTAAACAAGATGACTTCGAGTAATCTGGCGGTCGTATTTGGACCGAATCTAGTTAGAGCCCCGCCAACATGTGGAATGTCCCTCACTGCGATAGGATTTATCAATCAATTCGTAGACTTTTTATTTACTTATCAAGATAAGATTTTCATTATTTAAAAGCGTCGAAGGCCTAATTGTAATACATCCGATTGTTCACATGATCACACATACAACGTCCGCACTTTCGTTTTATTAAAATATTTTTATATCCAATGTGAGGTATAAGAGAATATATACAGAAAAACAGTTAATGTTCGTTTACACGCAATTTTGCACAAGATTTTTTAATATGAGTACAATGTTTTTGAACGAAAGAGTAGAACGTTCGAAAAAGATATCGGTTGTGCGATGATGAAATGCCAGCCAACATGTGTATATCTAGAGAAAAATTACGACCAAATACCAAAGATACATGAGAACGTCACGCAGTGAATATAATATGTAAGATTGTCTAGAAATATTAGCATTTATATAGTCTTATTTAACAAAGCGTAGAAAATAATATATTCAAGAGTGAAAAAAAAATATTCAGCTGAATGCTGTTGAGATCATGAGATCGCGAATCGTAATTAATCCCGACTTTTGCTTTAATTAATCTTTTTTAATGTCGGATTAAATAAAAATTAAATAATACATTAATTTTATTTTAAGATAAATTATATTATTTCTTTGAGTTATAATTTTTCAAACTTTATCAAGTTTTTATTTCAATGTTAATGTTATTTTGTTAATTAAAAAATCTAAAATTAATCGGGTTAATTTTTATTCTAACAAGAATATGTACATATTCTAACCAGAATATGTGCATATTTGCATAGGAATCAGTTTATTTATTTTTATTGCAAAGTTTCACGAAAAAAAGTTTTTCTAAAATATTTTGATACATTCTATACTTAAAATAGAAGAATCACAAGTAAAATAAAGTCTTTAATACTTGGCATTATCTTCATATTTCTTGCATTGTGTATATATTGAAGAATTTGATTATTCAATCACATAAAATAAATTGTGGTCTAACAAATGTAGTATATATATATAATATTGTATTTAACTCTTGAGAGAGACGAGATATATCTATAATACAAGAAGATTTATATATGTAATATAGAAAGACATTGTGTGTGTGTGTGTGTTAACTCTAAACAATATAAACGAGCATTCATTTACTTTATAATATATAAACGAAACTTGATAGTATTAGAGAAAGATTGAATTATATTTTCTGTTTAAATCGTTCATCCCATTTTTCGTAACATTTTTAGGTAATAGTTATAATGAGTAAGATACTTTATATATTGCAGTAGTTGTAAGTAAAATACTTTATACTGTTTCGAGTTAACATAATAATAAAAAGCAGGCGTGAACACGATAAAGTGATTAGAATGGCTGTCGTAGTAAATCAGTCATCATGTATAAATTCTAGTGATCTTATATTTCTTTTTGAATTATGATCTCGGGAAAGGAATTCACCTGAACTGATGTCACTCGAATGTTTTTTTACAATAAAAAACTACAAAAGAAAGAGAGTATGAAAAAGAGAAAAAAAGCTTGATATTTAATGAATGTATAGTTTAATACTTTTTAATTAATTTTATTCATTGTTTAGATATAAAGATAAGAGACTTAGTAATTTTCGCGGAGCGAACCGCAAATTTGTATATCCCTTTAAATAGTCCTGCCATTATGGGTAACTGGGATAAAGTATGGGCTGACAAAGCCTAAAATCTCCGCTCTCTATCATCGAAAAGACTAACCCAGACCTGTATAGAACTGATGTGACTCGATTACATTCCTCGTTGTTATCAATAAAAGAGCATATAATAAAACGTATTAATTTGTAGAACTTCAGTTTCACTTTTTACATACAATATTCACGAGCAAAATCCAAAGTGTACCTTTGGAATATGATGGGATTATGATATAATGAGACATTTTGTTCCATAACATTACAACTTACCATTTTATGTTCATAAAATAACTTACAGTAACAATAATTTAAATTTTACACTCAACAACTCTATTATATTGCTAATTTATATAATTTCAGGGCGAATAAATGTATTGCAGTGTTACTTGACAAAAGATTCAAATTAATAGATTGTATAATGAAATTATTCACATTTAATATGTATGTACATTAAATCCTAAAATATCATTTTAGGTAAAAGCCGAAAAAGCACTAGTTTCCTTTGAAAATGTAAATTCATAATACAGTCGCATTATCTAAAGCCTTTGTCGAGAAATTAACTAATTTTTGACAATTTGTGAATATATACAGCTTTCTCGCAAATATACAGGGTGTTTCATTTTAATTTCCCTAGGCAAACATTTCGGAAAATAATAAAAATTCGAGAAAATTTTTCAGACAAAAATTATATGTTTTTGAAAGGGACATAAGATGGTGCCATTAGTTTGACTTTAAAGAGTCACGTGAAGGTTACCTCCAACTTTTTAAATGGGACACTATATACTTTTACATATTTTTGTAGCTTGCTTCAAGAGTTTTGCAAAACACTATAATAAAGTATTTTTTCATTGAGTACTTTTCGAACTATTAGGCTTGAAATAATTTCTTAATTTTACATAAACCATAAAATATCTAGTAAAATATTCATTTTTCGATTATCTTACTTCAATTTTATGTACAAAGTAAGGAAATGGTGAGAGGAATTGGTGTAAAGAAAATACATTATTGTTTTTAAGAAAAAATAAAATGTAATTGTTAATTGCACATTACATATTTTTTCTTAGAAACAATGATGTGTTTTCTTTACACCAATTAATTCCTCTCATTATTTTGTACATAAAAGTATTGAAGTAAGATAATCGAAAAATAAATATTTTACTAGATATTTTACGATTTATGTAAAACTAAGAAATTATTTCAAGCTTCATAACTCGAAAAGTACTTAATGAAAAAATGTTTGATTATAGTGTTTTGGAAAGCTCTTGAGGCAAGCTACAAGAATATGCAAAAATATATAGGGTGTTCCATTTAAGAAATTCAAAATGATCTTTACGTAACCTTCATGTGACTCTTTAAGGCCAAACTAATGGCACCATCTTATGTCCCTCTGGAAACTATATAACTTTTGTCTGAAACATTTTTTCCAATTTTCATTATTTTCCGAAATATTTGCCTGGGGAAATTAAAATGAAACACCCTGTATATATATTAGTATACATACGCATTCACACTTACATAATGCATACACAAGCATACAAAAAAATGAAACATTCATAATGTGACAAATTATTATCACAGAGGATTTATTTTTAAAGATACTAATCTGTCACGACTTTTTGAAATGCTTCGTCCCGTATACGTAACTCGTGGATTATTCGAAATTAGACCTTGTCTGAAATTGAATCGTAAATCTTTCAAAGATCTACGAAAGGCCGCTGCCACTGCCACCACTGCCGCAGCATGAACTTCTACTCGGTTGTGTATGTTCACTTTCGTCCTCGACCATTACAACATTGCGACGTGTGCTATTAGTCCTCGTGAGAGTAGATTTTTGCTCGGCCTCGTCTGCGCGTTCCATCATGCGTCGCGTCAGGTCTAAGAACATCTCCTCGATGTTCTGGTTTAACTTGGCTGACGTGTGGAAATGCATAGCTCCCACCTGTTTGGCGTATCTGGTGGAAGAAATGTATCATTATCACGTTTTGTCCACTATTCCCAATAAATAAAAAAGGAAGCATTGTCTTAGCAGCACTTACTCTTCCGCTTCATCTATGGCAACGTTTCTATCCTTCTCCAGGTCCACTTTATTACCTGCTATCACTAAGCAAATTTCGCTACCTAACATCTTTTTCAGTTCCTTCACCCAGTTTTTCACCTAACAACAAATGAGGAAAGTATATGTATCATGAGTATATGTATATTTGTAATATTGTAAAAGTATTTTTTTAATTATAATAGAATTAATAGAATAATAAGATAATAATGTCTTGTATAATGATCTCTGGAGAACAGATCATTGATAATATCAAAATTCACAATATATTCATTGTTCTCTTATCAGATTTTATCTACAATATATTCATTGTTCTCTTATCAGAATTTATCTACAATATATTCATTATTCTCTTATCAGATTATATTCGGATCATCTTTTACAATTATAAATAAATTTCAAGTCATACTTTTTGAAAAGTATCTTCGTCTGTAATGTCGTAGACAAGAATGGCACCATTGGACATTCTGTAATAAATTGGTCCTAATGCATGGAACTTTTCTTGTCCTGCTGTGTCCCATATCGCCAAGTTCACTCTTTTCCCATTAATATTCAATTTCTTATTCAAAAACGATGCCTGAAACAAAATACAATTAATTGTCAATATGTATTTTTAAATAATATAAACTTTACAATCTTTTAGTTAATTAAAGCTCTGGATCTAAAAAGAAGTTATAAACACACAAATGAATGGGACGCATCCAGTATTAAATTTAATCTTTATACACATCTATATTGCTCTTCTTCTATATATTTATATAACATAATATAAATAATATATAATATATTTAATAATTTAAATATGTATAATATATAATAAAATATAATGTAAAATATGTATAATATAATGTAAATAATATAAAATATAATGTAAAATATGTATAATATAATGTAAACAATATAAAATAATATATATAATGTATAAAATGTAAAATATGTATAATATGTATAATAACCTAAATATGTATAATATATAATATATATCTAAATTAATTTGTGCGTTTTTTAAGAAATTTTACAAATTTATTCCGCATTAAAAAAAATTTACAAAAAGAAAGAAAAGTTGATACAAATATAAACTTATATATAACCAAATCTAAAGGAATATTCACGTTAATAAAATACAATTAATTATCAATATGCATTTTTAAATAATATAAACTTTACAATCTTTTAGTTAATAAAAGCTCTGGATCTAAAAAAAAGTTATAAACACACATATAGATGGGATGCATCCAGTATTAGATTTTAATCTTTATACATATCTATATTTCTCTTCTTCTATATATTTATATAACATAATATAAATAATATATAATATGTTTAATAATCTAAATATGTATAATATATAATAAAATATAATGTAAAATATGTATAATATAATGTAAATAATATAAAATAATATAAAATATAATGTAAACAATATAAAATAATGTATATAATGTATATAATGTAAAATATGTATAATATGTAGAATAATCTAAATGTATAATATATAATATATATCTAAATTGATTTGTGCGTTTTTTAAGAAATTTTACAAATTTATTCCGCATTAAAAAAAATTTACAAAAAGAAAGAAAAGTTGATACAAATATAAACTTATATATAACCGAATTTAAAGGAATATTCACGTTACATGAAAACTAGTGAAATCGAAATGAATGCAAGTAGAGAGAAGAAAAAAATCCGAGAAATACGCGTGTCGTATCTCGATATACAAACATTACAAACACGCCTATTTACCTGTAACGTAGTGATATGTTTGTCATTGAACTTGTCCTCGACGTATCGGAGAGCAACCGAGGTCTTGCCAACGCATCCCTCGCCGAGCAAAACCACCTTGAAGTTGTACGACCCGGTGCCGACGACCGGACTGGCCATAATCCCCGGGAGCAACTGGCAACAACTTGGTCTTAGAGGGAATCAGGCCGTGTTAATTCGCGGTATCCGGAATGTCCGCGTTATACGAGGGCCAGGATATATAAAGTTGCGCTTGTTACACTTGTCTAGGTGCGGTGGCCGTCGTGTACGGGATATAATGGATGTTTCGTTGCGACCCGACACGCCACAACGTCGAAGCGACGACGACCGTGCTTCAGTCTCCGCTGCGTCAACGTCGAGGAATCAGCTGTTCTGCTCCGAGCCATTACGCGCTACAATCGGCGCATTTTTCGTAGCCTTCGTAATCTAATGCCTCTCTCTCTCTCTCTCCTTCTCTTTCCTACACACACAGCATACATACACAATAGCACTCATCGTATCTCATGCACGCATACAACCCATACGGCACAGAAATATTGCAGCAACAATGCAGAAATATTTCTTTGCAAGATTGCAAGATTGCAGAAATATTGCAAAATGTTGCTGCAATATTGTAGCAACAATAAAATGTCCGCTTGTAGAAATATTGCAATGCAATATTGCAGCAATATTTCTTTGCAAGATTGCAATATTGTAGAAATGTTGCTGCAATATTGCAGGAACTATAAAATGTTCGCTTATAGAAATATTGCAATGCAATATCACAGCAATGTTACGGTGCAACGTATTTGTAATATTAAAACGCGTTTTGCTATAAATGCAGACACCGTTTTAAATTTAATAAATAAACTTTGAAAATATTAAAAAAATGTTTAAGAAAGATAGGAAAAAAATGCCTTTAAAAAAACATCTATTAGTGTTTTTACTATAGATGTTTCTTAAATATTTATCTCAATAATATGCATACAATTATTTTACATACATTCGACACCAGAATATTTTAATACGTGCAATAAATGAATTATTTTCTATTTACCCATTCAATTAAGAAAAATCTGTTTAATATTCTGGAATCCAATAAAAGATCCAGATTATTAAACAAATTACTTGTTTAATAATCTAGATTCCTTATTAGGATTCAGAATATTAAGTAAATCAAGTCAGTTTATCGCCAGAAATTAAACTGACAGAAGACAAGAAATATAATTACTACATTAATCTTTTGTAGACCTTATATCCATCTTAGATGAATTCGAGTACGAGTTAATTAAATTGGGTGTCGTCGCGTAGCGACAAGTAAAGAAACACATGTTATACATTTTCGCTATGTTGAAACGTTGCTGCGACATTGCCAAAGTAATATTACAAAATAATGTCTCGCATTATTTCTGCAACATTATACTGCTATGTGCAATGTTGTAACATTGCAGCAATGTTGAAGCAATGTTGCAAGCTTCTGTGCTGTATGGGTCAAATCGTATAAAAAATATTTATCTTTAAAATATCTGATCTCGGACGATTAAAATCGAGCAGATCTCGTATTCTGAATTTTCCTTGGGTCTTCATTCATAATCTAATAACGCATGCGCAGAATGAAAATTGAATGAAGTTGCGCACGCAATCGTATCCATGCGCGCTCACGATTTGACTTTAGCGAGTCTCTCCTTAATCATTTTCACTTCATACACACATACATCAATACATGTAAGACACCAAATAAGTGAACATGAATGAGAATGCGAGAAAAGGGGAATAATAATAAAAGAGAGAGAGAGAGAGAGGGGGAAAATTTTTTTTTCTGGAAAGAAGAACCTGGTATCTCTGTTCTCCTTCTTTTCATTTTTATGTAAAAAAAATAGCCTCTTTAAATAAATTTTAATACAAAAACAGATTGGTAGAAGTAATTACGTATTGTTCGCTTAGTTGACGAAATTCGAAGGCGCAACGATTACGTTCAAGCAGAAGATCGATTTCATTGTAAAAGACAGCTTGCAGATGCAAAATGCTCTTGACCTTCGCGATGGCGTTGACCTTCATGAAGAGCGCCTGCGCTTTCGACAGAGTTTTTATTCCGGTTAAGATCGCCTCTTTCCGTGTCTCAGAAGACTTCTCCGACGCCGAAGCTATTAAACACTTTCCATACAACATAAACGCCTTGCCTTGATCGTAATAGCCACCGTGACCTAGGATTGTGGGAATAGCTTCCTCCACCATATTCAAGGCCAATGTAGGCAAGCCCATTAGCAGCTAGAATAATTAAAAACGACAACAAATTCGATTAGATTAATTCAACTTAATCTCTAATAAAGAAAACTCACTTGTATGTTAGCGAGATGCATCTTGACGAGCGCTTTGTAATACGACAGATGATTTCGTGTGGCTAATTCCAAGGCGGAACAAAGATGCACTATGCAATTAGTGGAGATCGCTGATCCGTTGCCTGGCGAGGACGAAGCGCACATAATCTGGCTCGAGATAAGTATTGCGCGTATTTTATATAAAGAAGTCGCATCTGCATCCTTCATGATAAGATTAATGTACTCGAGTCCCTTTGGAAAATCGCCTTTTGCCAAGCAAACTTCCGCCAATCTGGAAATTATTAGACTAAAAATATGCAATAATGTTCAAATTCAAAATTACAAACACACGTTTATATAAAATTTTTTATACTTGAGTTTACATTCCAATTTATCTAGACTGGAAATACTTTTAGCTATTGCCTCCGCCTCGCTCCACTTCTCTTGCCTCATCAATTGCGTAAACATATGCAACTGTTCACTCAGCATCCACATCTAAAAAGCAGTAAAAAAGATATTCCTCTTCCATCACTTAAAAAATTCGTGGCTCGATGTATTTTTAAAGCAAAGTCACACGTTCCTCTCTGTGTAATCTTTTGCGATATATCTTATCTATTAAGGAATGTACCTTGTTGCAAGGACTGTTGGGGAATTTCTTTTTGGCATGAGTTAGCACAATATCCGCGAGAATATATTCGCCCAATTCGATCAATATATTGGCGATAGTGACAATCGCCTGGCATGTGGGCGGCCCGTTGAACACGTGCTGTTTTTTGTCACCTGTATTGTGAAGAAGCAGCAACTGGGCGCAAAGAGAGGCCATTTCCGTTTTACCATAGTATGCCCATAATGCGGATTTCTCCGCAAATGTAATGGACATTAAGTCGGACATCGAATGTTGACAATTTAACATGTCCGACTTCATCAGTATCTGTAATAAAGTGGTTATGAATATATAAATTTACGTGCATATTGAGCATACGAATTGTTCTCAGCTTGTAACATACATCGAATACTAGTGAAGGATTCTTGGCTTCCAGAGCATAATTATGAGCGTGCGAAATGAGGCTTAAGCCTGTCGTATGCGTAATTCCAAGCAAACTCGCTTTGCCAACCGAGCGTTCTATGAGAGGTCCTCTAAATAATATAAAACATACATGTAAATACAAGGTGTCAGACCACCCGTGCCAGCCGAATATCTCAAAAACCGAGAACGGTAGACAAAAATGTTTCCTACAAAAATTGTAAGGTTTCGAGTAACGCATCACATAGTATTAGTATGACCTTGAATAGCGTTGTCAAGGTCACGTAAAGATCACCTTCAATTTCTTAAATGAAATCCCCTATTTTTCATTGCATATTCTTGTAGCTTATCTCGAGAGCTTTCCAAAACACTATAATAAATTATTTTTTCAACAAGTACTTTTCGAGTTATGAGGCTTGAAATCATTTCTTAATTTTACATACACCATAAAATATCTTGTAAAATATTCATTTTTCGATTATCTTACCTTAATATTTTTATGTACAAAATAATGAGAGGAATCAATTTGTGTAAAGAAAACATACAGTTGTTTTTAAGAAAAAATATGGAATTGTTAATTGCAAATTACATATTTTTTCTTAGAAACAACTATGTGTTTTCTTTAAACTAATTGATTCCTCTCATTATTTTGTACATAAAAGTATTAAGGTAAGATAATCGAAACGTGAATATTTTACTAGATATTTTATGGTTAAGTAAAATTAAGAAATTATTTCAAGCCTAATAACTCGAAAAGTACTTCATGAAAAAATAATCTATTATAGTGTTTTGGAAAGCTCTCAAAATAAACTACAAAGATATGTAATGAAAAATGAGGATTCCATTTAAGAAATTGAAGATGATCTTTACGTGACCTTGACAACGCTATTTAAGGTCATAATAATATTACTATGTAATGCGTTACTTGAAACCCTACAACTTTTGTGGAAACATTTTCTGCCGTTTTCGGTTTTTGAGATATTTGGCTGGCACGGGTGGTCTGATTCAGTCTGTATATGATAAATATAACTAAAAAATAAATAAGATAATAAATAATTAATATAGTATTAATCAAAATCTTAATATTATTAATAAATTTTACTTGTAAAAAAAAATTTTACAAGTAAAAAAATTTATTAATAACATTAAGATTTTGATTAATATTCATCTTTTCATCGATTTTCTTAGTTACTTGTTTATTAGTAAAGTATATAGACAAAAAAAATGCTAAAAAATATTTGTGTGATAAAATGAGAAAACTTTCATTTTCAGCTTACTTATGCTCTTCACTGGTCAAATAGGATACCCAAGAATGCGCGAGCTGCAAGCACACGTTGTCTCCAGCTTCTTGAGCTAATTTAATAGCTTCCTTTAAAGCGTACTGCGCTATTTCCCTTTCCAAGAAATCCACGAGTATTACTTCATTGTGAAACAAATGTAATACTATATATAAACGATACAGAAACCATATTTCTTTCATTAATCAAGAAATAAAGTTAGAAAAGTCTTGAAAATAGAAATAAATAAATTTATTACTTGTGATTAAATTGAGCATGTAAAACAGCCAGATTGAGTGCAGCATATCGAAATGTACGAGACCGATCTTCGGGTGTGGATCGGTTCTCTAAAGGTGCCAATCTATCAAAACAGTGATACAGACTATCCACTGCTCCGCAAAAGTCACTCACGCGAATGCAATTTAAATAACTTAAATAATGCTAAAACAAAGAGACCATTTTTGGTTTAATTATTATATTAATTTACACACAAGGAAAAATGTTTTATTTTATATTGATTTTGTATCATATTTATACTCACTGCATCTGCATTATAAGGAGTAGATTTTAAAAGATCTTGAACAAGAGCTTGTAGCTCTATTGATGGCAAAGCTTTATGCTCGTCAGTCTGTAATGCATGTGCTTGCTGTGCTACAAGTAATTCTGCTTGTCTTCCACCCCAAATGGTTTTTGCTCTAATACAAAAGGCATTATTATTATTTTTTCACAAAATAGCACATCTTATATAATTTAATGTATATTATGTATATAATATAATGGCATATGTATGTAGTATTATAAATTTCTTGGTACATAAACTTACTTGTACGGACCAGAATCTCCTTGCTTATTGATTTCAGAGATATCAGAGTTTTCTGGATTATTGACTTTTCTCTCAACGTATTTTTTTAAATCATTATAAAGAGTAACTACTTGATCAAAGGCTAATTTCTCAAAAAAGATAAGCATCCTACGAACATACAGTCCATGAACAGAATTCTTGTGCAATGCTGATAAAGATAGCGAATGATCTTTGGGTTCCATCAAACGACGAAGACTATCGAATAAATCTAACAATCCATCCACTCCTTTCTCATACAAAATATCCAACTCTACTTCCAATTGATCTGCAAATCGATGTAAAGCATATTCTGGTTCATATAACATATCCAATAGAGCAGTCAGTTCCATGTCTGCTGACTGAAAATAGACATTAATACATAATATAGAGCATATTTTTTTAGTTATTTAATTATAATATTTATATTATATTATTATATTTTAATATTATATTATAATTTAATATTATATATTATATTAATATTATATTATTATTATTAATTTTATTTTATTATTATTATTATTATTAATATAATATAATATTATTATTAATATTATATTATAATTTAATATTATAATTTAATATTAATTATATTATTATATTTTATTATAATTAATTATAATAAAATATAATATATAATATACATATAATAAAATGATTACCTGAATTAGTTTCAATGATGCTAAACAAAAATCACGTCTCTCCACAATTGCTAGAAAATATCATCAAATTAGATTAATAAAGTACTTATCTCAACATGTAATAAAATATATCATATAATTTAATTATAAGAATACGATAAGAGAATGTGGAATATACCTTTTGTAGTTTCATTACAATAAACTTTAATTAAAATAACAGTTGCTACTTTGTATGAAGTTAGGTTCTCCTTTTGAATTTTCTTCACGTTGCCATCGACAGTCACAAAATCCTTGGACATTCTGTTAAATATGTCATTCACCGTATGTAAACGGCTATCGTTTATCGACATCGTTTATCCTCTCTTTTTATGAAATTTATTGTAAATTTTTTACTTTCATGCATATGTATATATAATAATAAAAACAAGTATCATATAACCTCTTGGATATTTTGCCTTATTCAAGGATCTGTTCTTTTCAGCTGCAATGCTGCACTAAAGGTGTAATTTCATTGACGCTAAAAAGTAGCGTCAATGAAATTGCACCTTAAGTTGGAACGAGACAAACATATTTTCTTTCACTTTAATTAGTTCTGTTCTTTTTAGCTGCACTATTGCACTAGTGCAATAAGTTAGGAAAAGACAAACCAGAGAGAAGACTGAAGGTGCAATTTCATTGACGTTAAAATGTAGCGTCAACCATTGGTTGAACAATGAAGCAACTACTTACTTCTTTGTTCAACCAATGGTTGACGCTACTTTTTAGCGTTAATGAAATTTCACTTTGAGAGATGTCATGGGCCGGTATTCATAGGTCGGTATTCATAGTCCGATCTTATATTTGAGATCGTCTTAAGTCTGCTTGGAGGTTGACTTAAGACCTCATTCAACCAATCAAATAGCTGCGTAGCATTTCAAGCTCGAACTTAAGACGATCTCAAATATAAGATCGGACTATGAATACCGGCCATAGTCCGATCTTATATTTAAGATTGTCTTAAGTCTGGTCCGAGGTTGACTTAAGACCTCATTCAACCAATCAAATAGTTGCGTAGCATTCCAAACTCGAACTTAAGATCTCAAATATAAGATCGGATTATAGTCCGATCTTATATTTGAGATCGTCTTAAGTTCGAGTTTGGAATGCTACGCAATTATTTGATTGGTTGAATGAGGTCTTACGTCAACCTTCAAGCAGACTTAAGACGATCTTAAATATAAGATCGGACTATGAATACCGGCCATGGTCTGCTTTTAGGTGATCTCTGAAAGTGATTCTCCCTCTATGGATATTGAAAACGTGGACATGAACTACAAAACCAAAGTCCATAAATGTTCTCAGAGAATAATATATAATGTGCTCAATTTCTTGTTTTGTTCCGAGCTATGTGCACGAAATGTCGGTAGCATCAGTGCTGTATAACAAGATATTTTTATGTATGTAAATTGATAGTAAATAAATTATTCAATCAAGAAAGATACTGTAATATTCAAAGATGAAATAAATATTTTTCTATATTCATTGTCATATTAATATCTCTTTATTTACAAAACACAAAATGTCTGCTGTGGGATAAAAATATTTTTAATCGTATTTCTATAAATCTTCTTAATTATCAATAAACTGATCTTTGATATTTATCAATCATTTTTTTAATTATTTAAAAATCTAATTATTAATATATGTATGGAATTTGTCAAATTAATTACTAATTTCTCTGAAGTTTTCATAATTAAGACTCGAAAAATATAGATGTTGCAAAATATTTTAAGTCTCTTTCTTTATATAAAATATAAAGAATTCATATGCTAACACTATTTATATTTTTATATTTTTATTATAATTTTTATACCAGCATAATACTTTTGTGCTTAATACTTTATATAATACAATGTACTAAATTATAAAATTTAATATAATTACAAAATAGTATTACTATTAATAAATAGATTGTATGCGTATACTGTCTTTTACTTTCTAATCATTTCCAATCACTATGCATTTCTATCCAATATATTCTCTTCATCGAGTTCTTGAATTATTATGGTTTATTGTATTCCTTTGTGTTAACATCATAAAAATTACCATCACTTGTCATGCTTATTCCTTCCTATAGAGTCCATCGGAATACTTTCTATGAACATTTGTTCTCAGGTATAGATATTTTATAATATAAAATTTACTAAAAATTTTTACATAGTCCAGACGAGATTAGCGATGATTAATCCCTAAGATTATTGGAATTTTAATATATTTTCTTTAGCATTAAAGGAATATTAAAAAAATTTTAATGATCACCTAATAGCCTTAACAATTCTTTTTTCTTTACGTGGAAAAAATGCACACCCCGGCGGGACCTATTTAGCGGTCCCGCCGGGGTAATATTGAGCTCTCACATACATAAAATTTCGTATTACATAAGTACATAAAATTTCGCAAAAAAATTTGTATTACTATAAAAATTATTGAGTGTTAACAATTTAATCCTTATATAAATAAAATACCTATAAAAAAACACTCAAAAAATATTGACCCTTTAAAAATTGTTAATATTAATAATATAATTAATGAAATATTTATTAACCTGTCCCTAATATTATTTAAATCTCCATTTCCTGATTCTTTAAAAGATATATAATATATTAATCACCTACATTAATCACATAATAGCCCTAACAATCCTCTACTTCTTGAAAAGAAAATTAAAAAATCTTCAAGATAGATCTTCATGAATCATCTTGTAACGGCAAGGCCGTTACTAGCGCACAAAACCCGCGCGGCGCCAATATGGCGCCAAGCGCCGCCGATTGAGCACCACGACCGAACCGCGGATTAGGAGCCACGATTTGAGAGTCACAGCCGACCCCACCACTACGCGCATGACCGTGTAGGGAGACCGCGTGGGGATATCTCGCCGGGTATATAAGGCGGCCGCTCCGTCAGATCGGCACCTATTCCTGTCCCGACTCTCGGGACGCTCGAAGCCACAGGGCGCATCCTGGGCAAGCGAAGCCTACCGAGCTCCTATCCTTGCTTCTGGTCCAGAGCACGGTCTCAACCGTGTCCGGTCGGGTGCTCCCGACTTCCAGGAGCCTTCCGTCGAGCCACGGACGATCCGGTCCAGGGTACGGGGCTCCCGTACTCGGTCGGTTGCAACCGACGTTCGGAATTGTCCGGCTTACTTCCTCGCATCCGAACCGCTCTCCGTCGAGCCACGGACGACTTGGTCCAGGGTACGGGCGCTCCCGTACTCGGTCGGTCGCAACCGACGTCCGGACTGTCCGGCTCGCATCCCGGCACCCGAATAGCCGTTTTCACGGCTCCTGGAACAAATAGCCGTTTTCACGGCTCCTGGAATAAACAGCCGTTCTCACGGCTCTTGGAACTAATAGCCGTTTTCACGGCTCCTGCAACGACAGCCGTTCTCACGGCTCCTGGCTCCCGGAGGAGCGCCGTCCCTCGGCACCTGGAGGAATAGCCGCTGCCACGGCTCTTGGAGGACAGCCGTATCCACGGCTCCTGGAGGACAGCCGTATCCACGGCTCCTGGACATCGACCGCCCACCCGCTCTGCGTTAGAGTCGTTTTCACGGCTCTTCGAATAGCAGTAGACTATTGTAAATAAAGTTGGTCTTTTCTCTCTCCTCCTAGATCCTCACCCGACTTTCTCGACACGGCCGCCCGACAAATCGCGCTCGTCCATCGTCCTCGCGTTTACTTTGGGGATGCCCTGATTAACTACCCTGGTCTAGAGCCCGGTTGCTACCGGGCCCGGTCGGTTGCTACCGACGTCCAGTATCCCGGCGTACCACGGGGCACCCGTGTACGCCACCCTGAGGACGGGTGCTCCCGTCCTCAGCCGACTTCGGTTGGCAGGCCCTGGTAGGTCCGTGTCCGTGCCTCGATGCACGCGACCACCCATTAGGACTTCCGCGTCGCGAGACAGACTCTGGGGGCGTCCTGTTTAATTCCCCTGGTCTAGAGCCCGGTTGCTACCGGGCCCGGTCGGTTGCTACCGACGTCCAGTATCCCGGCGTACCACGGGGCACCCGTGTACGCCACCCTGAGGACGGGTGCTCCCGTCCTCAGCCGACTTCGGTTGGCAGATCCTGGTAGGACCCGTGTCCGTGCCCCGTCGCACGCGACCACCTTTTAAGTCTTCCGCGTCCGCATCCGCGAAGGATTCTTACGCGCTACGCGACGGGTGACCGATTACCTCTTTGTAAATAACACTAGATTAAGTCGTGTTCGTAAATCCGTTACGCGTCGGCGATCGTTTCTGTAAATAATACTAGATTAAGGCGCGATTTCCCTGTACATAATCCTTAGTTTTAAGGTGTATAATTGTAATTCCTGCGCGGGCTCTTTGTTCGAAACCTGCCTGTCTGTTAGTCTAGCAACCTGATTACTGAATGAAGAACTTATGTAAGTCGAACACGTGTGGTTTTGCGAGCCTGAGCCTCCCCTTCTCCCGAACTCTGACTCCGGCGAGCCGATTCGCGGCGTCGGGAAAGGTGCCCCGTTACATAGCGCCCGAACAGGGACCTGTCCGTTAGAGGCTCCAACTCGCAAACTACGACCGATACGTCCCGCTCTCGGGGGTTTACCGGCTCAATAAGGCCGAAATTACCACAAGGTTATCCGCGGCCGAGTTAGATACTATCGGGAATTTTGAGACCGTACGCTGCGCGACAACGATTCGTTCCGTAACCCCTCTCTCGCGGGGCAAGGGGAGCATAGAAGTGACCAATCAGCTGGCAGCGTGGCAATGGCTGATTGGTTAGAAGCTACGCTCCCCTTGCCTCGCGAGAGGGACCTAGGAACGAATCGTTGTCGCGCAGTGTACGCTAGCGATTTCGAGACCATATTATTGCGGAAAATGCCCAGATGGCAAAGTCCGGAGGCAACCGATACCTGAGCGTACCCAGTACCCCGGAACCCCAAATGAAAGATTCGGCGCCGATTTTAAATCAAATACGAAAATGGGGTTTACATTTTGATGGGAAAGATCCCCTCTCATTTCTCGAACGGGTAGAAGAGCTCAGTGCCGCATACGGGTACGATGGGTCACGCTTGTTAACAGGACTGCCTGAATTATTACGGGGCGATGCTTTATTATGGTATAGGAATTGTCAGGGTTCCTGGAATACTTGGGAACAGTTTTGCGAAGATCTAAAAGACCAATACCTGCCCCGCGGGTACCAGCGCCAGTTAAGGCGAGAAATCCAACACCAGAAACAACAATCCAATGAGACATTCCGGAAATACGCTACGACCGTTCTAACGATGATGCGTAGAGCAGGTGGCTATACTGCTCAAGAACAGATTGATCAGCTATGTAAAAATTCCGATCCGGATTTTCAACTCTACGCACGAATTGACGAAATAACTACTCTGTCCGAGCTATTCCGTCGAGCCGCGGAATACGAGACCATTAACCAGCGCCGCAAGGATTGCACAAAGGAGACTAAGAAAACTCCTGAGGCCAACGTGGCCACCGTCCAATATGACCGTAGCACTTGCTGTTGGCGTTGCAAACAGCAAGGACACACTCGCCTCGATTGCAAACGCCCCCCTAAAAAATTTTGCTCGCGTTGCGGAAAAGACGGCGTTCTGACCCGGGATTGCCATCCCCCGTCGGGAAACGACCCACGGGTCGGCGACAAGGCGGCCGAGCCCCGACCCGTTTCCCAATAAGGTACACGCCACGGCCGCATATCCAGGTACATGCTCATAATGTTGCGATATGGGCACTAATTGACTCCGGGTCCGAAATCTCATTCATTAACGTCGAAACCGCCGAACGAATGGAGCCAGCCGGACGACCGGCGCAAAACGTGGAAGAGTCGATAATTCTAGTCGACGGCACCGAGGCCAAAGTAAGAGCTGTCGCTGATCTCGCGATAAGAGTCGGAGGAATCAGGGTTGACCATCGGTTTCGGGTCGTACCGACATCCCGAAGTACCATGCTCATCGGTACTGACCTATGGGCTAAATTGGGAATTACCATACCAGCCCCACCGCTCGACCAAGTTACGTTTGCGCCGCAGGTAACTACTACTACCGGAGATATCTCTACGGGAATTACTCCCCGATCTCAGATGGAAGACTGACGTTTCAGACAATTCCTAGAGGAAGAACTGCGGAAATTCGAGTCGGTCCGAGGCCCCACTGACCGTATTACACACACCATCCAGTATTTGATCGCCATGTCCAAGCAAACGTTAGCCCGAGAACTTTTTGGGAGCGACTCCGAGGAGTCTTCGGAAGAGGAGAGAATGGCGGGAGGAAGAACGCCGAACACCGCCGAAGCCGGGAACCCGGATACAGCGACCAGGCCCGGAAGGCGGCCATATTCTTGGCCGCCGCCGTCGCCACGCGCACGAGGCCCTCCGGCCACCGCGCCACCCCGTCGAAGGCCCGCCCGACAACCTCCGTCATCGACGGCAACCGAGACTGCACCACCAACATCCGCGGTCATTCCGGCCTGCGCATCGGTGTCAAGGACGATGGCCGACCCGACGATGCCTCCGCCGGGTACACCTGCTGGACGGCGAGTCCGCCGAAGTGCCGCACTTCGCCGCGCACAAAGCGCGGAAATATCATGTGCGCACGGCGACAGGACGCTGGTTGGTCCGCTTCGACCACCGGGGCCACCAGCGCTCCTGCAAACGGTTACCGGACCGCAATCCCCTGTAAAACGGAGAGGTAGTGTAACGGCGAGGCCGTTATTAAACGAACACGCGCTGCGCCAATTTGGCGCCAAGCGTCGCCGATTGAGCACTTCGATCAAGCCGCGGATTAAGAGCCGCGAATTGGGAATCGCGCCTACCCCACCGCAACACGCATGACCGTGTGCAGGTATCGCGTGGAAGTAACCAGCCGAGTATATAAGGCGGCCACTCCAGTAGATCGAGACCTATTCCCTGTCCCGACTCTCGGGACGCTCGAAGCCACAGGGCGCACCCTAGATACTCGAAGCTTACCGAGCTCCTATCCTCGCTCTCTGGTTCAGAGCACGGTCTCTACCGTGCCCGGTCGGGTGCACTCGACAACCAGGAGCATTCCGTCGACCCACGGACGATCCGGTCCAGGGCAGGGACGCTCCCGTACTCGGTCGGTTGCAACCGACGCCCGGACTGTCCAGCTCCCAACCTCGCAACGAATAGCCGTTTTCACGGCTCCTGGATAAATAACCGTTTTCACGACTCCTGGACGAGCGCCGTATCCACGGCACTGGAGGACAGCCGCTTCCGCGGCTCCCGGACGACAGCCGTTCCCACGGCTCCTGGACGATAGCCGTTTTCACGGCTCCTGGATAAATAACCGTTTTCACGGCTCCTGGACGATAGCCATTTTCACAGCTCCTGTATAACATAGCCGTTTTCACGACTCCTGGACGAGCGCTGTATCTACGGCATTGGAGGACAGCCGCTTCCGCGGCTCCCGGACGACAGCCGTTCCCTCGGCTTCGGGACATCGACCGCCCGCCGGCTCTCGGGATACTAGCCGTTTTCACGGCTCTTAGAGTAACAACTTTTGTAAATAAAGTCGGTCTCTGCAATCCTAGATCCTTAATCGAGCTCCCTTCCCGCGGCCGTCAAAACAAACCGCCCGTTCACCGGCTTCACGCCGCGCCAGTCCGCGAGTTATACTTTGGGGTCCTGATTTAATTCCCCTGGTCTAGAGCCCGGTTGCTACCAGGCCCGGTCGGTTGCTACCGACGTCCAGTATCCCGGTGTACCACGGACGCACCCGTGTACATCACCTTGAGGACGGGTGCTCCCGTCCTCAGTCGACTTCGGTTGGCAGACCCCGCTAGGCCCGTGTCCGTGCCTCGTTGCACGCGACTACCCTTTAGGTCTTCTGCGTCCGCATCCGCGAAGGGATTTTACGCGCTACGCGACGGGTGACCGATTACCTCTTTGTAAATAACACTAGATTAAATCGTGTTCGTAAATCCGTTACGCGTCGGGGACCGTTTCTGTAAATAATACTAGATTAAGGCGCGATTCCCCTGTACATAATCCTTACTTTTAAAGTGTATAATTGTAATTCTTGCGCGGGCTCTTTGCTCGAAAGCTGCCTGTCTGTTAATCTAGCAACCTGATTACTGAATAAAGAACTTATGTAAGCCGAACACGTGTGGTTTTGCGAGCCTGAGCCTTCCCTTCTTCCAAACCCTGACTCCGGCGAGCCGATCCGCGGCATCGGAAAAGGTGCCCCGTTACATATACAGGGTGATTCAACACGCACGTAGTTGCGTGCTGCTGGCGTACGCAGTCTGGCAACAACGTGCGAGAGCTAAGACGCTTAGTAAAAATCTTATGTTCGCGCAGTTAATTACCAGTGAAAATGAAGTATACTTTGCAGTAATATACGGACATGATTGTGGCATACGGGCTAGCGGGAGAAAATACTCATCGCGCGGCCGCAATTTACGCGGAACGATTTCCCGGGCGTGCACAAAAACCAAGTGGACGTACAATTTTACGTGTTGTGCAATAATTATGTGAAACTGAGTGTCGTGCATAATATCGGGATAACCGGTCCAGCAGTGCGTCTTCGTGTACGAGATGAAGAAAGGATTCTTGAAGAATTTTATCATCGTATCACATTATCAACGTATGCAATACATTTTATCGAGGGATTTTCAACCACGAATCAATTTTTGTAAAGGTACTGTCCATTAATTTTTTACATTTACGATATATTCAGCGTATAGTAAATGGCATTTTTAATAATTTTTAAATTGAGAGTGGAATAGGCCTATGGGGGAAACCACTATAAAAAAAGCGCACCATGCTATCTACCGCAAGGTGGTGTGGAAATGATAGCGCATCATTTTCTCGCCACGAAAAAGGGGGACGGGTCATTTTTCGGCGCGGTATTGCGATATATCGCAAACCACCATCATGTCTCGGAGAGCGATCCGCCCACCGCTTCGCCGCGCTCGTAGTATCGGATTACGGTGGGACGACTCTCGTCGCCGCGTGCTTTTACTCACGCAGATTGGCCGATCTTTTTTATTTAATATTTCGTTAATTATTGCGACAATCCCAAAACAATACAGGTCATTCCTTCTTAATTCGAGCCAATCTACTTCTTTATTTCATTAAGGTCGAAAATTGACGGACACCCTGTATATATCAAACGACACGCTTATCCGGAATTTTACGTCAAATTGACGTCAAATAAATTTCCAATTGAAATATTTCAGAGACTAAAGCCGTAATTAAAAATCTAATAGCACTTTTATTATATAATATGAATACAAGCTTTAGATTGCGACCTGTTTGAATAAAATTGGTGCAGTCAATCTTGAGAAATGATGATCGAATATCAGAATTCTGACATTTTTTGTTCTTCTCTTCCTTTTTCAGATTCAGACTCACTGTACATATGCTCCCATGCTCATATGCAAAGCGATTTTGTCCCTTAAGCTGCTTCATACCGCGCATATATGATTATTCGCTTTAATGTGCAAAACTGCAAAATGCTTTAAGAGACAAAACCATTTATATACATGTGTGTGCATACGTGTGATATGTGTATATGTGTGTGTATACGTGTGAGAGATTAATTTATCGCATAACAATTTTCAGCAACCTCTTGGGAGCTGCTGACAATTGTTGAACAATTTATCGCATAACAATTTTCAAAAACCTTTTGGGAGCTGCTGACAAGCGTAGAACAATTTATCGCATAACAATTTTCAAAAACCTCTTAGGAGTAAAATCTAATCTATCTCGAAAACGATATCGCAAAAATATAAAAACTGTGCCATTAGATAAGCCTTTTAAGGTGACTAATTTATCGTATTATAATAATATTCAAAAACCACCCCTTGGGAGTGAACTCTAATATTTAGAAAATGAAGCCTTGTAAAAATACGCGACTTACCTTTAGTAAAGATTTTTAAAAATGCATATATATTTTTTACACATATGATATAAATTTTTACAAAAAGATAGTAATATCCCTTTAGAAACAACCTTATAAAAGTAAAAAAAATACGCCAAGTACATAAGAAAATATCTTTAAAAAATCTGACATATATTTTCTGCAAAAATAATATAAATTTTTACAAAAAGCAGTGAGATTCCCTAAAAAAACCTTATAAAAGAAAAAAATACGCCAAATATATAAAAAAAAAATCAAAAAATCTAAAAGAGTGATAAAAATAAAATATTTAAAAACCGATATGAGATCAATACTATTAGCCAAGTACAATAAATTATATAATATTAATTCGTAATCGATACTAAATGAGTTAAGATTACTTTAAATCCTAAAGCATTTTTTATATGATGTATATAATTTAAAAAAATTTTACACACATTTTAAATCGCATAAATGACCTTCAGGTCGAAGTAAGATTTGAAAACTTAGCGTACCCCGTATTAAAATTATAGAGTTTAAAACAGGAAAAAGTTAGATTTTGATGAGTCCAATGTAAAATTTGAAATTACACTACAGAAATCGCGCACGCGTTTTAAATAATTGAGTAATTTCTCGCATTATACTAAAAAGTAAAATTTTTCTCATTAGTCTTTTTCCCATTAGTTTAGAAATATAAATATTTAAGATATATTTCCATGTGATCATGAGTTAATTTTCTTTTTGTATGTTAATGCCGATGTTTTATTACTTTGACAGTAATAGGATCACAGTAATTACATGATAATCTAACGATAAAAGCGATTCGCATTTTTGTTTGTTTTTGATAAAGGGAGATAGTATAACACACATTTTAGTAGGAATATGATTACATATAATTACATATGTATGTTATGCCCAACTAAATTATAGACATGGCAGCGAGATAATATCTTGCTACAGTGATAAATGACAAATGATAACATCGTGTAAGATATTGGTATGTCCAAGCCTGAGGAGGGATGGGCCGAGGAGAGCGTAACGATCACTTCCCGAGAGCATGTGCGGAAGCCTCGAGTCAAGCGAACCGTCAGGGAGACCGAAAATGCAAAAGAATATGGAAAAATTTATTAAAATTACCGAGTAAATATATTATTAATCAGAAAAAAATAGTTAAGTAATTTGTAACAACAAAATCAATTAATATATAATAATTAGATTAATATAATTCTCTAATATTCTGTAATAATTAAATTCTGTAATAATTAAATATGAATGTGTATGCGTATATGTGTATGTGTTTTTTGTAATGAGTATGAATATCTAACTAGATAAAAAATTATCGCCCAATGATTGTGTCCGATCGAGTTATCATAAATCACCGAAAAGTTATATAAAACAGAGCATAATTAAATAGTAGAGCTTTTAATTGTTAGAGGAATTTAAACACTGTTCCTTTTATACACGGTAAAAAACATTTTGTATTTCTGTTAAACTTTTTTCGTGTAAAAATTTTTATGTTAAATTTTTAACATACTCTTATGTTAATGTAACATATTATCATTGCGTTATTTTGACATTTCTGCATTGAATTCATATTCACCGTTTCTAAGAGTTAAAACAACACAATTAATATGTAAATGCACGAATTTTTGATAAAATATGTTATATGTTAAAATGAACAGATAAGTTGTGTTATTTTTCTCTCTATAATAGTTTCCATATGTTAAATCGACATATTTCGTCTGTTATTGATCGTGACATTGATTAAAATAGATATTACTTTTTATTATTTGGCAACATTTTTTGGCAATATATATCATAGCACTGTATAATGAGATATAAAATAAAAAAAATTAAGAGCTATATTCAAATTTCTTTATAAATATGTAATAAATATAATTTGTTTTAACATATTCTATCTAAAAAGAAAGCATCATTCATTATCCATTTTATTTATATATATCGCATA